CTGCCTAGCACAGAGTTCTGAAAAGCACAAGAAATGAGGTGTCACCTTTTCAACCCAAGAGCTCCCCACCCCCCTTTAGATGAAGCCACAGAGCAGGAAAAAAGATTCGGCTGGATCTTCCAGCCTCCGTCAGTTGCAGCAACAACAGAAAGCCCAGGCACTTACACCTTTCAACTTGTTCTTCCCTGCCTGCAAGCACATTACAAATAAATGACAAAGCGTTCTGGGAGGGACGGCTCTTTCAGGCACCTGAAGCATGCCAGCCAGCCAGTTTATACTTGCTGCCGGAGCGTAATAGAGCTCGCTCGCTTGAATACACACGCAAGTCCCGAGGACCAAAGGACGACAGGGAAAGGGGTGTGCGAGCACAAAGCGTTTCCAAAAATGGATGCCGTAAATGACCGTGAACAGACAGGATAGTTAGCTAGAAAGGAAAATGGAAAGTCAGGAGAACAGCCTGGTTTGCGTCAGAGGCCAGCTGTCACCAGCAAGGAATGATGGCATGGTAAGCAAAATTCTCTAAACTTGCAGGTGCAGGGCAAAGGGACGCTGGTGGAAAGTGGCAGGAAAGCTGTGGACTACACAGAGTTGCAATTTGACCGATTACAGATTTTTGGAAATTTTGCTTAGAAGCCTAGCTTGTCCTACTTACTTGTTCCTCTGAGCTCAGCGGTGTTTTCCATTTTGCTGCGTTTGTTATCAGGTCAGATTACTCATCAAACTGTTTGTGAAAAGGAAACACTTATCCCATGCTTTAGTCTTTCTAAAGTGCCTGCTCTTCTCTCCTTCTGCCCCAGTACAGCTCCTGCGCCTTTAGCAGATACCTGACGGGCATAAATTGAACGAATTATGCCCTCCCTTACCTGTTATTGCAACTCCAAGACAGGAAAATACGATGTTTGGTGTGTGTTTTTTTCTTCTCCTGCTGGTTGGACAAATGATAGACACAAGACTCAAGGAGGGGAAAACGTAGCAACCCTAGGTATCTGGGGGGAAATGAAGGTTGTGGAGGAAAGTTATCCAGCAATAACTTTTTTTATTGATAATTGGTGTGCATTGGCAAAGGCATCTACTTTTGCAAATGAGAGATTGTTGCTTTGAAAAAAAATGTGGTAAATGAACAGTGCTGTGGACAATTACTGTGAACTTTAAGGAATGAGTTTTAAGCTTGGAGAATTTGTTGACCCTGTTAATAAGTTGCCTGTTTCACCCTCACTGAGTAGATTAACAGCTCTAACCTGAAAGAATACTGGAGGCAAATAGATTCTTAGCATATTTGGATATTATCAGCCTGACCCTCAAACCAGTTGAGAGATATACATGTACTTGGACTAAAACTGCTTTAGGCCCATTTTGGATAACACATTTTAATCCTACACTTTTGTCTGTGTTAGACAGATTTGTAAGCCTTTTGGTTAAAAACGTCATGTAATAAATAGCTTGCACTTAGCCTTGCAATACTTTCTTAATGCCAATAATTCAGGAGTTTGTAAATTCCAGTTCCTTAACAGCAACATGAGCAGAAATGCAGCAGGTGAATCTTTCTCCATCACTGCATCTCCAGAATCCTTGCTGCAGCATTTTGTTATAGGCCGTTTGTTAATTATGTTATAAAGGTCCCTTGATATGTTACGTGCATTGTCTCTTACATTATTTTTCTTCATTCTCTCACTCTGGATCTGTTCTAAGGCTAATGCTGTGATTTTACATATGCCTGCTCCAAAGCAAGTCCCTCTGAACTCTGTGGACCTACTTCCACATGGACATGTATAGGCTTGCATTATTAGACTACAATGTTACTAGAAAGCCAGCTTGAAAATATAGGTAGAGAAATCAAAAGGAATACTCAAAACACTTAAAAACAAAACCAGACATTACCAAGCTTTGGACTTTTGCAACCCTGTACACATTTACTAGTTAGCAAGGTTTCGCTTTTGTCTGGAGATACAGGAGGATTCAGTCTGTTATATGATCCTCACATTGAAGTTGAGGTCATATTAAATCTCCTCCAGCAGCCTCTCACAGTTTGCTTGTGTGTTGTGCTGATTTGGAGGTTTGGTCCCTTGTTGCATTTGGAAATCCTCATTTTTGCAGTCACATTCAGCAAAACCAGAAAGTTTACCATGCCTGCAGGTGTGCTGCTATTCCACAACAAGATGTTTCAGCCTTCCAAGCTTCAAGATTTCTTTAGTTAATCAAACTGAAAAACTAATTAGAATCTATTTTATGGTTAACTTCAGGAAGTTTCAGTGAAGCTTGCTCTTCTTGAATTAAAATACTGCTCTCTTGCTTCACCGTCAACTTCATTTGGACACAGAAAAATAAACTTAAATGTATTGGCCTAATCCAGAGCATGATGGGAGCCTGAGAAGGCTAATGAATGCCATATGTCAATCCCTCAAGTGCTGTGGAATTGCCAGTTGTAGCCTCCCCCTCTCCCTTATTTGCAGTGTACCAGATTCATAGGTTTATTTACTAGAGTAGGGCAAATAGTATTTTATTTATTTGACGAATTTTTTGCATTTTATATGGGATTTTAATTATTGTAAGCCGCCCCAAGGCTCATGCGATGGGGCGGCATATAAGTTGCCTAAATAAATAAATAAACAAACAAAATAGTTCCATTCACCCAAGGGGAAATCACTTAGAATGCACTTTGTGAGTGATAAACTGTACTCCTGTTGAAGTGAGTGGCGTGCTTCCTGTTTGTGTAGAGTTCCATCTTGGCCTTGGATCTTAGGTTAAAATACAAATAAACCATATCTATATTTCCAAAAGGTAGCTCATGCTTTATTTATGTTAATCACACTGAAAAATTATTTTAGCCTTATTGCTACAGTAGTACGCTATTTTGTATGTAAAGTCAGTCCAGATTGACCTATAGTTTGTTTCTCTATTTTAAAGATCTTTAACCTGTGTTTCAGAGTGTACTGCCATTACAGGACAGTTTATAATAATATAAAAACAGGTGCTTTGGTTTTGTCAGACATTTACTAGGATAAATAGTTGTGGTGGTTGTGTATTTTGGATTGGAAGAAGGGATTTGTTGGGTAGATAGAAAAATAAGAAAATAGGTTCTGGAATTTGAATTGGTTACCAGCATAATTGATAGCAATGGCACTGCAAATTTTGTGTTTTAGGACTAGGGCACAGGTAAGCAGCATATGGCCCTGCTGTTATTTTGTCCTTTAGCTCGCCTTTATCTGTACTGGCTAGATATGGAGTTATAGGACAAAACAGCTAGAGAATCACTGGTTTAAAAAATATTATTATTATTATTATTATTATTATTATTATTATAACATTTCTATGCCGCCCCTTGCCGAAACCTCGGGGCGGCTTACAACATGATAAAATACATTGAAATACAATAGTACATAATAAATTACCATTAAATATAACAATACAAAAAATACATTGATTTACAAATACAAAATTAAAATTATCAGTATAAAATAAAAATATAGGAGGAGAAAGAGAAGGAAGAAGAAGTTGCCCAGGCCAGATCATATGTTTTAACAATTGAAATGATGTTTAAATAAAAAGGTCTTTACCTGGTGCCGAAAAACCAGTAACGACGGTGCCAGGCGGACCTCTTTGGGGAGTGAATTCCATAGGTTGGGCGCCACCGCAGAGAAAGCCCTCCTCCGGGTACTTACTCTCCTAATTTCTTTCATGGAGGGTTCCCGGAGAAGGGACTCTCCCGCAGATCTCAAAGGGCGGTCGGGCATATACGGACGTAAGCGCTCGTTCAGGTAGCCAGGACCCAAGCCGTTTAGGGCTTTGTAGGTCATAATCAACACCTTGAATTGGGCCCGGGCTTCAATGGGAAGCCAGTGAAGCTGATGGAGGACTGGAGTCATGTGAGCATAACGCCCCGTCCCCGTCAGCAACCTGGCAGCTCTATTTTGCACCAATTGAAGTGTTCGGACTGTCTTCAGGGGAAGCCCCACGTAAAGCGCGTTACAGAAGTCTAGGCGGGAAGTTACCAGCGCGTGTGTCACCGTCGCCAGGCAGTCGTATTCCAGGTAGGGGCGCAGCTGATTAATCAGCCGAAGCTGAAGGAAGGCGTTCCTTGCTACCGCTGTCACCTGAGCTTCCAAAGAAAGCTCCGGGTCGAGGAGTACTCCTAAGCTGCGGACCTTATCCCTAAGAGGGAGTGTTGCACCATTCAGGACCAGGTCAAATCCACCCTCTCCGAAACCCGATCCGCCAACCAACAGGACCTCCGTCTTGTCTGGGTTGAGTTTCAGTTTATTGGCCCTCATCCATTCCCTTACCTCGGCCAAGCACCGGTTCAGCACAGCCACTGCCTCACCTGGATTAGTGGAGAATAAGAGGTAAAGCTGGGTATCATCAGCGTATTGATGATTCCGCAGCCCACACCTCCTGATGACCTCTCCCAGCGGTTTCATATAGATGTTAAATAGCAGAGGGGATAGAATGGAGCCCTGTGGTACCCCATGGCATAACTGCCATGACGTAGAGACATGGTCCCCCAGCACTACCTTCTGGAATCGACCGTCGAGATAGGAGCGGAACCACTGCAAAGCAGTGCCTCCAACCCCCAATCCCGCAAGTCTATCCAGAAGGATACCATGGTCGATGGTATCGAAAGCCGCCGAGAAATTGATCAGGTTCAGGGGTGGTGGAAAATATCAAACTGGAGTCAGGACTGCATTTCAGAAAAACACTGAAATCTGAGCAAACTGTGAGAAAATAATACAGCCTTATTCACAAGATACATAGGAACTGAAAGAGAAGTTCTTAAATATGTGGGTCCAGTGCTGTGCGTACAATGTTATGGGTCCAAAGTATATTTGATTGTGCTTCATAGGATTAACTACAGGCAAATGTACACAGGATTTCAGACTAAATCCTATCATAGTAACGTCACAGGAAGCTTCTTATTTGGTATTACAGCAAAATAGCCAAGTGCTTATTCATTGCATAATTTTACTGTCCATCTTCAAAGAAACTACTTAATTTCTTCTTTTCAGATATGACTGCTTTGCTACTGTTGCTCATACATCTTCCATAGTGGAAAAAATGGCAAAGGTGAGTCAGTTTGTTATCTTATTAACACTAAGACCAGGGGGCAGTTGGAACACTGGCAGTCTCCAGGTTACGAAAAAGTTCTGTTCCTGAGAAAACAGATATTTGTCTTTAAGTCGAATTTGCATGTATGTTGGATCGATCATGTATAGCTGGCCCTCACATCTGTGGGGTTAGGGACACAGAACCCTTGTGAAAGTGGAAAATATCTCTAGCTCCTCACCCAAACTCACCAGTACCTCATCTTTGAGCAAGGAAATGCTGGAGAGATTCCCCTCCTTAAATGGGCAGGTTAAGAAGGCATGTTTTGGAAACCTCCCTCTCTACCCTTTTGCTTTTCCTTTCTATATGATGATGCTTTGGAGGCCTTCCTTCTCTTCCCTTCTGCTTCCCCTCTCTATGGTTATGATGATTTCTTATAGTAATTTAAAAAAATTAATAGGCTTTCTGGCAGTTTGTTCATAAGTATGGGTTGTTTGTAACCCAATCATTCATAATTTGAGGACTGTCTATATACAGAAAAAGTCATTTATCGTTCATGTTGTTGCCTAATGGAACTATTTAATCCTGAAAGATGTTACTTATTTTTAAAGAGTTGCACTTACCTGGGCACCTGATACATTCATTGCTGACTTGACTCCAAACCTGCTGAAATTTTTAGGGTACAAATGAGAGACTACACCAGAAGGGACGAATGCATCTCCTAAGGTTTCATTACTGGCAATGAGAACTTTAAGCTGAAATAGATGCGTTTAAACCATGGTGCTGGAGGAGAGTTTTGTAAATACACTAAAATTAGACAGAGGCAAACAAGTGGATCCTGGATCAAATCAAGCCAAAGTTTCCCTATAAGCAAAAATAGCAAAACAGAAGATATTGTGCTTTGAGCATATTGTGATAAGGCAGGTCTCACTGGAGGAAAAAAAATCCTGCTATGGAGAGTCAAAGACCTAAGAAGAGGAAGACTAAATATGAGTTAGTTTGGTTCCATAACGAGAGCCCCAGCCATGTGTTTACAAGAGTTGAACAGGGCTGTCAAGGACAGGATATTTTGGAGGGAATTAATTAATTAGGTCACCATAAGTTGGAGAGGAGTTGATGGCATCTATCCACAAACTTTTGGTATTTTGCATTTATCCAAGTCTACCACTGGAATGCAACTCCCAAGAGATTATTTGGAACAGAACTGGTGCTTGGACTAAGAGGTTCTGCACTCCTGGTGCGCAAACCTAAATTTTTAGGGCCCCAAGGTGAAACCTACCTGATTCAGATCTAGACAACTGGGGGTCAAATTTAATTTGTTTATTACATGTTTATATTTTTCTTTCTCCAGTAGGTTCAAGATGGTATAAATGGGGTCTGAACTATTTTAATCCTCACAACAACTTGTTAAGTGTTTTAGCCTAAGATGACTGTCCTAACATCATTCAGTAAGCTTCATGGCTGATAAAACTCTTTGGAAAGTCAGCCTTCCTTTTGGTGCTAAGTGACTTTAAAAGAAATCCCAGGCTTTTTAGTTTTTATATATTTAATGAACAAACTTAAACTTTACTTGGCAGCAGTTTTAATATTTGGCTTTACCTTTCCATTTGCTTTTATAATCATGTAAGGTATGGAGCATATCATTTTTGTTTTCATGTTTGCTTAACTGTTCTATGCATCCTTTTGGGGTTGAAGAATGGGATAAAAATAGATGGGGAAAAATAACAAATGTAGTCCATGTCCTCATGTACTGTAAATTTCCCTGTCCTTCACTCCATCCCTTCAGTTGCCTCTGGTGGGGTGGGAAATAGTCTCAGGATATGTGAGAGACACAGAATCTCTTTCAACTTCAGGGATGAATCTTACACTGAATAAGCTCTCAAGGACTGCATTCTAGTTCTGGGTGAGGCCTAAAACAAAATAGGCAGGACAAAATACCAAAAACGCCGGCATCTTTTAGCTTAAGGCTCTCACTGCCAGCGACTAAACTTCAGGAGAGGCATTTCAGTCTTTTACAATGGTGAAAAACTGCAAAAGCCAAGAACCCAATGGATGGTTGAGGGAAAGGGGGCAGGCCAGGACCAGGAGAAGGGAGAAGGGTGTGCGGCCCTTTGGAGATCCCCAGAAGCCTACAGTTCTGCACTTATGGGATATGTGGTGCATGATGGTGGAGCTCTTACCAGGTGCCAAGCTTTGGAGGAGATCCCTGCCCTCCCTCCCATGCTTATGGCTTTTTGTCTGTTTTTCTTCTAGTGATTCACTATTTAGCTAATGTGACTGTTCCAGGAACTGCTGCCATGGCATTACACATCACTGTGTGTGACTTTGTCTTGACTGACTGTTGTTCCTGGAAGTGCCATATTAGTTCCTGACCCTGCCAATGACTGCAGTGCCTGTGTCACAGACAGAGGACAAATAGCCTTGAATCTGGAGAACTGATTCTTTTAGCTAATACTTCTGGGCCAGAAGAGATAACTCTGTGAATTCTTCCTGCAGATGCCTTGTCAGGCCACATTCCTTCGTTGAAATCCCCTTTATCCTCAAAGGAAAGGGCAGAACAGTCCCTGGAAATTATCAACATAGTTGGTTCTGCCATTTAATCTAACACACCGATTTCCCAAATTATGTCCCAGAGATTGAAATGTGCCTTGAAAAACTAAGGTCCTATACTGGATGCATACACCGTTCCATGTCCTTTGTGGTGAGGATGTGCCATGCAGCACCAGTTTTCACACACACACACACACGCACGCGCGCGCGCACACCCCGCCAATTTATGAACAGTGACAACATGGTAAGAACACCTGGGGAGGGGCTGCTTCAGACTCCAGTACAGCTGACAGGCACTGGAGACCCTGGACATAATCACTGTTGTGCAGCAAAGACAGTCTCATCTCTGAACTCTGGCAAATTAGCATAGAGGAGGGCAGGACACTGGAAAATAACATTAACTAACAGTTCCTGCACTTGCAAGGATACCTGTTCATTGCTCTCAGTAGATGGAGGTATGTATAAGCTTACTTTTTTAAAAACAAGAATTTTATTTGAGAAATGCAGGGTAACAGTGAGATTGCAAAAGCATCAACAGACAGAGCTTGTTTTACATAATTCATCTGAGGTTCTGCACATAATTTAAGATCATTGTCCCTGAACACACCCCTGGAGTGTACCTTTAAGCTTTGTTATTGCCACAAAATAATCACTTTTCAATTATTTCCCTTGATATTTATTACACCTTTCCAAAAATAGAACTTCGAGCCTACATCTACTTGATCTTCATCACTAATCTAGATGAGGAAGTCCAGGGAATGATAAATAAATTTGCAGACAACCCAAAACTGGGCAAAATAGCTAACACTCTGGAAGACAAAAAGAAGATCCAGGGTGATCCAGACAATCTGTTGGGTGGAAAGCAACAAAATGAAATTCAACTGGTACAAATGACAAGTTCAACCACCAGGGGAAAAGAACCTAAATGTATCGATACAAGATGGAGAATACTTGGTTCAACAGCACTGAAAAAGAAAAAGACAACAAGCTAAATATGAGGCAACCGTGTGCTGCAGCTGCAAAAAGGGCAAATTCTCTTTTGGAATACATAAATAGAAGCATCACTTCCAGAACGGGAGGTGCTAGTTCACCTTTGCTCGGCATTCGTCAGACTTCACCAAGAATACTGTGTTCAGTTTTGGGCACCCAACCTTTAAAAAGATGTAGAGAAACTAGAAACGGTTCAGAGAAGGGCAACAAAAATGATGCAGAGTCTGGAAACATTCAAAGAAAAACTAGACAGTCATCTGAGTGGGATGGTGTGACGGTGTCCTGCACCAGCAGGAAATTGGACCCAATGGCCTACTTCTTCCAGCCCTACTATTCTATGAAACTATGAAAATCTATTAATATTTTTTGTGCATAAGCATGAAATGCCTTTGCAATTTTAATGCAGAGAAAGACTGTATTGCAGGCATCAAATGTTAAGGATATAGTGAACTCATTCTTGTAGTGCAACCAAGATGGGACCATCTGTACATAAGCAGCAAACTTGGAAGAAGTTTTGGAGAAATGCATAAAATATTTTAAATAATATCCCTAAGAGCCCCAAAACAGCCGAATGTGGACTAAACATGCTCAGCAGTGATGGAATATTGACACTGTTGAAGGGGAGGGATGGGATGGGATGGAAAGGGGGCAACAGACAGGTGTTCGTCTCCTCTGTCATAAGATACACAGAAGTTGTTCACACCTAGTCCACCAAGAATTTTTAAAATCCTAAGTTATAACATCATCGCCCTTTATGGGACGAGAGCTTTTCTTTAAATTATGCACTGGAAATAAGGACATACATTCTTTTTTTCTGCAATGCCTGTCTTCCCAGTCAGACAATGCACTTCTATTTAGATACTCAAAAATTGCTTTTTAGCTTTAGAACTATTCTGTGCACATCTGGAAAGAAAAATGGAGAAATGATAGGGATTGTAGGACTTTTTCTATCTAAACATGCATAGGATTGCACCTTGATTTATTATGAGTTTCTACTGCTACTTTTTCCCCTCCAAGGATATTATTACTCAGAATGGCCATTAGTTTTCATTCTGAGTTACAGTAAAACCTCAGATCATATGCAAACATTTTAAAATATGCAGATTTTAGAACTATTTTAAATCATCAAATACCCAAGCAATTTATATGGAGGATATGAAAACAAATGGGCAGGCTTTGAAAGAATTAGAGAACTCCAAATTAATATAAGTTCTATGAATATTCTAATTAATTGAATTAATATCAGGCTGCTATTAATATTATCAGTATAATATTCCTGCAAATAAACAGGCAACTTTTCAAAAACATTTTAGACAGTAATGAGATGGCTTTTCTTTGTTGTGAAAATCAACCTTATACATTTTATTTATCTTTCTCACAGACAGAAACACATGACTCCCCTTTGCCTGCTGAACCAGCAAATAAGTGTTTTGATGCAAGCCATTCTGAGACTATGGAGGACAACACCTGTACGTGGAATGAGGAGCTGGAAAAAGAGCTCTTACGAGGTAAACCCCTCTTCTCAGTCCACATTGTTTTTGATGTGTGTGATATACAAAATCTGCATATGGGAAATCATGTCTGAAATATCGTGGTATCCAGTACCAGATAGTGTCATCTTGTTTCCCTGGCTTAATCGTATTTGAATAACAATGTTGTAAAGAGGTTGGTGTCTTCCATGCTTTTCCTAGATGGGTTATGCCAGTGTCTGAAGGGTTATAGTAGGAGCATAAGAGCCATGCTGAAAACCAGCCAAGGGCCTTTCTAGGCCAGCATTCTGTTCACTCAGTGGTCTACCAGCAGCCAGTGGCAGCACCTCTTCCAGTTGTGGTCCCAGCAACTGTGGTACATGGGCATGCAGCCTCTTATACTGAAGGTAGCAAATCGTTGTTATGGCAAGTAGCTACTGATACCTGCCACTGGACTACAGCCCTTCCAGAGGAGTTGGTGGCTATCCCATAATTTGCAAAGTTCCCACCTTTTGGAGCTTTATTTGTGGCTCTGTGCTAATTCTCTAAATTAAATGGACATTGTGTTGTGACCTTCAACTCTCCACCATCACATGATAGGACATACATGCATTCTGTTTTTTAAAAGGACATGACAGAGGGAAACTATGATAATGAGCTTTTTTAAAAACAACAGTGACCAAAGAAAGAAAGCTGCCCCCAAAGCAGTGCCTGTGTAGCATTCGATAAATGGATTGTCAGGTAGATAGAAGCAGTTTGAAAAACTGTCGTTACATCTGGCATCTCCAAGGTGAAAGTGCTCTTTGTAACTCATCCTCACTGCATTCTTGGCAGTTTGAACTGAAATCAGATTTAATGTTTAACCTCTGTTAAATGTTCAACTACTTGCAGATGGAAACTATGCTTTTAAGATATTCACCATGCCCACTGCTGTAAAACATCAGCTCATCCATTATTTTGCGGAACCAAAGAACTCAGTTTGTTGGCTTTTTAAATTAGCACATATATACCACATTTCAATTCACTTGCAGGACGTTTACAGAGAAATAAATCAAGATGAAATACAAAATAGGCAACAACAATCACAGTGAAAACCATAAACAGCAGCTAAAAACAGTAAACTTAAGAGACCAGGAACAATTTTATAAAGTCTTTCTCTGGCATTCAAAAAATGCCCACATAGTAGTAGGTTAGCCTTCCTTAGGGAGGGTGTTCTATAAATGAGGTGCTACCATTAAGAAGGCCCTGTCTCCAGTTGCCGCTGACTTTACCTGAGACCGCAGGGCATGGGCCCTCAAACTAAGGCCTGCGGGCCGGATCCAGCCCACCATGCCCATTTTACCGGCCCGCCCCAGAGGTTTTGCACTTGCCGTGCTTGTGCGTGGGTGTGCGTGGGTGGGTGGCTTACTCATGAGGAGGTTGTTTTGGACTCGCTTGGAGAAAATGATCTTGTGAGCAAGCCGGCGCCCCGCCCCGCGTGTCCCCCCGTCCCCACACGCACGCCCCCCACCAGCCCATGCCCCCCTCCCCGCACTGCCTTGGCAGCCCACGTGCATCGCTGGCACCTGTCAACTGGCCCCCTGTTGAAACAGTGTGAGGACCCCTGCCACAGAGGCACCAGCAGGAGTCCCTCCTGCACCTGCAGCCTGATTAAATAATATACTTTAATAACTTCACCTCACAAATCAGCAATAAACTTTCCAGTATTGAGATAATCGATAGACTTCTGACCCAAATGTTATAACAAAGTGATAAATATTTTCAATCGTATATCCTAGTTTACAAGTTACAATAGCAAGGGCATTAAAATAAATACATAAACAATCAATCGAAGATTCTTAAAATGATACAGGCGTTGTTGTAGGAGGATCGCCACTGAGTGGTAAAAATAAAAAAGGGAGAGTTGTGCAGGTGCTTCATAGCTGCGACAGCTTTGACAGAATGGCCAGCAAACTAAACCCCCTAAAAGCAAATGGGTTGCACAATGATGCAGGTGTGGAAACAAAATGGGGTTGTGTCCCTTATGACTAATTGCATCCCAAATGAAATCCGGTGGTAGTAATTAGCATTTATGTAGTACTTCAGAGAGTTCATGAGATTCACATACATTAACTCAGGTAGGTCAGTATTATTATCCCCATATTGCAGATGAGGAAGCTGAGGCTGTGAGTTAACAGCTGAGGTTACAGCAGAGGCAAGATGGCAGCTTATGAATCACCTTTCAGGCTTTGTGACTTTGCCACATTACCTTCTTCGGTGTCCATTCCATTCACCGTATCCCTAGCAGGCAGTTTCTTCAGAGGGGTTGCAAAAGGCAAGTTCTCCAAGTGTCGGTATTTCAGCAAACACATTTTAAAAGCCCTCCATTTTAGCTGTTACTGCAGTGAGCAGGATAGTGCATTTCCAGAGCGCGTGTGTCTGAAGAGACTAAAGAAGCCTATCTAGTCTGTGTGCTCGTGTTTCACCTTACTTCTCTCCCATACGCCTTGGATAGAGGCAGCTGAGGCAGAGAATGTGGCCACATGCAGTGGTGCCTCATCCTGCTGCTCTGAGTCCACTCAGCGCTGCCAGCAAGGGTAGGCATTGTTGAGCACCTGCCGGGGGCCCAGTAGCAGCAGTCCTTTGCAACTGGGCCTCCTCCTGCAGCCTTCCTGGTTACCTGCCTCTTGCTCTGGACTGGTCAGCAGTGGTGGTGAGGACTAGGAGATCCACTACCAGCTTGCTCACTTTGAGTTCAAGCCGAGTTCTGCTTCTGCAAATGGACTTTTGAGCTTTGTTTGTTTGTTTCATGAATTTCTGTGCCATTCACGATATAAAAACAAGACAACATTCCAAAATCAAAAGCATTAAATCAAGGTAATCAACACATATTAACAACATAATCCAAATATAAAAGATAATATATCAAAATTAAAATATAATATGAAACATTAACTAAAACATGCAAGTTAAAATGACTAAAGCCAAACATGGGGTCAGTTTTAAAACCAAATAACCTCTAAATTCATTGTTAAAATCTACAGAGAAAAGGAGAGTTTTTGCCTGGCACCAAAACACTGGCAGTGTCAGTGCCAGGCATACCTCTCTGGGGAGCCTATTCCAGAGGTGGAGCACAACTGCCAAAAGGCCTTCTAGCCAGCACCCCCCTCACCTCCCTAGGGGATGGCTCCCTGCGAAGGTGCTCCTGGCTCAATCTTGGTGGATGTGCTTGCTTTGTATACTTGGTGCAAAGAATTATGTAATGTGCCTATTTTGCACAAAAAATGCATTATTTGCATACTTTACACAAAAAGGCTGCTGGCATCCCCAAGTATTCATGAACTCAGAGAACGTCACCTGTTGGGTGGCATAGAAACTGAATGATTAAATAAACTTCAGAATCAAGGGAGGGAAAGACGTCCAGTGAGTGCAAGAGAACCAGATTCTAGCCTGATCTTGCATCTTATTGGTCAGTCCTGCTTGAGATAATTTCCACTGTTCCCAGGAAAGAGAACGCCACAAAGTGTGGATTGTAAAATAGGCAATAGCAAGAAGAACCTGGCTAGGCATGGGTGAAGACATATGAACTGTCTGATAACCCCTCAGCATTCTGATTCCTGATTATCCTCAGTCAGGTAGTAATCATTATGTGAGAAAAGAAATAGGTCACTAATGAACTCTCTGCAGGGGGAATGCTTCATTGGGGTGTACTGGGATAGGTGTGATGAATATTTCGTGTGAATAAAGATATGACAATGGATAAGGACCTGTTGCTTGCCTTTACAGATAATAAACTTAACAAGAGTTTAGCTTTACCCCAAACACTCTGAATGTAAAATTTGAAGGCCTTTTATTGATGTAGCCTTGATAGAAGTAGTACATTTGTGAGAAGGAACTATTCTGAAAGGACATTTCAAACCTGCATTTGTCCAAAATAGCAGCTGTTCATGGTGTCTAATTTTGTCTTTCTCTGCTGCAATGTACTTTATAAGTCAATTTAACCTGATATATGGTGTGGATTGTATAAGGCTTTGATGGTACAAATAACTGATTTGTCTCCAACTTTATATGAAAAATAACTCTGTCTCTCTGTCACATTCCTCCCTCCAGTTTTGGGCAGTCTTGATGATCAGCTGGCACAGGAGCAATGTCAAAATGCTGTGAAGAGGAGGACTCCGACTGACTATGGCTCCAGAGCATTGGAAGCCAGTCATTATCCCAGTGCATCCCAAGCCAATCTCCTTGGAGGATTGCAGAGAAATGACCGGAGCATGTTTTTGTCAAATGGAAAGAGAACATTGAGAGCCAAAGAATACAGAACACCCTTCAGACCAAGAGTGTTTTATGATACATACCTAAAAGGGCGCTCTACAGAAGACTACACCTCTGGAGATCCTTACAGTGCAAGGCGGCCCTCCTTGAAGAGAGGGTATTCTGCTCATTCTCTTGGACATTCCTCAGCAGGAAGCTTGCAGTTTCCTTCAGGACCACACAATAGTGGATTTGGGCGCAAGGACTTCATGCCCAGTAATACTTTTAGTAGAAGCCGTTCTTTCTCTTGTCTTGAACGTCATGAGTCTTTGACAGCTAGCCTGCAGCATTCTTTGGAAAGCAACAGGGACTTCACAGAATGGAACTACTGTCACCAGCCCAGGCGGGCTCCCTTATCATCTGTTGTATGGAACACACCGGAGTCTGCTGAATGTCTACTATATCCAGACAGTCTTCTTAGGACACAGTCATTAATGGAGTTTGACCCAATGTTTCAAGATATGAATCCATATTGTCCACAGGAGAATACTAGGTATGGACTTTATAGATCAAAAATTAATTTCAGAAGAGCAGTGCCGTGTACACCTCCTTTCATATTTGCTGACAGACCCACAGACCCTCTGTATTTTGATAATTGGGAGAATTATTTATCACATCAGCTGGAAAGGAACAGTTTGAAACCCTTCCACAGGTACTCATCATTTCGCGGCAGGGTGAAACGCAAGAGTTTTCCTTCTGGAAGAACAGATGAGCAGCCTTTTTGGCCCAGTGCCCACCAGTGTAGCAGTGATGAAGTCCTGCCTCCCTTTGATAAAGACTCTAAAAGGATCCCAGCTAATCTGATGAATTGGCAGTGTGCCCATGCAAAACAGCACAGATTTCAGCAATGTGAGAGTGGTGCTCAAAGCCATTTATCAGAGTCCATGAGTAGCATGGAACATCCAGAAGAAGTAACAAACAAATTGCTTTTAAAGCATGCAGAGGGTATTCAGAGGATCTCAGGATCTGGATTATCTGATCCTAAGTGCCAAACAGAATATGCAGTACAAAGACAAAATCTATTACATGGAGCCAGCCAAAATTCCTCCAATATTTTTGCTAAACATTCTCAAGCAGAGAAAAACTTTGAAATATTTGCCTCAGAAGAGGTGAGGGGCACTGACCAATTAGGTAAGATGGACAGGGGAGACATTAAAGGAGGGACATTAAGACGAGTTTCTGGACAGGTGTATAGAAATACTCCAACCATATCTCAGATGCTTCCTGCCATGACCTCTTTTGCAGCTGACCCACAGGACAGTGTATCTCTTAAGCCACCTCTCTCACTGAGTTCAAAAATGCTGACCAAACCAACTCCAGTAAAAGATATTGAAAACACTCCTTTTTCAAGCATTCAGAACAGAAATAGACAAAAAGATGAATTTGACTGCACCGCAAACAGTGACCTTGATCACACACCTTCCCCTCGGTCAACGACTAATAGCGCAAGGACACCGATTCGTCAACGATCTCATCAACAGGGACACCAGTCAGAATCCTTGAGAGCTTTTACAGCAAGAAAGGCACCCGTTAATACTTGTTCACCTATTTTCGGCACAGGGTCTGACATACCTGCAAAGGGTGAACTATCAGATTCTTGTACTAAAAACATCCACAGTGATGATAGATTTGTTAGACATGCAACTAGCAACAGCATCAGTGGCTGTCCTAGTAGCAGCCCTCCTAAGTCTTCTGTAACTTATTACAGAAAAGCAGCCAGTATTGGTGGCACGGTTATATCAGAGAAACCTGTATCTCGCCCTCCAAGGCAGTTCTCATTCAAAAACTGGCTAACAGGGGGAGAAGACTCAGAAACACTTGCATCAGATAGAATAGAAAACAGTTACTCAAATCAGGAAGATAAAAGCTCTTCACTAATTCTAGCCTCTTCATCCCTAAGCACGTCTTCCAAAGATATCACTTCTGATCCACCCCCACAAGCTAAAGACTACTATCAAGACTCTTCCCATGCTACTAATACAACTGTCAGCACTTCAGAAAAAGTTCCCGTTATATGCAACCCAGACAAAACTGAAATTTCTATGCCTTCTGAGTGTGAGGAAACAGATGCAGGGAATTCTTTAAAGCAATACAAAACCACTAGCACCCTTACAGTTAATATAGAGGAAGATCATGTAGAATACCATGAACTGATTTCAGTTTATTATACCTTACCAAGGAAACGTTCAAGGATGTTGTGCAACCTCTTTCTAGATGATAACAAGAAGGACTTGGATTCTTCCCCAGTCACAGAGAAATTTCAGCCCTCTCAAAAGACATATGAAGTGCGTGTTAAGTTAGGAACTGTAGCTTTTCCTTCCAGCTTAGAAAAGGCTGATTCCTCTGGCGAAGTGGCTGCCACTCCTGAGCAGAACTCAAACACTTCAGATGAAGGTAATAGTGGAAGTCCCAGTGTACTAAATCCTATAGTGGAGCGCTCACAGGCTTCCTGTTCACCAAGTGTGGTACATAATAAAGAAGCAGCCAAGAGAATGCCAAGAGAAGCACCAGCACTTGCTTTTCCTGACAGAGTAACATCAGATGGTCCTCTGGGTATCCCCAAGCTCAGTGCAACAGGGGATAAAACCACTAATGACACACTGGTGCGTGTGCATACTGCCGGGTGCTCTTCTCCACTGAAGGAACAGTCAGCTGACACACCATTAAACCTCAACTCACTGAGCTCTGCAAATGCCACTATCTCCTTGTGCAATCTTCCGGTGACTCCTTCTACAATGAACACTAAAGAAGAAAACTCTCTATGCTGTCAGCCATCTACTGAATCAACAGCGAACAACAATCCACATATTCTACCTTCCTGTTCGATTGGTAATAACCAGGAAAGAAAGTGCACAACAGATGCAAAAATTAGTACTGCAGAAAATGTTGTCAAACAGCAGATTAGTGCAGAGGTCAATGAAAGGTCATGTCGAAAGTGCCATGTTATTTTCATAAAGGGAAATGGGTTGCAACCAAGAAATGAAAGTGTCAGAAATAGCACCGATCGAGCCTTCATTTCAGAGATCAAGGTGCATTCAGATTCCCAGAACCAAACACCACAAGCAGATGCAGGTTCCATAGTTAATTCATTAAATCAGTCAAATAAAAGTGCTTCGGAGTGTGGAAAAACTGAACAAGAAGAGATTAATCCTAATTTGTCACTATACAACATTTGCAGAGATTCACAAAGACCTGTGAGAACTTCTATAGATAACCAGAAACTTAGCTCTAAAGATGACCTCACAACTACCAGGCAGGAACTTCCAGACCATTCAGCAACTGAAAACAAACTTAATTTGGACTGTACTGAAGATAAAGCTAGTGACACAGAGAAAAGAAAAGGCAGGTCTTCAATTAAAAACAAATTGGCAGCCATGTACAAAATAAGCAGAAAGTTTTCTAGCAAGAAAAGCGTGAATACCAAGCCACACGTAAGGAACATATTTTCACAGAATGAAGCTCCTTCTCTAGAGATAAGCAAGTCTCACAATATGCTGATTTCTCCTCAAATTCCACGGTCATTCCTGCAAATAGGGAATGAGAACCAGAATCAGAACTCTCAATCTGATGGATTTGAAGGTACAGTGCATGACAAAGCTGATAAAAAATCACAAACTAACAGAACTCCTCCACTGCATGCCAATGAGATCAGGAGACCTTTTACAAACCTGTGCAACCAGAAAAGGGACTGTTCCACTTCCAAACAAAATGGGGGCATGCAGAATCCTGCTATCTTATTTCCTAAAGACACTGTGCCCAAGCTAAGCAGTAATTCCCACGTATATGATAAAAGTATAGAAAATTACCCCACCTTTTCCAGAACTGAAAATGCAGATGCGAACCAGAAGAAAAAAGATGGTAATTTTGGTGAGCCTTTGTGTTTCCCAGTTTCATCCAAAACTAATTCAAACCTTATTAAAAACTATTCCAAGTCAAATATCCATTTGCTACAAAATGCGATTTCCTCTACAGAATGTGACCAGCATCAAAATATCAAGCAGTCAAACAGGTTAAAAAATCCCAACCTACCTTGTGTTGACACTGTTCTGAATCCCAGCAAAATACGTGAAAGACACTTTTCTGAAACGACCTTTTCACAAGAACCCCACAAACACTTAGCCTCTGGGAACAGCTTGATACGTGATGGTGGTAGATACAGTCGGAAGTTTAAATCCTATTCAGAATTGTTGATATGTGATGAAAATGAGAACTGGGATGCCTGTGATGGCAGTAGTAAGACCTTTGGTTCTAGACGCATTGTTTACCCCTCTGTTGATTTTGGCATTTTTGGGAAAGAACAACAACAGGCTTTCTTAGATAATATAAAGAGGTCACTCACAGAAGGAAGGCTGTGGAGGCCATATCTTCTTAAGGACTCTAGTCTTATGAGAAAGCAAAGGGGTTATTCGTTAAGCACATCTGTCCAGTTGGGCTCAAGTTTTGGTGAAGGAAACGTTTCACAAGAAGGCTCATCCCCAAGTGAGCCAGCTGACATACATAAAGACCCTGCTCATTATTCAGATGAGGACTCTGACACGACCACAGATGATGAATACTACCTGAATGAGAATGATAAAGAGTCAGAACTTTAAGAGGTTATAAGGCAAGATGGAGAGAGGGGAAAGACACTTTAAAGCCAGTGTGGTGTAGTGTGTAAGGGTGTGGTACAAGGACTCAGACGATCCGGGTTCGAGTCCCCACTCAGCCCTGGAGACAACTGGGTGGCTTTGGACCAGACACAGGCTCTCAGCCCAGCCTACCTCACAGAGTTGTTGTGGGGATGAGCTTGAGAGCAGCAGCAGGAGAATGATGTAAACTGCTTTGAGTTCTTTAAAAGAGAAAAGGTGGGATTGAACTCAGATAAATTAATGCTGGCTGGTTAATTCTTAGGTAGGTTATAAAATATTTGGGATCAAGAGCCTGAAAAGAGTCCAGGAAAGGATTTGCCGTCCATTCCTAAATCTTTCGCACTGAGCTTGCTTGGACAACTCAGAATTAGGCCACCAGCACAGAATGGAAGTCATCTCAATGCAGTGAGAAGATGTCTCCTAAGAGGTTGACTAAGGGGTCTCAAATGGGTTGCCAGCTTTTCCCTCCCTAGTTCCTTTGCCATGAAGGGGCAGAAGGAAATTATGAATCGTTTCATGTCATGGCAATTCAGCAATTGGGTGTGGAGGATTAAGGGGAGATAATCTCTAGGTTAATCTCCTGATAATGGCATGAAAGATCCTTGCAAGAAAAGGACTAATTATCTTATGCTGACTATAAGAGTCTGAGTCAGTTTTCCACTGATCAGGAATTGAAATTTTGCACTTGGCAGAGTGTCTGTTGCAAGCTGCAAAAGGGTAGGGGGGGGGCAAGAAAAAGAACAGTAGCAAAAGTAAATAGTTTTTATGTATGAATATTCAGTGGGAGAAGCCAGTGTAGACTCTGTTAATCAAGAGTAGTCAACCCATTCTGGTAGCTCTTTAAATCCCATGAAAATAAATGGGGCTGCTTTGGAATAATGTTTGGTGCAATTGCTTTCCACAAACACACAAAGGCCCACTGATCTCAGGGCAAGAGACATGCATGTTGAAATCAGTGGAACCTAAAAATGTGTCATATTGACAGATTTGTGTCCTTTGCTTTTATAATCAACAAATGCCAATGTTACAGAAAGTGTACATAAACTGTTTATTTTTAAAATACTGAATACTTCGTTAAAAAAGTGGACATATTACTGTGAGCATTTAAATATTATTTAGTTTGATACTGTTGTACTTGAAATTGCTAATAAGCTTTATTTCTAGTTCATGCAAATATAACTATTTCAATAGGATTTCTAAGTACAAGTCATTACACATTAGTGTAATATGTAATTAATGTAAAAATATAATGTATTGTTCAGACATGAGCTATTTTGACAAGAAGTGTTATCGAACAAACATATATTGCCTCTTGTACCATAAGTCTTAGATTTAGTCTTAAATATTTTATTAAAGCATGTTTATTAAACTTTCCCACATGACTAGTATGTACAGCAATTCATGCAAAGAATGTTAACACGAAACTTGAACAGTTCTATAATTGTGTTCTTTTATGCTTTAGACTTTGCACTTTGTTGTTCTTTTGTATGTTGGAAATATTTCCTTGCCTCCGAGATTGACTTTTAAAGCAAATTCTGCCTGTAGGTACGTAGGAGAGGTTCTCACCAACCTTTTCACAAAGTGCTACCTATACAACAAAAATGCTAGTAATACTAATTCAGATTGAGAGCAAAATTTAATTCCCTGCTAAATTGTTTAACGTTGACATCATTTTGATAAATGTTGGTATAGGCAGATGCCATTACCACCACTGGTGGAAGGGCAGCAGAGGCAATTTCTGCATTCACAGGAAGGAGACTTGCAAGAGAAGACCTCCATCTCTGTGGGAAGAAAAGGAGATCCCCTCTACCGCATGGCCTTGGAACAAGCTCATTGCAAGCTATCTTAAAGCCACGTCATACATTATCTGTGCTGGATCTCTCTGAAGAAGCCATATGAGTGGTGTTACTGATCTGTTTGCCTCAGTGGCTTGATTTCGCATGAACACTGAGGTTCCAAATTACACACAGATCAGTGTACTGGATGTAAGCTATTTTGAAAAGAAATCTCTAATATTAACTTGCCTATGTATTTTATAAGAACTTCGAAGCAAACATGGAACATTGGATTAGCATGCTTAGATGCAGTCCACAAATCGGTTCTTCATACATAAGCTGCCAGAAGGCACTACTTCTGGGTAAGTGTGCCACAAGCTAAGTCTCAAGTATGAAATAGCTGCTCTGATGTGCTTACACATATATAGGAAGCCCCCTGCACCTCTTGGGGTGATTTATCCTGTAGCTTACAGGATGTGGTAAAGACAGAAGAGTAATGCTGGAGAGACAGGAATGTAAGACTGCCTTTGAGCTACAAATCAGCTTTTTCCAACCTGACATCCTTCTGATGTGTTGGACTATAACTCCCATCATCTCCAGCCAACACTGCTGGTTAGGGATACAGCATACCTAACGCTCACAGGACTGGGAAGACCTCAGATGCGCCTGCAGGCTGTTCTGCTCTCTAGGAGCACCATGGTTCTTCTTGTGAGTCCTGACACAGGTTGGTCACCCATGTTCAATGCAATAAATAGCTATTTTAAATAAGCTATTAATACTGTCCACCACTATTTTAATAAATGAAGTGTATTAGTGACTAAAGTGTGATGTACTTGTCTTATTTATACTTGTTCTGCATTCATTTCCAGCAATCTTTGATTTCAAAGGTACATGCATCTCAATGTGCAGTTAGACAATATCTTCATCAGAACTAGCCAGAATGGCCAAAAAAAAAAAAAAAAAAAAAAGTTTCATGTTGCCCAGATCAGACTATTCTAGGCTTCCCTAATCAAGTGCCTTATGTGTTAAGCTACAACTCCTGGCATTCCTAGCCAGCCAAGCTAGGAGTTTTAATCCAATACATCAGTCGGTGCCTGGTTTAGGAATGATGGGCTAGATGGTTCACAAAAGGGTTGGTGGCAGGGAAGTACAAGTTAGGCCAGATGTGGTCATGAGATCTCAAGCATAGTCTGCCTCAAGATGGAAATGGCAGACATCCTCATGTGTTCACAACAGTGATGGCAAATAAAAATGAACATCCATAGTTGGTTACTATTAAATCCTAGGATATTTCCTATAACTGAATCAAGGGATATCAACTGAAGAAGACACATGACCCAGCGATTTTGTTAATGCTATGCAGTTCTGGCTCAGAAAAGCCTTCAAAGTTGCTTTGAACTCTAATACTGATTGTCCTAACATGGATTCTTATGTAGCTGAAATGTCACCATCCATGTATAAGAGATGGGCATTGGAAGGTTCAAAAGACCTCCAAGGTTTGCAGGCATCCGAACCATAATTTTGGGGCAGGGGGACGTGTGGGAGGGCAAAATCCCAAATAGCCTAATGGCTGCACTGACTGCTGGGGATGAGAGAGTGAACAGTTGCTTGGCCACTCTGCACAGAAGGCAGGACGAGATGGACCCTCGCTTCTTAGATTCGCAAGTGTGCATGGGCCCACTGCGGAGCTCTTCCCACAGGCCCTCAAAAGCCTGCAGGATCGGGGCTGAGCAAGCGCGCCCCGTACGCACCTCCGCCTTGCCTGCGCTCGGCGCGGCACTCCCGCCTGCGCTCGCAGAGGAAAAAGGATGTGGCAGTCCTGCCTGATTGACCATCGCTTCTCCCAATCAAACGCCGCCACTCGAACTCGGCCCCCCATCCCGAAAAGGAGGGGGAAAAGTTTACAGGAATGGATTAACTTCTGCGGAGGTGAATGGGCAAGACGCCCTCACCCCCTTTCGCCCTCTGCTTTAATGTCGCATGCACTCGGCGGGGGAGGCTTTTTTGTCGCTGCAGCCAAGAATGCAAATGTTGCTCCTGCTGCTGGGAGCCGCCGCCTTCTTGGCCCCTGCGCAGAGCCTTTCGGAAGCCGCCGCGGAGCCTCCGTCGGCGGCCACCGTCAGCGCGGAACTCAGCCTGGTGTGGGGGCCCGGCCTGCGAGGCGAGCAAACCTTGCCCGTCAGGTACTTCTACATCCAGGCGGTCAGCAGCGACGGACGCAACCTCACGCGCTCCCCGCCCCCAGGTACCGCCCGCGCGCCCGTGCCCGGCATGGGCGCGGCCCTTCCTCTGCGTCCCGCCTTGGGAGCTCCCTGCAAAGTGCGCTTCGAGCCCTTGGAAGCCACCTCGGTTAAGCCCGGCAACGCCCGGTCGGTTTTGCAGGGTGCTCCCGGAGACGGCTGGCCTCGCCTAGTCCGGTCCCAGGCCTGCCCGACACGCACGCAGCCGACAGAGTGGATGGTTAGGGCTTCGGGGCTGCTGGTGGGATGGGCAGATCAGTTCTTGAACACATCTCTTAAAACGGGGGGGGGGGGGGACCGCAAAGGAAAAGAGCAACACTTAAAAAACAACGACACGAAGTAGATGCCTGAAACAGAAAAGACCACAATGGCAGTTGCGCTCAGCTAGATCCAGTCTAGCTTGGTAGATAGCCATGCTTGGGGTTAAATAGGCAACCTTTGTTTCCACAAGTGGGCTGGCAAAGTCATGGTGGACTGTGGTGATCATGGAAACCAGGCCACAATGTTCAGAACTGGTAAAGATGTTTTCAGGGTCACCAGTCACCTGAAAAGGTTGATGGGTGACAGATAAGCAGTTGCAGGTAAGGACATGAGGAAAGATTTGAAAGGAAGAAAATGAGTGGAAGGGAAGAAGTGCTTGGCCAAAAGCAAAATGGGAGCAACATCTTTCACATCCTTTTAGATTGAAGTTCAAGATGAAAACTGGAAATGACAAGGAACTAATAGCTTGCCTCGTTCCTGAGGCACCATGATGTGTCATCAAAGGGAGAGGAGCAAACTGGGTCTGACTCTCCAGCAGTCACAAGCATCAGTCTTGCTTGCCAGGCCACCCAAGCAGCAATCTGCAGAAAACTATACTTAAATCATGTGAGTGGTAAGGAGGGCAGTCCATTGCCCCAAGAAATCTACAAGTTAGACAAGCTTACACCTTTGCACCCTTAACTGGGCCCAGTGTTGTTTCCCACCATATACCATGTCAGCCTCACAGGACTGGAACTGCATGCTTGCTCAAGGGAGTGAAAAGGGGTGTATTAGGGGGGAAATGTAGGAATGGTAACACTACTTTATAACCTTTACATGGTGCCAGGATCAAGATAGCTACCTGTACTGGCGTTCCATGCTGCACCTGTGGAACAAGTTTTGACTGGCAGGGTTGTTTGTGGCTGGTGCATGGACCCAAAGCAACCCCGCAGCCAGTTTGCAAGTCTCAACAATGCAACAAGCAGTAACCAGAGAACTTGTATCCACAACAGGGCACCACATCTATACAACACACCAGTACACTCTGCTGCAGCTAAGGGAATTGAGCCCTCAAGCTCCAGGCCTGAGGTCACTACATAAGCAGCGCTAGGACACAGGGCATTGGATCAGCGCAGAGTTAAACTGTGGAATTCAACTCGGTGAGATACAGTGATGGCCACTAATTCAGATGGCTCCAAAAGGGGAGTGGACAGATTCAGAGGATCAGTATCTCAGCATCTACTTGTTCTGATGGCAGTATGCTACCTCCAGGTTCAGGAGCAGTATACTTGTACAGCAGTTGTTGGGGAACATGAGTGGTGGTGGTCAGGTGCTGTTAAATTTATGCCTTGCTTATGTGTTCCTGTGGACAAGTGGTTAATAGGTCTTTAGGTTCTAAAGTATCACTATGGTTCAGGAAGCCAGTGTGAATAAAATAATTGCACTCACTGACATCTGTATGCAGACTGTAGGGTCAATTCTTGCACTTTTGTAAGAGCATCCCTACCTGTGCCATTGCCAGCAACATCACATTATGAGCTTGGCTGATTTGATAAGATGAATAAGATGATGAGAGCCAGTATGGCGTAGTGGTTAAGAGCATGGGACTGGGACTCAGACGATCTGGGTTCTAGTCCCCGCTCAGCCATGGAGCCAACTGGGTGACTTTGGGCCAGGCACAGACTCTCAGCCCAACCTACCTCACAGGGTTGTTGTGGAGATAAGATAGAGGAGGAGATGTAAGCTGCCTTGAGCCCTTTGTAGGAAAAAGGCAGGATATAAATCGAAAAGTAAATAAATAAAATTGAATAGATACACCATAGCTATCCAACTGTTTTACAGTAGCAATCTTCATAGTTCTTGCAAGCTGTTCCAAGGAGTACTTCTTGAAAAAGGATTTTAGTGGAATATGTTCTGACCTGTGTTTGGTGATGGTGAGTTTCATCATAATTCTTCTGTGCTTAACCGATAGATCTGTAGTTAGATATGTTTTCCTTTTTTCACTATTAATTATTTGACCATTTTTACTTCCAAAGTTTTTGCTGTTAAGCCCTCTAATTTCTGTTGCTTTGGTCCATAAGGGCACCCCATTAATTCTAAATTACTTCCTGATCCTTATTTGCACTGGCATTGCAAAACTTGACCTGCAGCTACATTTATGGCACTTCGGCAAGCTTATATCCAGCTTCTGTGTGTTCTTCTGTCAACATGCAAATGTTCATATCTCCTCTTCAGATTTCCTTGTTTTGTTGAGGGTGAGATTATAGCATAATATGTCCAGAGGTGGCTTCTTTTCAGCCTCATATTTTGATTTTTTGTTTAAGAATGATTTTGCCAGTACAGTTTGGTGTGATCAGCAGCTAATGTGCCATTCTGTGTTTTGTCTGCTTTTACATGGAGTCAAAGAGTGCATGTAACTGTGATTACACTCTTAATTAGGGAAAGCAGAAGGTAGCTAATTTTCAGGGGTTCCAACTTGGTATATATACTGTTGCAGATGTTGGAAATGGCACGTGTATTGCAACATGTGACAATGGCAACCAATTTGGATTACTTTAAAAGTGGATTAAACTTATTCCTGGAGGATAAAGGCAGTATGAGGCTACTTGTCCTCATGGCTAGATGTTCCCCCTGCTATCTGAGACAATATGCCTCTGAATACTGGTTGCTGGAGAATATGGAAAGGTGATTGCAACTGTACTCAATGACCTGCTTTTGGGCTTCCCACAGGTGTTTGGTTGGCCTGAATTCTGGCCTAGATGGACCCTGGGTCTTCATACTTTCTTGATCGGAGTGTCCAAGTCATACATGTTTTAATATACCAAATTACAGTAGAGTCAAAATGTTGAAAATGTGGCTTTTTTCCAGTCCGTGGTAGGAAGGAAGTAAAGAGACTTGCCTGGCTCATCAACATTTTGACCTGTCTTTCTTTTACTAACACTGTAACAGGGCTTGGCAAATTAGACTGTGCCTAGCACCGACAGACATGCATAAAGCTGACCTGGGCTCTTTAAACTCTTCCATTGGCATCCTTTAACAAAAGGCAGTCAACACTTTATAGATGGCTGACTGTTAATTGAAGACATGTGGAACCATTTAAAAGCATTGTTTTTTTTAATGAGCTTTGACAGGATTTCTTTTTAAAGCTATTATAAATTATAAAGCTATTATAAATAATATGACGTGATTGAAACTGTAAGAACAGTTTTGGCTCTCCCTTGTTTTAAACATTTCTACACCGTGTATTAACCAACAAAGTGTTACAGAATATTCTAACAGGCTTGAGAACTTCCTGCAATAGCTACAGTTATTGTATACCTATATTACATCCATCCTATGCTTATGAAATGTTTTCTTTTATTGACTCGTAATCCTAGAATTTGAGGAAATTGATTGGCAGCAGAGTCAAATGAAAGTGTGCATAATAAATTCATAAAATTTGCTGTCTCAGAATGGCTATTGGTTTAGGTATCATTAAAATGAGCTTAGACAGTTTCATTGAGGATAGTTTATCAAAGGCTTTTAGTCATGATGGCCATAGGAAGTCTCCAGTTTGAAAAGCAAACATATTAGTGAATAATTAAGCCAAGTCATATATACTGTGTCGTTATTTCTGTTTTCTTCTGTTTTTCAGGAAGTACACAATTTAAAGTGACAATCAAGGCCATCTCCCCAAAAGAAATCATCCAGGTTCAAGTTCCTAAGCTTTTGGACAGGAATGATGGCTCTTTTCTCATGCGATACCGGATGTACGGCAGTGTCATGGGAGGGATAAAGGTGGAGATTCTTTATGGTGATGCCCATGTAGCTCAATCTCCCTATATCTTGAAGGGTAAAGTAGTGTTTAACTGTTTATCTTAATTTTGGGGGGCCTGGTCCCACTGGGCATTGCTCAGTTGATAGTTGCAGATGAAACCTCTTGTAAATACACTGCTTGTGTTAGAATATTGTGTGTGTGTTCATAAAGAAATTAACACATCTTAAACCAACCTTCTCTAATCCAGTCAACTAAATCAACCTCTTCTACTGTATGGGGCCGCCCTCCCATAATTCCCAGTCAGAATGGCCTATAGTATGGTGACTGGGATGGTGGGAGTTACAGTGTAGCACCTCTAGGGGCTACCATGTTGGGTAAGGCTGATCTGTAAAGTATAAAGAGCAGACTGTGTTTATTGTAACAGTGGATCTTTACTCAAGAACATGCTTGACTTCATGGAATATTTTGTAACAGGTGACATAAATAATAGGTCAAATAGCTAGTGTCCCTATCCCGCTAAACACACAACTTTAAGTTCATACAATCATTAAGTTGTGGGTACCTAATTTTGAATACTTAGGATCAGCACTGCAAGGGCTTTTATCCACTCTGTGTGACTTGGGGTACAAGCTTATTGCCAACAGGGCAGGTTCATGTAACCTTCTGAATTTGCACTGAGCATTTTCTCTAGATGGCCATCTAGACATGGAAGGATAGAGGTTGGGACATGATGCAGAATCAGCAGATGTCTGCAGCCTCATCCTTTTTGCCTCCGGCATGCCCATTCTTCCCCTCTGAGGCCGGGGGTGGGGGGGGGGGGGAATTTGCTGACGCAGTTCTTTCAGAGTTGACTGTAAGGGGCAGGATGGGGACTAGGATTCCAAAGAATCCAGGAGGCCATAGGATTATGCCCTTGAACTATCACATGATTAATCAGTGCCTCAAAATCAAAGGCTGCACGAGCTTATGGAAAGAGCCCCCATTTAAACAGATTGTACATTGAGACTCTATCCCAATGATCATATCTGTCCTTTTCAGGTCCAGTGTATCATGAATATTGTGAATGTCCAGAAGAAGATGCTCAGCTTTGGGAGAAAACATTTTCATGCCCATCAGAGGAAACTCAGATTACAGAAGACTTCATTGCATTTCCCAGCATCAACCTTCAGCGGATGTTTCATGAGGTTCCATCAAGGTTTGGCCAGAAGATGGGAGCCATTGTTCATTACACCATCCTGAATAATCACATTTATCGTCGGTCCTTGGGGAAGTACACGGACTTCAAAATGTTTTCAGATGAAATGTTGCTATCCTTGGCAAGGAAGGTATATTCTTAGAGCTACTCACTTATGCACAGCTGTCCTAGTATACCTGTTTACAAATGCAAAGAACCCACCCAGCATAGACCCACTGACCCAGTGCATTTGTTTGCACTGGCAACATCCTTTGATTAGAAACCAGTATCTTTATATTAAACACAAGATACTTTTAAACTAGATCACAAGGCTCTTCACACCCTCTAATTTTCTCAGCAGCTGCATTCACATAACACGACAAGCAACGCAGCATAATTATCATGATTCATGGTTTTTTACCATAATCTACTTGACAAATGGTTTCTACATAATCATAGTTCCCCTTCCCAGTCCTTCCACCATTGGTACTGTTGTAAATATACCACTTGTGTGTTCATAAAGAAATTAACACATCGTATGCCATCAGCTTTCATGCTCCGCAAGAAAAATAGCTTTCCTGTTATCCCATCAGCCACTGTGCCTGAAATTCAATCCCAAGATGCATCACCCTCTCCCTATCACCTGCCTCTTCCTCATTGGTCCACACATAGAGACTGGATGGTTGGAGTGGCCCCTGCAGATGCCACTCTTTCCAGAGGAATCTGTGCTAGCGACATGCTCCAACTGTGGAAACTATAATTCTGGGTTCAGTCACAGGACAAGCTATGGTAGTGTGCAGAAATCATAGAACAAACCATTTTTTCTTATTGTGGTTTCTAAAGACCAGCCTTAATCATGGTAAAATAGCATGACTGGGTTCGAACAACACAACACAAATGTGTGTGAGAGCAGGTGTGTCATAATGGTTAGAATGTTGGACTAGGGATTTGGGAGCTCCATGTTGTAGTGCCCCCTCAGCCATGGGGCTCACTGGGTGACTTTGGACCAGTTACTCACTCTCAGCCCATCTTACTTCACAGTTGTTGTTTCTGTGAGTATAAAATTAGGAGGAAGAGGAGGATGATCTCATATGCCTCCTTGGAGGAAGAAGTGGAACATCAGTGCAACCAAAAGATAATGGCCTTGCCACATCAGGAGCGGAGTGGTGACACACAACACTGGTAGTGGCCAAGTTGAAAGCTGAACCAAAATGTCAGATCACTTTGAAAGATGGCCTGTAAAGGTTTGTTGTTTTGTTTTAGGTTCGTCTCCCCGATATAGAGTTTTATCTGAATGTTGGGGACTGGCCAGTTGAGCATCGGAAGGCAAATGACACCCCCGGACCTCTACCTATCATTTCATGGTGTGGCTCTCTGGATACAGCAGACATCGTGCTTCCAACCTATGAGGTCACTCACTCAACCTTTGAAACGTTGCGTGGGGTCACAAACGACCTCCTGTCAATTCAGGGAAACACAGGTACAAGCAGATCTATGCTGTTCTCCAAAAAGAGATTGGTATACTATTTTATGCTCACAACAGACCTGCAGCGTAGGTTAAGCAGAGTGACAGTGATCCCTGAACAGGGAAATGTTCATAGCTAAACAAGGATTTTAAACCACGGGTAGTCCAGGAGTGGGGAAGTGGGCAGCATTTGCCCATTGGCAAGTTGAGGGCCACATGCTTGCAGTGGGTGTGGCTGATGGGTGGGGCTTGAGCTCTCTGTTTTTCTCCCTCTCTTGTTTTTCTCTCTCTCATTTTTCTTTGTTTTTCTTCCTCTATAAAGCAGTCCTCCCTCTACACAACCCCATGCAGAAACAACCTCCCTCTGTCATGGACACACCTTCCTCTTTTCTGCCAGTCCCCTCATGCAGGGATCTCCCCTACCCACTGCTCACCAATGGACATACTTGACCAGATTGCTCTGACCAAATTTGGCCAACTCCAGTATCCTGTCCACTGCTTTCTGTCTAAATTGAAATGGACAATGCACATATTGTACAACAACCCACTAATGGCAACTTGGTTCTATAGGAATGAGGCTGCTGTAACTTCAGGAATGTCCTCTCCCTGTCATGAATGTTTGGTAGAGTACAAAGACTTAATAATGAGTGAAGGAATTTTTGTTGCTCTCAGTGGGTATTATGAGCACAATGGGCATGTGTGAGTTGTTTACTCTTCACGTAATAGCTTGTGCTTTCCTTTACCAATTTGAGATTTTCTTTCCTTCCTTTTGAAATGAGGCCTGGATCCTGAATCCCTACCAGCAGTTTAATTTTTAGTCAAATACAACATGACATGTTCAGGCAAGTGTGTAGCTCTTTCCTGTCTGGTATTACCTGCATTCCAAATTTTTCCCTTGGATTTATAGGGAGCATTGGTCCAGCCCCTATCCATGACAGTCTTCCCTAACTAGATGTCTTTTAGATGGTCTGAACTACAACCCCCCAGCATTCTTGAAAAATCATGCTAGTTGGGACTGATGGGAGTTGAAGTCCAAAACTTCTAGAGGTCATCAAGTCGGGAATGCTGACCCATGCACCTGATCAGAAATACTAGGGCTGTATATAAATGTATATGGAAATAGGATTCAGCCCATTTTCTTTGTGTCTTTGTTCTTCAAATGATGCACGATCTTGCCCCTACAATGGGCACAGATTTCTTCAGTTTTGCCTCTTTCCCATATGTTGTAAACTGCTTTGCTTTAGTTGTTCAAAGTACTGTTTTACAGGATTGTACATTTAAAACCAGCATACAGCTTCTGATTTATTCTCCTTCCCACAAAAAGGTCTGGTTCATTCTGAAGCTTAAAAAGGTTCCAAGAAGGTATTTGGATATGTCACTTGTACCCTTCTAGTCCAGATGCATAATATTTGTTTCCTTCCTTAAACGTAGTCATCAAAAGATTGTACTTTTGACAACATGGGGAGTAGCTCCTGTTTCTTACCTGTCTGTGTACACCTAACTTGCAGTCACAATTCCCACCTGCTATCCTTGGCCTTATAATTCTATTTCAGATTTCAGTTTTACTGTGAAAGCCTTTCTGGTACTTAATAAATATAAACTGTATATTAATGAGTACTTTAAAGCTAAAGCATTAAGACCTCAAAACTTCTGTCAGTCTCTCCCCTTACCCCATTCTAAAATATGTTAATTGTAGGACCTGTGTGGGAGAACAAAACTGAGCAAGGATTTTTCAGAGGTCGAGACAGTCGGGAAGAACGTCTTCAATTGGTGCAGCTCTCTAAGGAAAACCCAGAATTGTTGGATGCTGGAATAACAAATTACTTCTTCTTCAGAGAAAAGGAGAAAGAACTGGGAAAGGCTCCATTGATGGGGTTTTTTGATTTTTTTAAGGTATGCCACCTGTCTTAGTGCTTCTTAACACCAGAGATATAAATGTCCTTGCTTTTTATGTTTCTTCTTTAATCTGCTTCATTGTTACAAAAAGACCTGCCTGGAAATCACTTGTAATTTATAGCTTAGTGTGCAACATATGCATCTTACACATTTTTGCATTCTGCTGTGTATTTGCATATATCTCACAAACTTGCCTATTTTGTTGTGTGCACATGGGAATCTTTGGCCCATAGTTTTTCCCCCTGGTTGAAATACATCAAAATAACCATATGTGTGGTCATCAAGAGCGAGAAAGCATGGAGGGGGGGGGGAGTCTGAACACAATGGTTGTTACAGGCTTCAAACCATGAAAGATGGAAGAAGAAAGGGATTGACACCACAGCTCTGTGGAACAAAAAGGAATCTTTGGCAATTTGAGCTAAATCAGGCTACCATTACGAAAGCCATACTTCAGAGAAACAGGTAAAAGGTATGTAAAACAAAGGGTGCCACGAGGGTTGCAAAATAAGTGCTTGAAAGTGACCAGTTTAAAGAGAAGTTTGTGAATCACCTGGCTGAGATGGCAACTTGGCAGCCAGGAGGGCACTTACATGTCGTTGGACTGCTTGAGCTTCGCATAGTGCAGCTGGGCAACTCTTTTACTTAACTTATAGCAGAAGACACAGAGTTCAGTTACCTTCTGGGCAAAGCACAGAGCCTGACTTACTGACATTATGAACCTCTTGTTCCCGGCTGCCATGAACTTCCTGCTTGCAAATCTTTCCCAGAAGGAAAGAAATATTAGATATGGTGCTTGCTAGAGCAAAGCCAGCAAAATGCAGACTATGTGGCTGAACATCTCAAAAACATGCAGTGTTAACAAAGTAGCAGCTGTCTAAGGTTTTTGCCAGAGACTTCTTCAATTGGTCTCCACCTGATCCTTTTAACTAGAGCTGCCAGGGGTTGGACTTGGGACCTTTCATGTGAAAAGCACTTCACCACTGAGCCACACTGTGCCCCAAATGGTCCAACCCATTCACCCCTAGAGCTTTCCTGGAGTTCTCCCAAGTCCTTGTTCTCATCTAATAGCTTCATTTCCAAGAAGCAGCCTGTCCCACAGATTCCTGGGATTTGCAGTATGGTCAGTTACATGGCCCTGATTGCTGCAGTTTGAAGAAGAGCTTGCATAGTGTCTGCAAGCATTTCCTAGGCTGTATTTGGGTTCCATCCATGGACTTAAAGGGGACTCAAAACCAATAATGTTTGTCATTATGACATATATGTAAAAGTATATTGTGACCAAGCAACACATTTCGTTTATGTGGTTGACCTCCTCCTTTCTCTTTCCACAGTACAAATACCAAGTGAATGTTGATGGCACTGTTGCAGCCTACAGGTTCCCATACCTCTTACTGGGTGACAGTCTTGTGCTGAAGCAGGACTCTCAATACTATGAGCACTTCTATACGGAGCTGGCACCATGGAGCCACTATGTTCCAGTTAAAAGAAACTTAGAGGACTTGCTCAAAAAAATTAAATGGTCCAAGGTAATCATCCTTGCCATGAATAGAAAGCAGGAATATAAACTGTAAGACCATTTTCCTCTCATCATATTTTTATTGGTTGTAGTCAATTGTGAGGAAAATTGGAATACAGGTATCTCATCCCACCTCTTCCATGAATGTAGAATGTGGAGGATCAGTGTTCTATCTTTCCCGTTCACAAGTAAAATCAGAGTTAAGGGGACCAACAAGAAAAAAGTTAAGACTGTGGTGGGGAACATTCCTGTTTTGCAGCAGGATCAGAGTTCATCTCTCCTCAACTTTCTGGCATGTGGTAGGATAGGTGGGCCATAGTTTGGTTGTAATAGGTTTGAAAACCTTGTCCCTGTATTTTGAGCATAACAGATCACAGCAGAAAAGCTGTAACTGGAAGCCATGATGGTGTATACTCTATAAATAGCCATGTTTTTATCATTCATTCCACAGAAATTCTGTGATTGAAAGTTCCGTACAACTCTTGTCTCTTTATACTCATCAGATAATTTATCTGAGCATTTATCAGAGAAAGAGGAAAGAGAAATACTTGACCCAAATAATCTGTGGCACTTCTTTGGCCTGAGACTCCAATGCTCATATGCAACATGCTGTCCACAGTGATGTGGGGACCAGGACTGACTTCTGTTACAGTTTTGTGGCGTGCTCCATGTATCACATTCCAGTCTCTAAAAACATGTACACATGCTTACACACATTCTTTTGAGTCCTTTCTAGATTGTCATTGTCAAACTAGACTTGAAATTATAACTGCCCCTTTACCTTAAACCTGCAGTTCTTTTTAAATGCATGTTGCATCAGCCATGGCTGTTAACTGTAAGCAGGATTTTAAGCTTTTCCTCCCTGATACATTTCTGGGGAAAACGTCCTCCTCTGACAACAATACTGTAGCTATTTAGCTGGAACTAATTCCCACAGAACTTAAAGTTACTTCTGAGCATGCACGTGTAAGGTTATACTGTGAAGATGTTTTTCACATTGGGAGAAAATCTCAGATTGGCGCCAATGGTCACTTCTTGGTCAGTGCAAAGAAGCAGCTTTAGAAGAGGAATTTTCCTCCAGACCAAAGCAGGGAAGAAAAGGGTTAAATCCATCTTCCAAACCTGTTGTGATCCCAGTAATTTGCTTCCCCTCCCCATGCAGTCTGCATTTTTTAAACTTGCACCTATAAGGCAAAGATACATTGTATGTCATGTTGAATTTTGTCCTGACATTCCAGTCTTTAAGATTTTAGCAATCAATATTTTAGCCTCTCTGAGGCTTTCAGTGCAAAAGTGGCTGCAAGAACATTTTTGCACAACTCTCATTTTGTAGTCCACAAAACACTCTGTAAATGCACATGTGTCCTAGTGTCAGTAGTGTGTGGCAATAGAAAGCACCCAAAATAAGGAGAACCTTAAGTTGTACAAAAAATAGGTCTGGAAATAGCTTTACTTATTTGTTGATGCTTATTTATTTATTTGGAACATTAGTAGGCCGCCCGTCACTGTTATCTCTGGACGGTTTACAATATAAGCCTCTTTTAAAAGGAAATTGTATATTTCCTTTTAAAAGAGTTCACACAATCCCAAATTATCTTTGTGGCAATCCCTTTTCCCTAATGCCTCACTTTTCCCTCCCATTTTTACCAGCCATTTCCCCTGTTCTTCTGTTGTCTGCTAACTCACTGAATGCTTTATCAGCCCGTTTGAATGCTTTTTTGATAGCTCACTAGTTTAAAGCACTTCTATAAGTGAATGATCAAGTAGTAATTTTTGACTGTTCAGTTTTTAGCAGCAACTACTGTTTTGATACATGTCCCAGTGCAGAAAACAGAACATAGGAGAGGAGCAGTACATGGGGAACTATTCTCAAGGAGAACACATTGGTACATTTATGCACATACAGCATGATTTTAGACTATGTAGCTTAGCTAGGCATTGATTTAGCAATGTATCTACATTCAGAACCAGGCAATCTTAAAACAGGGCCTTCAAGTCCACACTAAGAAATGTCCAACTAATTCTTTGCCCGAAGTTGTGCAAATGGATGCTATTACCTTGTAGACAGTTAAGTGCTCTTATGTCTTGTTGACTTTTAAGGAATTAAATGTGTGGAACAGTGCACAACACTGCAAGCTGTGTTTTTGTATACAAGATTAATTTTGCATAATTTATTTCACACTCATGATTTAGGACCATACAGACCTGAATTTTTAAATGGCAAATTATGTTGCTACGTAGTACATACTATGAAAATCCTATTTAGATATATTACTGCTCTGTAATACCATACAGCTAAAGTGGAAAGTTTCAAAACCTTCAACAGTACAGTTTTTAACCCAATTAATAAATCAAGACTTCAAAATACTACAAGTTCAAATCCAAATAATTGACATAGGTTTCTTGTATGTGTGGCTGCCATTACCCTTCATGCAGGAGAATTCATGAGATGCAAATTTGGCATAATCTGTTTCAGGGTTATGTGAGGGTTATAAGCCACTCTCACAAAGTGTACACAACACAAGAAACCCCAGCTGGGGATTGCAAATGGAGTCTGGCACTGGCAAGCACCATGGCCCATGACAAGCTGTGGCATGTCATCCAAACTCAGTCACTGGGAACTTTAAAATATAGTCTTGGAATGACTAAGAACAAATATATTCTTAATTGTGTCCTGTATCTGCTAAATCATATTTCCTTATATTAGCAAGGATGGTCTTTTCATAAGCTTTACAGCACATAAATAGTAATGATTATATGTATGGAAGTAGACAATTAAAGCTTTATGATCTAAGTAATCAAATACGTGTGAGAGATGTCAAACCTGTCAGTGCACTCAAGTATGGTTTGGACAATAGGCTAAGCTTTCCTGAAATTAAAAAATTCCACTCCTTAATTGTGCAAAATTGCATCTGAGTGCTGTGGAATGACTAATATCATTGAAGCCTTGAAAGTGGAAGAATGATTTTTTTAAAAATGGAATTAACCTTGCAGTATCTTGCAGTATGTAATACTTAAAAACATAGTTTCATTGTACAGTAGCTGTGGTAGCACAGGATTTATGCCCATTCCAAAAATCCAAGGAACCCCTCTCATGGAGCACAATCAGATTAAAAAGGCATAGAAAGATTTGACTCCTTACTATACTTTGCTTCTTTGTTCATTTCAGGAAAACGATGAAGAAGTGAGAAAAATTGCTAAGGAAGGGCAAAGAACTGCAAGAGAATTATTACAGCCTCATCGGTTTTACTGCTATTATTTCAAAGTATTTCAGGTTAGTCCAGCTCTTACTGTTTCTAATTATGTATGGCTCTTTATGTGTCTCTTCTCTGTGGAGTTTGAGTGCTGTAATTTTATGCTTCCGATGTAAAAAGTATAGGATAAGCAGCCTTGAGCACATGAGCATACCCGATAAAGATATGGGAAGCAACTGTTTACAATTTTTAATTAGCCTTAGTTTCCAGTGATATTCAAACATGGGATACTATGGTTTGTTTAAACCAGAGTTTCAGAATAAACCAAGATCTGAAACTACAGTTTGATCCTGGCTTGGTCTTAGTGATTTGTTTAAACAGATCATAGTTTAAACTAGCTACAGCCCTGAGTTGGATGTTACAGGAACCATGGTTGGTTTAAAATCAGAACTAGATGTTTTTGTCCACCTCCGAATTGGCACAAAAGGGGTAGGGAGCGGGTTGCCATGAAGCTTTATTGCAGATTGTTCACAATGCATAAAGACAGAACGTGTCGTTACAACTAACTGGGCCATTGTTTCATGCTGTAACTGATCCACTGTGATTGAATTACAAACTGATCTGTCAGTTGTCATAATATTTTTCTCATGAAATTTGTAACTTTGTAAGTTCTTTGTCGTGGCCTCTGTGCATCACACATATGGGTGCGGCGCCTGCGCAGTGCCTAAGGCCGGAAGATTGAAAGTTAACAGTTTTTGGCGGGAAACTCCGCTCCCCCCTCCCCCTTAGTAGTATATATAGAGCAGAGTGTCCGCCATTTTCTCCAGTCTTTTACGACCGCCGTTCTCTGTTCCTCGTGCTGCTTCGCTCTCTCTTTGACTACTCGCTTGCTCTAGTTTCTTGTTGATTGTTTCTCTTATATTCCAAGTTTTCTACCCCTGTTACGATTCTTGTTACGATTCCTGTTTCCATTCTATTTCCTCTTGTTCTTTCTAAAAAAACCCACCAAAATATTATCTATTCCCTCTGCACTATCCTCTCTTTTTCTCTTTCGCGATGGCGCAGCGAGCGGCCTTTCACAAATATACGGAGTGCAGCTCCAAGATGTCCCCTGCAGATCCGCACGATCTGTGCCTCCTCTGTCTAGGCGAGGGTCACAGGACAGACAAATGTGGCCACTGTTTGGCCTTCACAAAGCAGGCTAGGAAGAACAGAGAAAATCACCTGCGGAAGCTATTGTGGGACCAGGCCCATATGCAAACAGATCAACTGGTTGTGAAGTCTGGGCTCGCCTTAGCTGCCTCTGTTAAGCACCCGGCCTCGGCCTCAGCCGCGCCCTTACAACGCTCTGCTTCCACTTCAGCTACGCCCCCATCGGAGGAAGGTGCTTCCGTGTGAGAGGCCCAATAGCTTCCTTCTCCCCCGAAGAAACAAAGGGAGAAGAGAAAGCACAGCGGCTCGGAGAAGTCCTCAAGCCATAAAAAGGTGAAAAAGGACGGAGCGGATAAACCAGCCCGTAAGGCTAAAAAGCCTGAACATGCTAAGTCCTGTGACTCGGGTTCGTCGGTGCCCTCGGCCCCTTCTGCTGCTGCGGTACCGACCCCATCAGGTCCAATATTACAAGTGGCTATGCAGTTTACCCCTCCGTGGTCTCCTCAAAGGGTCACCCGGGCTGAAAGCGAGTCTCCTCAGCATCTTGAGGCTCCAGTGCACGACTCTATCTCGGATGGGGAAATACGAGATTCTCCACCAAGAGTCTGATCGCCCACCCTGATGCCACCGACCAGGCTGGATGCGAGACCGCTATGTCTTCTCCTGCATACTGACATCATTCAGCTGAGAGACACTCTGACGATTGGGACCAACCCCGTTACCCTAGCCACTCGGGTTGGAACGAGTACCATTCGTTTGGTTATCAGGCTCCACGGGACCGTCCCTTGCCGTTGGTTCTGAGGGACGCACCTTCGGCATTGGGACGGGGAGAACAGAGGCAACCTAGATCGTCGGACGAATCTTCATCGAGCGTCCAAGCATGATATGACATAGACTCAAATGAGTCTGAGGCTGATTCCATTTCCCCAGATGTGGTCGTTACCTCCCAAGGCCCGGGATCACTGGAAGAGTCCCATATGTCGTTTGCGGAACTAATGTCTAGGCTTGTTCGGTCGCTGGAGATCGAGGCACAACAGCCAGATCCCAGCACTGACAGGTTCTATGACGTAGTCAGGGGCGAACGGTCAACAGCCATTGTGTTCCGCTGATCACGACCCTACGCCAGGCGATGCTTCAGCCATGGGACCTGCTGGCCCACCTCAAGCAACATCCAGACGATACGAAGCCATGTCCCGAGTTTGGGAGCAGGACATTCCCTTCCTCCTGCATCACCCCAAGCCAAACTCAGTCGTGGTGGAGTCATCACAGGGCAGGGTGTTGAGAGCCCATATGGCCCCACGCGACAAAGAGGGCAGGAAAATCGATCTGCTTGTGCGCCAGGTCTACGCAGCTGCTGGACTCAGTTTACGCATTTCGAATTAATGGCTTGATAACATTGCCTCCTCCCTGCTGGACCACCAGGGGGACCTGGCCAAGGTCTTTATCAAAGAGGCCATGCAAGTTGCAATCCAGCAACTTTCGACGGCATGGCATCACGTCGACACCAACTCCAGGACTCTGGTCGGTGCCGTCTCCCTCCGGAGGCATGCGTGGTTGAGAAACTGCAACTTTCTGGAGGAGTTGAAAAGACGTATAGAGGAGATGCCGTTTGACAGATCAGGACTTTTCAACTCCAGAACGGACCACAAATTAAAATGAATCAAGAATGACGGCTCACTGCATGGAGATGCAGCCTCAACAGCGCCGTAAGTGGTCCTGGTCCAGACCTTCCTATCGCTAGCACTACCAGCCTAGACAACAGTACCAGCAGCGCCAGCAGTGACGTAGGCAACTACCGCAGCAGCGCTTCCAGCAAGGCTGTCATCGCTTTGATGGTGACAAACGTCAACACTGACGGGTCGGGCGAACCTTTCCTTCTCTCCACCTCCCATCTTTCCCCCTCTCATTTGGAGACTGGCTGCAAAGCCCGCTCCCCGTTTGGGAGTCCATCACATTCGATCGGTGGGTTTTATCCATCATCCAGCTCGGATACAGAATAGAATTTGACATCGTTCCTCCGTCGAGCCTGATTCGATTTACACCGTGCTCACCCGTGTTACAAGACGAAGTTCACCAACTGCCTTGTAAAGGAGTGATTCGCCAAGTCTCCCATTCTGAGGGACTTCACGGAGTCTATTCAAGATATTTTATGGTCCCTAAAAGGGACGGTGGTCTCCGACCAATCCTGGACTTACGAGGCAATAATAAATTTATTAAGCCTAAGAAATTTAGGATGACCACCCTTCATTTTATTGCGGAGGAGAGAGGATTGGTTCGCCTCCCTGGACTTGAAAGATGCCTATTTCCACATCTCAATTCACCCATGTCATAGGCGTCTTCTCCGCTTCACTGTTGGCCCAGAAATATTTGAGTTCAACGTTCTCCCATTCGGACTAGCTACGGCTCCATGGGTTTTTACAAAATGTATGGCACCGGTATGCGTGCATCTCCGGCTCCGAGGTGTCCCGGTATATCCTTACCTGGATGATTGGTTGATAGTTTCCCAGACCAGGAAAGGTCTTCTGTCATCCATCCATACAACTTGTACTCTGTTAGATGAACACCTCCCTCTTCCGATTCTGGTAAGCTTGCTAGTCACCCATATGTGTGATGCACAGAGGCCACTACGAAGAAAAGCAGGTTGCTTACCTGTAAATGATGTTCTTCGAGTGGCCATCTGTGCATTCACACAACCCACCCACAGGCCCCGCTTGTTCTTGGTGAGTGGATTTCTTCATCGGTACCATATCTTAATATTCACGGTACCTCTGACACTTACTGTGATATATTTCTCTCCCACAAGGGGGCGAACGATCGGTCTTTAAAGACTGAGGAAAATGGCGGACACTCCACTCTATATATACTACTGAGGGGAGTGGAGTTTCCTGCCAAAAACCGTTAGCTTTCAATCTTCTGGCCTTAGGCACTACGCAGGCACAGCACCCATATATGTGAATGCACAGATGGCCACTCGAAGAACATCAGTTACAGGTAAGCAACCTGCTTTTTTATAAAGGGGTGATTGTCCATATAAAAACAAGGGCTTTCTGGTCATAGTGGGGTCATCAGAAAGGCTTAATTTGCTTGAGGTGATGTAGTTTTCATAGCTGATATAAGTAATTCTGTGTAGAAGTAATAATACTTAATTGATATGTACGTGAAATGTGCAGAAGTTTTTCAGCCAAAAAAACTGAATTTCATGTCAGAGAAACTCTTGCGGAAAAGATTCTAGTAATGAGTGAGACTGAAGACAAATGCCAACACATTTTATGAGTGCAAAATAAACATTGATTGTTTGGAAAATATCAGTAAATTCATTTTAAAGTTCTGACTGCCAGTAACTAAGCCTTAAGAAAGGCATTTCAATCATTAACAATGTAGGGGAATCTATACAAGCTATCACTCAGATGTTACTCAAAGTTGGGCTTTATGGAATAGTACAGATCCTAAAGCCATTGCTGAATGAAACTCATCTCAGACTTCTTTTTGAAATTTGCAAAAAGGAAGTTTAGACCCACATCAAATGTGAATAAAGCATCTTTGGTCTGATAAGACCAACATTGTTGGACTTATGGCAAAACACTATGATTAATACAAAGCTAGCAGTGCTCATTTATTTGAGAACACTGTTCCACAGTGAAGTAGCATGGTGGCAATATTTGTAGCTTTCCACACCACAGAAGCTGGGAAACTGATCAGGGCAAAGCCAAATACAGGGCTATTCTAGAAGAAAATCAGTTTCATTCTGCAAGAGACTTGGGACTGGGATGGATAGTGACACTGGCACTGCATATACTGTCCAGGACAGTGACCCTAAATACACATCCAAAACAATACTGAAGCGGTTTGAAAACAAGAGTCTGAATGTCTTAGGATGGCAAAGTCAAAGCCCAGACCTGAATCTGATAGTGGCAAGTTTTGAAATTTGCAGACCCCCTCTGACCTGACAGAGCTGGAACAGTTTTGCTAGGAAGAATGAGCAAACATCGCAGGATCCAGATAGGCAAAGCTCATAGGTACTTCCCCAAGGAAACTCACCACTTTAATTGCTACCAAAGGTACTTTTCCCAGATACAGTTTCAGGGGAGTGGCTACTTCTCTACCCACATGTACCGGTTTTGCTTTGGTTTCCTTTTGTGCTACAATAAACACATTTTGTACCTTCATAGTTTGAGCCTCTTGTGTATGTGAGGTGATATCAATGCCTATGAAATCCCTTTCAATTCTAGGTTGTAACACAACCATTTGTGGAAAAGTCAAAGGGGGTGCCTCTGCAAGGTGCTGTTTATTATAAGCAGCACCCATACATAATGCTACCACTAGAAAGCCATAGCCAATCATGCTTCCCAATATATTTGCACACCACACTGACACATGTATTAGCCTACACAGGCATTTCAAATTTTCCTAAACAATTGTTTTTTATGTAAAGAAGAAAACATAATGCGGTGTGGATCATTCTTGTATTGCCACGAAAACCCATTTTCGTGTAGCAGAACTTTGTTCCTTGTGGGGAGCCTCCTTCCCATACATAAGGACCAGATTTCAGCTATCACTAGCAGAATCACTGTGTATCTGCTAGTTATATTTACTCCAAAAGACATACCAACGAGATGAATCGCAACATTTTGGTTGTTCAGTGGCAGAATTCTCACCTGCCTCATGACAAACTTTGGTGATAGAACATCCATAGCCCATTGATGAAGGACATGTTTTGTTTGCTGAAGGTTCTGGGTTCAATCCCCAGCATCTTCAGATAGCACTGGAAAAAACACCTATCTGAAATGATGGAGAGATGCTGCTAGTCATTGTAGACAATACATTGCATTGACTCAATAGCACTTTTGCATTAGGTACAAGGGCTTGTGCCAAACTCCCAGTCAACAGAAGCATCATTTATTCAGAAGAAGGAAGAACTTTTTCTGGATGGTACAACTTAAATTTGCAACTGGGAGAAGTGCATATCTGAATATTCCCTTGTGAAAAAATAAAATCCCATATAAAGTAATTTAACACCTCCCCTTGATCTTGGGTTCATTATGTATAGATAGTTAGAACAAAAGTAACCTGAAACCATCCCCCACTTTGCCATGTAATCATAGTATAGCAGTTCATCTTTGTTAACTGCAGAGTATATACAGCTCTGCGTACATCCTGTCATTTTAACTGAATATTCTTGTCAACAGGTTTGACTTCAGACTTGACACAAAAATTATTGGATATTAGAGTACAGAGAACAGACCTAACCTATTAATTTTGTTTCATATATTTGAGCCACAGTGACACATTCCTTGTATATATATATAGAGAGAGAGAGAATTTGTGTATATATCTCTCATGTCACCTTGTAGCAGTTAGCACTAAAAACTACACCTTAAAAACATGTCCAGGAAGCTCTGGGAACCTTTTAATCCAATAGCAGTAATTCCTAAGCAAGTTTACTCTGAGGCTCCTTTGGGCTCAATGCTGCTGATTGCCTAGGATGTGTGTCTTGAGCTTGCAGCCTAAACGTGCAGTGCATATTACAAATAAAACCTAGTAAGTGAAGTTTCTACAGTGTACATAATAAATAATAGAGGGTTGACAGAAAGAGAAAATTGTTTTTATTTTGAATAGTATGCTGTTGTTTCAGTTCCTTCCAATTTACACATTTCAGAAATACGCTGAACGCCAAGCCAGTAAACCTGAAATACGGGATGGAATGGAATTTGTACCTCAGCCTGATGACAGGACTTCAATCTGTGACTGCCACAGGAAAAAGCCTTCAAGGGAAGAGCTTTAAGTAAACTGTGCCAAATGGTATCAAATTGTAGCTTGTTGCAAGACTTTTAATAACATTTAAAGCTGTGAAATCTGGCATGGAGATATATTTACAATGCAATTCTATGCATGCCTGCCGAGAAAAAGTAAGCCCTATTGAGTTTAGCATGACCTACTCCCTGGCAAGTATGTAGAGGACTGCAGGTTTACACATTGTTTTTCTCTGTTTCTTTCATGTTGTGCCTTATTAAAATCTGACCTAAGTATTTATGGCAGCATGAAAACCTCTCAGAAACTTGATCAGGCAGTGCCTTCCTGAGTTTTTTTCTGCACATCAGTTATATGCAGTGTTTATGTGGACATGGCACATTGTAATACTCCTTCCCAGTTACCTTGTTCAAGGGTTCAGTGCACTTCATGCAATTTAACTTGATTCTCAGAGCCATCATCTAAAACAGATCAGTTAAATTCACTACATCAGTGTTTCTAAACATTGATTCCCCAGTTGTTGGGTTCTAACTCCCCCATTCAGCGTGACCAATGGTTAGGAATGATGGGAATTATAGTCCACCCACTTCTCAGGACCCATTTGAGGAATCACTAACATCACTATATAGGGGGAGGTTGGAGTTAGGATTCACAGCAGGTTCTCAAGATCATTCTAATTAGCTTATAGCTAAAGTGAATCTCAGTCAGGGGCTTTTCAACTCATACTCAGATGTTACAGCAGGGATAGAAAATTTCTCTCTAGCCAGGCTGTGCAGTCCAGCCTCCAGGTATTCTTCTGTGGGAAGAGGGTTGGAGGACTTCCTCTGTCCCTGAGGGCATCTCTGCTGTTATCTAAAGTCTTGTAAATACTTCTGAGAATGTATTTAAAGCCTTTATGCACTCTAAAGTGAAGTTAAGTAAACAACAGGTACAAATACAAATGCCCTGTTATATAAGTATCTCTCTAGTTTAAACATCTTGTTAAAATCTAGCATGTCAGGAAGATTGCAGGGCTAAAACCTTGCATGCTGCGAGTCTTAGGTTCAGTTTCCAGTTATATGATCTCACTCAGCTGAACTTAAGAAAACTTGTACTGGATCTAGAAAGCTACTGGATGCTTTTGAGTGTCACCAATACTGAGTTGATCAGTTATTGATTTGATATAAGACATCTAGCTCCCTGTTTGAAAAATACAAAAAGAATACCTGTGCCATCTCTCCATGGAAATCTTTCTTTAAAAATTAGACATGGTGTTTTAGTCCTTGCAGACTAATGAAATTTGTGAACCCCATAAATGGTCTGGTAATTAAGTGAAATCATAGGCTTACTAAGCAAATAGGATACATGTCTAAATCTGTCTGTGGGTTCATTGCTATTATTATGAATACAAGTTGTATCTTGATTTCAAAACGCACATCTACGAAAAAGTTGCCTAACAGGATCTTTAAATTAGGTTATTGTGCAAAGCACTAGAACACATTTTGAGGTTGCTGTGTAACTAGACTTTTTTCCATTAACAGGAAATGAAAGCTCACAAATCTGCCAACGCTTCAGTCATGGAACTGAATACCAACATCAGTAAAGTTAACGTTTGTTTACAGGAGCTAAGTATTTTTCAACTATTTGAGATTCTTTGTAGAAATACCATTTTGCTCATTCATAGAACAAAACAACAGACACCTAAAATCAACCCAGACAGGGACTGATGATTAATTGTGTTGGCAAACATTGTGTTAGCTTTTCCAGGTGTTCAGAAACCAAATAAGGTAAAAATCAGGTCAGAGTGCAATCTTTTATTCATTTATCTGGGAGTATTTCCCACTGAACTCAATGGGGCTGGGTACATCTGCACAGCAGTTTTTTCTAGTGTAAACTTTTTCAAGTTTACTGACCCAAATTTAAAAAAAAAACCTGAGTTGCCATATAGAGTACAAGAATCTATCATGGAACATATACGAAGGGGGACCAATCCCCTCCAGGAATTTATTCATAAAAATTCATGCTTTTGTTTTTACATGTTCAAACTTCAGTCACCTTCAACCTACTCTCCATTTGATGCAATGCACCTACTGAGACATTTTTCCAGTGCTCAAAACTGGTTTTGAACACGTTGATTTTGATGCCTTAGTGCTTCTGCCGTTTTTTGTTTCCCTTCTTCCACATTGGCAAATGATTCCCTTTGAGGCAAACATATAAAAAGAGTCTCAAAAAAACCCCCTCACAGAAGTCAAATGCAGCCTCCCATAACAATCCAGCTGGGTACACTGATGTAGATGGGTTCCCAGAACATTCACCTAGTGGGGAAGCCTGTACCACAAGGGGCCCACCCTCCAGAAGATAGTTTCTGGTTTTTTGGGGTCCCCCCTCGTGTCATGATGTTTTCCACTTATATAATGGAGAATATATCATGGGACTGATCAAGGTCCAAGAGGGTATTCAAGATGACTCCTGAAAGGGCAATTTTTGTTGTTGCACACTAAGTTCATATTTGTAAGCAGATGTCCCTTTTTATAAATACAGATTGACTCTGAAGCAGTGCCAGTTTGGGGGCATATATACTACCATAGATATCATTTAGATTTTTTTTATTAAATTAGGAGGCTTCTTTATTTTGAAAAGATTTTAATATTTAAAGTAGTGGATATACAGTGGAGTACTTGACTAGGGTTTCAGTTGAGAATTAATTGCAACCACAACCCATCCCGAATTAATTGTATATTTGGCAGGACTTGATGCCCCTCCAACTCTATTATTCAGTGATTCTGAATAATATAACATATGCTTGAGGGGAACCTCCACTGAGGTACATGCAAAGTGCATGCATTGACTTGCCTGTTCCATTGATTCCAAGCTCAACAATAAAATTTACTCTACTTTGCATGGTATTTATTTAATCAATTTCTTAGCAGACTTTCAAAACCATGGTCTCCCCAAAGCAGCCTACTCTTTAAAACATTAGAAATATGTTGATAAAATGGTAAATATATATTTTAATAAAACCACTTTCAATAAAATACATTTTTAAAATATCAATCAGGAGCATGGCTAAAGGTTTTTAATTAAATGTCAGGGAGAACCAATGAGTATTTAGCAGCCACTCACAGAGCCATTCATAGAGGGATTTTATAGAGTAGGCTTACTTCTAAGAAGACTGTTTCTAGTGTCCACCAGCCTTACTGATCTTAGTGGTAGACCAGGAAGTGGAGCCTACAAAGATTAACTTAAAGCATGGGCAGGTACATACGGGTGTAGGCAGTCCTTCAGTATCTTGCACTCCAATCATGTGGGGCTTTATAGATGAAAGGCAGCCCTTTGAATTAGATCTAGAAACACGGACAACCATGGTAGTTGGTGAAATACCAGCTAACTATCTAGCCCCAACAACAACTGAAGAAGTTTTTCTTTAGCAGCTGATTTGGCTGAGTCATCTTCAAAGAGAGTTCATACATTTTACTCTAGTGTAGTCTGGATATAGCTGGTATAACTGGTGTGGTCCACATTCCCTAGATAGGGTTGCAGCTGACCTTGGTAACTGCTGCTTGCCACCCAACGTTTCTTAGTCAGCTACTAGTTCAGAAAGGCACCTAATTCATGAACTTGGTTCTTAAAGGGGAATGCAACACCATTCAGTAATACTCAAATACCTACATTCAGATCAGCAGAATTTTCTACCCAAAGTATGTCTTTCCTGGATGAAGCTTCAATGGAAGCTATATTCAGGGGGGCCTGCTTCCATGCAAGTGTGCATAAGATTGCATTCTAAACTTCATCCACAGAAATCAGTGGGAATTAAAAGTTCAAACTTTCTCTGAATAATATACTTGGTGGCTTCACACATAACAAGCAACAGTGGAAACTGCAGAGGGGCATGGCTTGTCATTACTGCTGAACCCAGCAAGCATGGTGAGGCATGGTATGTCTGGTCTTGGTGGAACCACATTGAGAAACAGCTTGTTGTATGGTTTCTGTTTTACCATGCCTTGTTTCCACATCTGAACCCAGAAACTATGATTCCACGTGGTTTCTCCATTTCAGCCATAGAGTTTCGTGCAGAGTGGCTGTGGCTCCTGTAGCTGCTCATGTCTGCACTCATCTTATCTAGGTCTACCTAGCAACTGCTGACTTGCAACCAGCAATGCTCTGATTAGTTGTTCTGCCCTCCTTTGTTTCCCTTTTTCATGTGTTGCTCTCAAATACCCACCTGTAGCTTTTGAATCTTGGCAGCAGTGGTGTTTCATGTTGTGCTACCTCCAGCAGCAGTAACCTTGGGGTTGACATGCCCTGGGAAGTTGCTTAGGTGGCATCCTCCGCTTCACACTTACCTTGTCCCTGACACTCCTTGGGAGTGTCAACAAGCCTTGCTGTCCCCTATCCCCTCCAACTCTCACACACAAACACAGTTGCAGGAGAGACACATTCCCAAGAGCTAGCCGGTAAACTTTCCCAGGCAGATGTCCACATGTGCGCTCTTGGAAAAGTTTTCCTGTCGGGACATGCTGCCTCCATCCCTGGCATAGGTGCCTGTGCAGAGGCCCTCCATCTGGCTGTCTGCAGAGGGGATGTAACCCATGGCGGTGAGTACAAGTCCTGTGCTTGGAGGAGTATGGGCACATGTGCAGCAAAGGAGCAGCAGAGGTGGATGTGTTTGTACACTGGTACAGAGCAAGGTAGCAATGGGGAGTGCTACTCTCATGCCACCCTACAGCAGCAGTGATACTCTAGTGGGTAAGCAGTTGATTGGCTGAGCAATAGAAAAAACAAAGGCAGCAGCCAAGAGGAGAATGTGGGCCAATGAGAAGGAGGCAGGCAGGAGCAGTCTGTATGGTAAGTGTGGGGGCTTGTGGATTCCAATGACCATTAGGAGGAAAGCTGGAGATGGGTGGAAACCACTCATGCAGGGAAACTGCACTTCTTTGAACCCTGGCCCCAAGGTAAGATACGCTATGCAGATACTGCATGGCATACTTTAGCATTATTTGTGAATTCACCCACTTTTTTTTTTTTTTTACTGATGTAATTCGGCAGTGGCCAAATGTATTGTAGGAGCAATAATCTAACTTCAATAAAATAGGTTTTTAAAAGCAAAGTGAGCTCATCTCAAAGAATTGTGCTGTTTCTCTTGTTAATTCTGTAGGCTTGCAAGTCAAACAATTATTTACAGTAGTAGTTTATATTCTTACATGTTTATCATGTTCAGTCCTTTTATGACTGATTCAGAGATTACTGATTACATATTGCATAAAAAAAATCTTAATCTACCATTCTCACCTTTGCTGTTTACCTGATTTATGCTTTTTTTTTCTCATTTAAAGTTTAATACCTTTGAAATAGGTTATTGAAAAAATGATTTTCAATCTACTGTTTTTCCTTTATTAGGGCAGTATAAAGCAAAATAGAAAGCAACAGAGACCTTCCTACAGACTTAGAATCTAGAACAGGCCTGCACAGTTTATGACTCACCAAGGCAAACACAGCACTCCAATCATACATTTAGATGGTTTGATGTGATTTTGAACAGGAAAATGGTGGAGGAATGGTTAGGAATACTCTCCATCCCATGCTCCCAAGTGAGTTTGGGTTTCAGGGACTGTCATCCATTATATTAAAATGAGAGAATCTATGAGAATCTTCTCATAGCAGGAGCTTTCCTAGTGACTCAGGAATAGAACACTTAGGATACCTGGAGCTATTTGTTCCAGCCAAATTAGAATATTTCTCAGCTGCTGCTGCTGCTGAATTTATACTTAAGCTTTGCCTGAATGTCATACTCTATTGCCAACTGCGAACATAGTTATGGGTTTTACGCATTTCAGCCATCATGATTCAGTGTGAGAATGCTATTCTGTGATTTGCATGATTTTGTTTCTCAGCTGCTGAGAACAGTTTGACTGTCTTCTAGTTATTTGGGAAACATGCAACTTCTGCTGCTATCAAAACTGTGCTGAGTTGGAGAGATGTTTCATTGCTAAGGGCTGAATCTAGAATCAAATGGTTCTTCAAAGTAGCTTTATCTCAGCTTGGCTCATGTCTCAGTAACTACTCCATATTCAAGAGACTCCTTTTGTGGTTGCCTGTGATTTATTGTTCACTAGAGAAAAATAGCAGCTTTCCCCTACAATTAATTACATTCACACCATACATCAAAACTGTATCTCTTATTCAAATTAGGCTGCCTAGGATATGTAAAATATCTGCTGTAAAGTATAAGGATAACATTTTTTCTGTGTTAATGTTATGAGGAATATATTGCTTATCCATTTACAAGCTGAGGATATTAAAAATATGCTTGTAAATGGGACTTGCTCCTCATTGTATTCCTCATCACATTCACATAGAAACAAGCTTCACTGGTGTGGTTGGAAGTTTCTCCCAAATACATGTGTAGTATTGCTGTGCACACTTATTGGGTATGAGTCCCACTGGGCTCAGTAGGTTTTACTTCTGAGTAGTTATGCATAAGGTCTGCTTGAATAACAGAAGGAGCTATCTTAACTTTTTTTTGTGATCCCTAATTTTGTGTCAAACATAAATCCCATTGAGGAATTGCAGGTTCCAATTTTAGATTATTTTCTGTAGCTTCTGTCTCTGTCAATTGATCTTAACACACAATCTGTATTGGATTGTTTTTAAAAATCTCTAAAATACAAGACATGTAATAGAGCTTTTAAATATCCATAATTATATCTAATTTTATATTTTATCATTGAACAATATCAATAGGAATTGAAACTTTGCATTCTAGCATCCTGAGAATGTCACTATTTTTTAAAATAGGGCAAGGTTTGCTAGTGCTAATGGCTATGAAGACCCAGTTTCAAAAATGTGGGGAAATGCATAATGAAATTCCAGGTGCTACTGGAGACTTCAGCAGGCCTGGTAACTGGGCTGGGTGAACTGAAGGGATTATTGTTTTAGATTGTATATTGTTTCTCTACCAGAAGTAGATTAAACTGCAAAATTGGGAAAACTCTATTCAGAATGCAGGGTGGAAGGGGTGCAGAATTAATTGGTAGTCTTCATTGAGATTCACCATGAAATATTCCCAGCTCTTGTTATATCCAGTAAGAAGGGCAGTCATTCCTTTAACCAAGCCACTGATATGTCACTGAGCCCTTCCAATTGCCTTAGCTGAAGTTAGCTGGGACAGAAACACTGGCTTTTCTCATGGGATGATTGACATCCTATGATTCTTTACACAACCCATCCTAAGAACTCAGAATGGTTAAAAACAATGAAATTATATCCAGCTCTTTCAGGAGAGCCCACATCAACGAACCTAGGAGAGAGACTTGGATGTGAGAAAGATAATGTGGAGATAACGATTTTAAAATAGCAAACAATAAAACCCTTCCCATGGAGAACAATTTGCTCTGGAAGTGCCCTGAATGTAAGAGAGCTGATCCAGGACAGGCTCATAAGAGCATCTCTGCCTGCCTCCTTCTCCAGGGTTTTCTACACAGGCTAATATTGCAAACTGGTGCTTGCAGTAGTTTGGACTGTTGCAGTTCATGGGTGACCTTGTTTAGAAAGTTAAATCTGCTGATCTATCAAGTTATAACTTTTGGGACCTGTAGTGGTGGTGGATAAGTCAATGCGGCACACCATTCTATCTGAAAATCTCACTGGCTCATTTCCCACCTATTTTTGGTGTCCTCCTTAGGATGCAAAGCATAGTCATGGGCAAAAATGCCTCCTGTGGTGTATTGGAAAGAACCCTACTATAATTTTCTAGCTACAATTGTGGGACTATCATTTACACCTGCTGAAATGTACCAGGCTAGCTTAAAATAACAGGAAGGCAGTAATTTGTGATGTTCTTTGCCTTGATACAGGAGAAGCTTATCTGAATCCTGCACCCTGGCCTGAACAACACTGTCATCCATCAAAACAAGTTGGCCATTTAATTTTATTAATGCATTATGTCTAATTGCATATAACATTTAGGATATTTACATATGATCTGTACATAAGTTTGGGTAGAGAGTCATTTTTTCAAAGCCATGGATGGACTTTTCTGCTTTGGGTTTTTGTTTTTTTAGAGGGGAGATGCTTCCCTCAAAACATCCCCCCTGCCAGTTCCAGTTCCTCCCCTATTTAACTCACTCGCATTAGTTTTCCAGAGCTGAGAGGGATGCGCTCCTTCGCGTCGAAAGGCGAGAAGGGACGCCACATGGAAGGCAATGGGGTTTACCTCCTTTTAAATATGCATAGACGCAAGTTATAAGGGTATCTGGTAGTCGGCCGTGCAGTCGTCTAACCCCGAGCTTTCCCCTTTCGGCCCTTCCCTCTTGTCGCTCCCTCCGTCGCCCCGCCCGGCAGAAACTAGGCCGAGGCCTGCGCGTTGCTATGGCAACCGGCACACCATCGCTCGCTCTGAAAACGCGCCTCGTGGCGGAGCGGCAGGTAACTGCGGGCCGAGTTGCGGCCTCTAGGGCGGAAGGCTGGACCCCAGCCCGCGTCGGGGGTAGCGATGGAGAATGAAGGGAGAGTCGTGAAAGGGGCCACAGGGGTTGGAGAATGCGTTGCGCGTTCCCGTTCACGCTTTTTTACAGGAGAAGTGTGTGGAGTATTCACGCCCTCCGCTTACTATATATGTAGTAGACGGTGCAGTTCTTAACTTGAGAAGTTTCTTGCTTGACAGGCGAAGGTTTTTGCTCGCTACTTCTTTCTCCTTTAAAATACCCCGCACCTGATGGCTTTTTTTTGCATGGCATGTGAATGTACCTGCATTTCTTGAAAGCCGAGAAGGACTTACAGTATGTTACCCCAAGCCCAAAACAAATTAAAGTAGCAATTTGAGAAGGGAATACGGAAGAAGCATCTCCAGACCAAATATAAATCCATTTCTGTCGGAATGCTAGAAAAATACACCATCTTTATTCTAAAATTTTACATTGTTTTCAGAGGGGATTTAAAGGGAGAAGAAAGCATTTTTACTGGAGCCTTCTGTCTAGATAATCAGAGAGCTGCTTAAAAAATGCAGATCATCACCAAACAGTACTTCATAGGATATGGAATGGGCTTCCATGGGAGACCCCATCACTGAGGGTGTTCAAGGAATGAATGGACACCCACATGTTGGACAATATATGAGCGGAGCCAGCTTGTGCCGGGGGTCAGACTAGATGGCCCGGGAGACCCCTGCTGACTTGCTATTTTTCTAACTTCTGAAGTCATGGCAACAAGGAAATGGATTTTAGTATTTGGTCAGGTAAATATGGGACAGCACTTTAAAAACTATCCTAGGATGTAAAGCTTAAAGATAGAATTTTGAGTTGAGTCTGGAAACAAACTGGCAGCTAATGAAGATTGCTTAATACAGTTATAATATTATCTAAAAGACTGGCCCCAAGTGATCATCTGGCAGCTTCATTTTATCAGTTGAACTTTCCAATCATTTTCATAGGTGGCCCCAAGCTGAGCCAGTGTTGATGTGACTAATACGTAAAATTTTTAACCTAATTGCTTTCTGGATTGTAACTTGTTAAGTGTTTGGGATACAATCTAGCAGGCATGTCTGTCAAATCATCATTATTTGAATCTAGACCAGTGGTCCCCAGACTTTTTGGGGCTTCCCCCTCCTTTCCTCTTGAGCAACAACCTTAGTGCCCCCATGCCTCTTTCTTTGTATTAGGTCTATTGCTCTACTCCAAATGTAAAACAACCAATCACTGCCCCTTGGATCTTTTCGCTGTCCCCACTGCTGTCCACTTTGGGTATCATTCATCTAGACAAATTATTCATAGGTTCATTTGAACTGTACATTCTTTTGTTCCCCTTATAAATTAGTTACAGTTTATAAACTACATTGCTTGAAGAACTCTTACTGAAGATTTGCTGAAATCTCAAGGATGCCATAGAATAAGCTGTTCATTACAACATCATTCATTTTTAAATTCCTGTTTTATTATGCTGGTGACCTTCAATGTACATATACTTGAAGTACTGAATAGAAAGCAACCACTGTTTTCCCAGCTTTATTCTCCATTCATTGTATAGAACTTAGTTTTAATAAAACAGCAAGATACAAGGACATTAACAGCAAGTCGTTGGCTAGATCCTGAACAGCAACCATTATTTATGCTATTGGTGCCTTGTGCAGGACAATCCAGTGTCGCAATGGAAACTGAACCCAAGAAAGGCTCACGTAAACATGGGTAAGGTTGCTATTGAAATTTTTGTGCATATATATTATAGATAACAGGCTATGTTTTTCTAATCAGATATAAACTCCACTATGATTAGTAGATTTTCTTTCTGGCTAAGTGTGTTTAATGTATAAGAAGGTCCATTGAACTCCTGGCACTTTGTGAGTAAAATTTCAGTGGTTCCCAGCACATGAAAGCCTTTTAGTGCATCACTTCTGAAAGCTGTTGACGTGAAGAAAGCAATTCTTATGTTCAGTGAATGTTTTGGTAAGTGTGGGCCTTTTATTTGACATACAAGTGCAAGAGGATGGAAGGAATAATCTTGTGGCCTGTAGACATTGACTGAAGGGCCACAGGATGTTTCAGATTCTGAGATATGAGGTAAGAGACTGCACTAGCTTCGAGACCTAAGATCAAGCGCTCAGAACTCTGACCTCACTTACCTTGTCCCCTTGCAGCCAACACAGAACAGTACTGGCTGCTCTCCAAGGTCAAAAAAGCAACCTCAGATGGGTAGGAGGGGGAGTTTGGGGGGCAGAGATAAGGAGACTGGGAAGGTCAGGATGCCAAGTATCCTGGGACTTCTCCAGATTCATTCCACCCCCCTTCTGATGCCATTGCTAGTTAGGTAAACATGACTACATAATGAAAATGTGGAGTGGGAGGACAGGGGAGGGAAATATTGCCTCCACAACTCCTCTTGTTCTTCACTGGATGGGTGTGCACCTCCAGTTTGGGTGCTTAAATTCATCTCCATAAGATTGTAACCTGAATATCATTTGTAAAACACTCTAGAAAGTGTTTTACAAATGTTGTTGAGTGAAGCCACAAGAATTTATTAGCTGAAGCTCATTCAGGATAGTAAATTTGATCATCAGGGATACCTGAGACAAATGCCTTTCAATAAATCTCCCTCACACTGTTATGTGCTGTCAAGTCATCTTTGACTTATGGAAAGCCCTCCAAAAAGGCCTGTCCATGACAGTTCCATTGAGCTCTTCCAGGTTCAAGGTTGTGGCTTCATTTATGGATTCACTCTATCTCATAGCTGGTCTTCCCTTTCATCTTCTGCTTTCAACTTTCCCTAAAATGATTGTCTTCTACATTGATTTTTGCCTTCTTACGATGTATTCAAAGTGTGCATCCCTCATGCTAAGGGGCATTTTCTGTTAGCTTTTCTCCAAGTATGTATGTGTATATATATTTAAAACTTTTGTATGCTGTCTCTTATGCCTGGGCATCTCAGTTACTTGGTTTTCTACACAAAATATATAAAGGTTAGCCTTTATTGCTTTTATGAATCTGCACCTCATTTAGGCTATGAAATGCAAAATTATAACCACAGGTATTACTAAAAAGAGATACCATCCTGAGACTTCTAGTGAAGGATGAAATATAAAAGCTTTTAATTAATTAAATACATTTCTGGAAATTTTGAAACAATGGAAACCCCATTTTTCAGTGTTTTTCTGTGAAGGACGTACAGCACATATTTATTGCAGATGTAAAGCCACTATTTTACTGTTGGAACAAAAAACTTATATATAGTTTTGCAGTGCTTTTTTTGTTAAAAAAAAAAAAAGTGCCGGAACTCACGTCTTGGGGTCACACTTTTACACTAAAAAAGATTTTCAATTCACCAACTTTTTTTGAAATAAATAACTTATTTACCTTTTGCACGTAGCCAGTCACTCTACACACACATAAACATAATGGTCACCACTGGCAGTAAGCACTCAGCGCGCGACCACACGACCAATCCCAAGCTGAGCAGTGTCCCAAGCCAGGCAGTGCCCTCACAATCAGCGCGGACACACAAGCAGCCCGCATGCACTATTTTAATGATTTTTGCTGCCGACTTGCTACACCCGATAGGGCGATTCAAAATCCCTTGGAAAAATCCATCAAAAAAAGGTGCCGGAACACTGTTCCGGTGCGTTCTATGACAAAAAAAGCCCTGTAGTTTGTAATCTGATAAAATTATTATTAAAATTCAGTACATTTAAGAGTAAAATCAGTAAATGTGTAATTACTGTGTGAATAAAATAAAATTTAAAAATTTTAAAGTTAATAAACCAAACACAATAATTTTTTGAGCAGACCAAGTTATGCATAATATGTTTTAGGTTCCTATTTTAGGCCTGTCCAACAGGAGCTCTAGCAAGTAGTTACTGAAATATCTGAACCATCATAGACATCACAAAAAGTAGGAAAAGCTGGATGCAGAGGAGGATTAGTGTGTAGCATCTATTCCAGTTTGTGAAAAATAGTTGTTTAGGGAAATCTCATCTAAAGTTAAAGCTATTGAACAGTTATTTAGCTGGGGAAGAGTCTCTTACTTATTTAGAATGTTAACTGAACATGAAAGCAATTGCAAGCGATTTGAACAGTTGACATTTTATTTCCATTTGTCTATGCTAGCAGTATCAATTCCATCCATACAGCTTATGAAGCAGGCTACTGTTCTGCTTTATGCTTGCATTACAGAGTTTTAAGAAATCATTGCAAGGAAGGAGGATGGTGTTACTGACCAGTTAGAAATATATGATCTTCTCTTAAACATTTTACTTTCTATTCGAAAAGAAAATATTTCATAATTTAAATTTATCCATTTGTGGGGGAGGAGAAAACAAATAAAAACCCTGTGGTGGCAGGTGATGAGAATGCAGTAGACCATTTCGCCTTAACTTTTCCATTTACACTCTATTTTTGTGGTGGGAGAATGTTATCCCTAATGTTCTCCCCACCAACCCCTATCACAGATGATACACATGGTAATCAATCTTGTATAATTTTGTAAATGAGCAAAAAGATTGTTAAAATAATTACTTGGTAATTGCTGGAAATACCATCTTTGAAACATATTGTTTTAAGGAAATATGGAAGACATTCTCATAGAGTAGATGCTCTCCTGGAATTCTATTGCAATGAGAAACAAGAGAAGAAGAGGATGAAAGCAGCATACATCATCCAGAAAGCCTGGAGAAGATGGCTGGTAAGCCAGAATTTCAACTTCTGAAAACACCTGAAATTTCAGTCTTCCCTTTAGATTTTTTTTCTTAATTCAAAGAGCTTTTCTAGAATTACAATAACAGTTCAAAGCACTGTACTTTATCCTTTCCCCACAAATTGAAATCTCACAAGGAATCTGCTGCAACTTGCTGCAACCGGGCAATTGTTACTGCTACAGTTAATATTTGCAATAATTATGATTTTATTATACCTGAATATCTGCAGCCTGGAATTAAAGAACTGCAATATTTTTACCAATGGGTTTCAGACTATGCTCCTGAGAATTTTGTGGGGCTTGGAAGCTTATAGAGGATTCTTCAATGAGAAGGCCAGTAATAGTACAGAGCAGTGTAGATTGTGAGGAATTCTGGGTAAGAACCCTGTTGCACCTATCCAGGCATGGGTCCCTGCATTACTTTGCAGCATACCAGGAAAGAAACATTCGAGCAGGGGTCTCAAACTCAACTTAGCTGGGGGCCGCTGGAAGTAGAGTCTGGGTGAGGCTGGGCTGTATCAAGTATTCATCGTGGTGGTGGTGGGCTGCTCATCCCGCGTCGCTCCCGGAGGCCGGCCCGGGTGCCACTGGCGCTTTGAAGGCCGCAGGTCCCCTCCCCCATGCCCGGCCCGGCGCGCAGCTTAGAGGGAACATTGTGCCCAGGGTAACAACTCACGCAGGCACGTGTGAGAAACGCGCGGGCCGCACTATCACTAAACTTTGATATCAAGTGGGGGCCACAAAATATCGTCCCATGGGCTGCAATTGGCCCGTGGGCCGCGAGTTTGAGACCCCTGCATTAGAGGATAGAGTAATGCAGGCATGGGGTGATAAAGGCAGCAGCTGCATTCATACTTCTGACACCACTGCTTTATTGCGTTCACCTTCCTGGCATAACAATGCAGCATGGGAAGAAGAAATGGTGGTATCTGGCTTCTGAACGCTAGAGTGAATTAAAATGGCAGCAGTCCTGAGGCATGTGGCTAGAGTGGGGTCCTGCTGTAATGGAGAGAACTAGTGGAATACAATTATCCTTGGATATAAATTCTATAGAAGGGTCAGGAAATGGCAGACTGGAGAATTTGTTGTACTGTTCATCAAAGAGTACATCATGTCCATCTGATTAGAAAACCTAAAAGAGGCAGGTTGTTCCCCAGTAGCACTGTACTGGGCTCAGAAACTAATTTAGTACTATGAGTGTGCTATTGTCTTCCAGACTAGAATGCTCAAGATTACTTTGGGATGATAAATCAGGGAGGCTTCCAGACAAAGTATTGTATTCATCAGTAATTTCAGTTGCCCCCACATTCACTGGCTAAACACATGTTCCAGTCATGTACAAAGAGGTTAAATTTTTTAATAGCTTAAAAAAGTGTGACAGAGAACATATGGTCATGGAGATGACCAGAGAGGAGGTGACCCTGGAATAAAATCCTAAATTAGGTAATTCAGGACCTAGTATAGATGCCGTTGAAACAACTAGAAACAGAAACCGCAATGCTCTCAGTTTGTTTGTGTGGAAAGTTGCCAAAAAGGTACAACACCATCTTCTTTCACTTCAAATGAGGACACCAGTTGCCAGTGGAGCTTCCCCTCAAACATCTTCTGTTGCAATGTGCAATGCCAGGCAAAGCACTGGACATGTTTCAAAGTCTCTGTTAAGAGGGGGATACCGGAGAGTTCTAGTTATCCCACTGTGCGAACTGACCATGCATCCTTGAACCTTCCCTAAAATCGTTTTCAATGTAATGTGTAAACCTTTCAAAGTGTTCTTCAGGAGGCAAGCCTATATGGAAAGGGCTTCTCAGAATGGAAGTTTGAAAATACCTGTGTTGAACTATCTAGCTCCTTAGACTTTCACTAACAGTGGACACATCTGGGCTAGAAAATTTTCCACCACTCCTAAGTGTGTATAGAAAATGCTCCACTAATGAAATAGTTTTATAACATTGATTAGCATATGAATACATAAAACCTATTGGCCAGTCATTAAATTACATTTATATTTAAGCCCCACCATTGGCCTATTGCAAGGACACCAAGATGGCTTATAAGGTTCTCTGCTTAATTTTATCTTCACAACAACCCTGTGTGGTATTTTAAGCTTGAAAGTCTGTAACTGGCCCAAAGTCACCTAGTAAGTTTCATTGATGAGTGTGGTCCCAGTCCAATGCTGCCACACTGGTACTATCAACTTAATAGTAACTCATAAAAGTTGTTGCAAGGATAAAGGGTAGAAGAAGAAAGCACCACCTTGAAATTGTGGGAAGAAAGATGGGCTAGAAATTAAAATGTAAACATTTGGCAACTAAAGAAGAAGGTTGGAAGATGGGAAAATTAGGCTTTCCACCAAACCCAAGTAGTTGTTTTCTATGTTCCCACATGTCCTTTAGGGCGTGATCATATCCCATCCACTTCTGATGCATTTAAGCCTCAGAATGTGGAGGTTTATGTACTTCCAATGCATTGTGCAAGGCATGGTGGTAATTTCCACAGCAGCATAACTTGCACCCTCCATGCAATCTAGGTGGCCATCTTTAGCTATCTAAATGAAGTACCATGGATTGGGAGGGAAAGAGGAAGATACGGTGCAAGCAGTCAATCTTCACATGTCCCCTTCCCCATTGCCCTGGCATGCCCCTTACCTTTCTCCAAGGGGAATTCTGACCTCAGAGATACAGCTCTTTCCATCCTGGTTCTGTGTTTGAAGTCACAGCTCCAAGGTCATAGAACTTAAGATCGTGATTATCCTAGGTCTCCCTAGGCAGAGTTGGGAGACCATGAAATTGTGCACTCAATCTGAATTAGAAGTAGGAATGTATGCATTATGTGACCAACATTTAGCAGTCATAATATTTATAACTTAATTTTATTATCATCCTTGTCTAGGATATTGGTGTGTTTGACTACTATAAAGAACTAATAGGCTTCAAGCTGTGTGGGGAGCCCTCTCATTTGATGAAGTACATTGATCCTAGAGAGGTAAGGGTTAAACTGATGAGGATATTTAATGGTACTCCTAAAGATATAATGATATTAATTTAATTATTTCACCACTATTCATTCAAGATAATGGCAGGATTAATTAAGTAAATTATATGAACTGTATATTTAACACCCATTGGCTTTACAGAATTATAATGTAGAATGTAACCTTTGCAAATAAATATCTAAAATGTGTTTATCTGTGCATTCTCTAGTCTTGTGTTTCTTGCTAGTCAGTTTTTAAAAGTTATGCATTATTATATAAATTTTGTCATTCATTAAATCGCAGGGCAGTGTATCAAATTCTTTAAAGCAATTGACATAAAATACGTAGATTAAAAAGTGCCTGGATAAAAAGATGATTCTGGGGAACACAGTCAAAGATCACGCCTCTCCCTTATGGGCAAGAGAATTACAAAGACAGGGTGCCACAACATAACAGTTCCTCTGACTGGATGCTATCAGATTTACCTGGGCAGATAATGAAACTACCAAGAGGCCCTGATCTGTACACATCGCTGAATAGCAGGTGCATACAGGAAAAGGCACTCTTTCAGGTAGTTTAGTTCCAAGTAGTATAGTGCCTTAAAAGTCATTGAACCTGGCCTGGTAATGTATTGGCAGTCAGTGCTGTTTTCTAGGTAAAGGTATGCCATGCTCACTGTAAGCTACCCTACTTGGTAAACTTCTAAATACTGTACTCAGTCTGGTTTTGAAGAAATTACAGTGTTAATTGATTAGAACAATACATTGTAAAACAATAATGATTGAAAAGATATTGAGGCAAGTTTTAAGCAATAGTGCGCAACTTGGATAGATAGCAGGCTAACATCAACAGAAAGCATTCTAATTCTTTTCCCTTGTTTGCAGGCAGAATTTTTAGATGCTGCAGCAGGGGTTCATATGAAATTTAGGTTAGGTGGGGTAAGTATAATGTGAATGTAATGTATAACAAACACATTATGTATTTTGTTCTGCATATTTTGAGCTCTGTTCACAGTGGGCTTGAAAATTATGTTTATTAGGATGAGTTGGTTTTGGGAGAGAACATAACCATTTATAAATCAATTATACATTTGAATACTCATAACACTTAAGTACACATTGAACCAATACTTTAAGTAACAGTATTTTCATCTCTGTATATCTGGGGAGAGGGACTGAGACTTAGAAATAATGGCTTGCTAAAATTACCTAGCAAGTTAGCGAGTGAGGTGAGAGGTAAAGGAGGGAATTTCTGGTTCAAAAGTCATATTCTTAGTCAGCATGTTACATGGCCTTTTATCACAGGTCTCTGCATTATCTCACTGAAAACCCATTAAGGTGCATATTCCCGCTGCATATGGGACCAGAGCCAACCATGGTTTTGAAACTTGACTAAGGTATGCATATGGTTCCTACCACGGATTCTCCATCCACAACCTTGGGATCCACCACTTCTTTTACACTACTGAATGGTTGCCATTGTTAAGAAATTTCCCTTAATGTTAAGCTGAAATCTGCTTCCCTGCAGCGTCCACCCTTTGGTTCTAGTCATGCTTTCAGGAGCACCACATGCTCTCTTCAAGCTAATCATGCCCAGCTCTTTCAATCATTCCTCATGGGACCTGGTTTCCAGACATCCCACCTTCCTGTTCACTCTTCCATAGATGTGCTTCAGCTTCTCAGTGTCTGAAATGGCAAGAACTGGACACCAAATGAAGCCTGACTAATTCAGAATAGAGCAGAACTATTACTTTCTTTAATCTGGATGCCATACTGTTAACATAGAGCAAGACTGCATTAGTTTTCTTAACGGCTTTATCACTTAGCTTTCTCATATTCAGCCTGTGGACCATTAAGACAATTAGCTGCTTTTCACAAGTCTGATGCCAAGCAAGATCATCTTCATCCAATACTTTTAGCTTTGATCTCTAAATGCAAACCTTCCTTTATCTCTGTTGAATTTCAACTCAGATTTAGCCCAGAGTTCCAGCTAGATCCTCTTCAATCTCCTGATCCTTTCCCTCCTGGTATTATGTCTTCCACAGATTTGAGAAACACCCCCTTTACACCCTAATCGAAGAGATTTATAACAAATGTTGAACATTCAAGGTCTTAGAGAGTCCTGTGGAAGTTCACTTGAGATGTCCTTCTGATGTGAATGCCTAGTCATTAATTGGCACTCATTAAATAGAGTTTGCTCAACCATCTCTGAATCTACCTAATTGCAGTATTGTCCAACCCACAGTTTACCATGTTGCCAACAAACTATCATTTATTTTCAGTAATTCTTGGTGTCTTTCAGGTCAGTCTTCCCAAGATAACATAAAATAAAACCCACATACTAAAAACTGATATACAAAGTAGGAAAAATCCTAAAAACAAGCATAAAAACTAAACAAAACCTACCACATATAGTAGATAGAACCAGTGTGATACAGTGGTTAAGAACACATGTTTAGGACTTGGGCAATCTGAGTTCTAGTCCCTGTTCAGCTATGCAGGCAACTGGGTGACCTTGGGCCAGTCAGACTTGCAACCCAACCTACCTCACAGGGTTGTTGTTGTAGGGATAAGATTGAGAGCAGAATTATGTATGCCACTTTGAATTTAAAATAGAGAAAGGTGGATATAAAAGTAGTAACTAAATAACACAGCTGAGGCTACAATCCAGCCCAATGAAATATAATCAGTGGAAGGCCAGAGGAAAGCAGTATGTTTCAGGACCTTCCTAAAAGCCCACAATGATGGGGCTGGGTGGATCCCTAGTGAGAGTTTTCTATAGAGGGATGTGACCACAATAGAAAAGGCTCTGATGAAACCTTGTGAAATGCTTTGCTGAAATTAAGCTATAGTATGGCTACAGAATTCTTATATCTACTAAATTTGGAACTCTGCCCAAAAAAAAAAAAAAAAAGATTTTTATCTGATGTGACTTATTCTTGAAAAATCCATCATGAAATGTAATATATTCTACATATTCACAGACTGACCATCATCTGTTTACATGGTATTAATGTCAGACTGACTGCTTTATAGTTACCTGAATTTAGCTTGCTCTTCATCTTGAAATTAGGGACATTTGCCCATGTCAATGTCTAGGAAAACTCAAGGATGCTGGCTGAGCAATGCTGGGAGTTGCAGGACTCTTTTTCTGTGTAAATATGCATAATATTGCACTCTTAACCAAGCAATTCCTAGCCTGAAATGATAAAACCCATGAAGAACAGTAGTATGTATTATTTCTCTATTCAGTTGAATTGGCTCATTCTCACTTCGAATTAATCTCAGTTCTCTGTAAAATATGAAAAATGTTGACTTCTCTAATGTATTTTTAAAGTATAATCTTGCTTGCTTTCAGTCTGTTTTAGAAGAGAATTGTTCTACTGTGAACTAAATACAATAACAATGTATTAAAACACCACTTTAAACACATTAAAATAACAGATTTCTCAATTCTCCCATTTTAATTTTTTCTCTGCAGATAAAGTTTCCTCCAAGCATATATTACAAAATATTTACTCACAGGCCTATTGTGGATGTGTGTGCATATAGTCCCAAAGATTATACAAAACTTGCAATCACAACAAGGCAAACACGAAAACTCCAGAAAAAGAGCTGTGAGGATCCTAGTGACTGGTATAAACGCATAGAGAATAATGGCTGGAGACTTCTGTCCCCCAGGGTAAGAAAGGACAAGCTGTTTTCATTAGCCAAATTCTTCTCCATTTTCACTGTCTACAAAATTGAATTATGGCATTATGGTTCTATATCTATAGAAACAAGAATTTACAAAAAGTTTAACAATTTAGCCTGTTTTTATCTAAATGTTTTTATCTTCTGAAAAGAAAAGAGGTTAGCATTGACAAGGCACAAACAAATTCTAATGAAATGAAACTATTGGTGAGATGTTCTAATAATATATTTCAGTTCTGGAAAGCCCTGGACCCTATAACTGCTGAAGACAACCTCAGAGTGAAGGAATTTGAGTGCTTGAGCATGCTAAAGAAACAAGAAATGATAAAACGAAGAAAAAGGAGAAAAATAGAATGGCTAAAAAAAATGTGAGCTCCTGCAGTTTTAAGTTCTATACATAAAAACACTGACCTGTTTTCATTATATCTGCTTAGAGTGTAAAAAATAAGCAGATATAAAGTCAAGCATGCTACCGTATTATAACCTTTTGGATATTTTTCAATCTAAATAGCCTGAGAGCCAGTGTGGTGTAGTGGTTAAGAATGTAGGACGGGGATTTATGCAACCTGGATTCTAGTTCCTGTTCGACCATGGTGCCAACTGGACCAGTCACAGACGCTTAGCTCAAATGACCTTACAGGGTTGTTGTTGTTGTGGGGATAACACTAAGTGCAGCAGAACAATGTAAGCCACTTTGAATTCACTGTACAAAAGCAGGATAAAAATCTAATACATAGTAATGGGCATAGGCATTACCATTCATTCATTCATTCATTCAAGTTGCAGTAATAGGAACCTATTATTTAGGACTTGGAAGCATTCTTTAGAAGGTACATTTCTTTGGTCACCTAGAAACCACAGGTAAATGTTCTGTCACTTTTAAATTGGCTGTATGTACCTATACGAGATCCCACCAGACATTTATTATCCAAATTGCATAGCCTAGCAGATGCTTAGTAAATCTCCTGTTTTGCTGCCTGGCTGTGGTCAGGAAGCAATGTGAAGTGTCTGAAGGAGTACCTCCTTCCATATATATCAGGAGCCCTCTTTGAAGATCAGAAGAGTGGCTGCCCGGAGAAGGATCTTCTGTGCAGTGGCGCCCTGGCTATGGAATGGGTTCCCCAGAGAGGTGTGCATGGCACCAGCACTTTTTTCATTTCGGCACTAGGCCAAAACCTTTTTACTTTCCCAGCATTTTAAAAGTTACTATTGTTTTTAATGTTGATTTTATATATTATTGTGATGCCGTGTCTTATTTATCTATGTCACTGCCCTGACACACTGTAAAGGGTTGGATAAAAAAATGTTAAATACAGAGACCACCAAAACAATGTATACACACTTCAGGAAAAGAAAAACTTGTATAAATATTTTAACACTAAATTTATTGAGACATCATGAGATTAATAGAAGTTACCTTTGGCCTCTACAATTACAAGGGGTGCTCAAAGTGGTGGCCATTAGCTGAAGTTCTCAAAGCGTCGATTGAGATGGCTGCATGTATATACATTTTTTTGGCAGACTGTAAATGTGACAAGTTTTGCAGGTAGTCTCACATTTTGACATTTGTTTCAGTAATTACTTAGTTTAAATAATGCATGTTTATTTGAAATATTTTTTTAAATTCATAAAGTGAACCCAAGGCTGTTTACATAAAAGTGCATCTTCCTATAAATAAGGAAAACAAATTATAAGAGAAGTACACATCAAAAACATAGATGATGGGGATCTGTTATATAATGGATTAATGGCCATAAATATTGGTCATATAATAAAACAAAAACATTCACCACACTTATTTTAGAGCATTTATATACCACTTCCTCGTGAGCATAAGTGGACTCCAGGGGATGGTGGAGGACAGGAAGGCCTGGAGGAATGTTGTCCATGGGGTCGCAACGGGTCGGATACGACTTCGCGACTAACAACATACTACTTCCTATTTTAAAGGTACTGAAGCAGTCTACAACAGGGGTCTCAAACTCAACTTACCTGGGGGCCGCTGGAAGTAGAGTCTGGGTGAGGCTGGGCCGCATCAAGTATGCCACCACCGCCGGCGCTTTGAAGGCCGCAGGGCCCCTCCCCCGTGCCCCGCCCGTCCCAGCAATTGGCCTGCAGGCCGTGAGTTTGAGACCCCTGGTCTACAACATATTGCAAAAGAGTGCATCATTAAAAGCATAATGTTTTGATAAGTTAATGGCTGGGGAAAAACCAGAATAAACAAGTAATTTTTTGGTTATCACTGAAAAGCCAAGATTGTGGGTGCCCAATGTATCTCAAAGGAGAGGTCATTTCAGAAGTCGGGCATCTGAGAAGACCAGTTGCTGCCGGATGGGACTCTGTAGCATTTCACACAGAATGCAAAGTCTTCTGAAGACTTTGGGTCTAATGGGTTTAAGTAGGGGCAGGATTATCTTCAGGACTTTTGAAAGGTATGAGTGTGTTCATGATTTGTTTGTGCTTGCATTTTTAAACCTTGGCTGCAAAGAAACTAAGGCTATGCTGCCACCTATAGAGAAAATGTAGTAACAAAAATGAAATGCACATTTCCCTTTTCCTAGGTACTTTGGAAAAAGCCTTCAAGTGCAAACTGCGGATCCAGCTGCAACAGTCTTAATTCAAAGAGCAACAGAAGGTTTAATCAGCACTTTGGAGAATGAAGGAATAGATAAAGTGATGGAATGGGAAGTGGATGAAATGTTGAAATGGACAAATGCACTCAACTATGAAGAGTAATACTTTTACGTTTGATCTTTTATCTCTCTAAATTTATTTATTGTTCAAAAGGCTCTCCCAGTTTTAAGTCCTCCACCTTATTAATAGCAGCATAGTGCAACATCCTAATGTTATATATATTTCAAATAACTGAGCCAAAAATAAATCATGGTTGAGCTTTTAAATGTTCAGTTTACTCAATTACATTGTTATGTCTAGGTATGTCAAACAATGGAAAGAAATTGGAACAAGCAAGTTATCTGATAGCTACCAAGGTAAAAATCCTGACTATTGTTGGCAAATTTGTGTAATTTTCTTAGAATATAAGCACTACATTAACTTTGGATTACATGGCAATCACACTTGGAAAGAGTGAACAGATTCTCTGTATGCTGCATGTGAAGCCCAGTTGACACACAATGGTGGGAGAATAGCTGCTGTCATTTTAGTATTAGATTTATATCCCACTTTTTAGAGAAAAGGACTCAGAGTGGCTTAAATAATTTTTCTCTTCCTGTTTTCCATCTTATTCCTGCAACAAAATCCCATGAGGTAGGTTGGGTTGAGAGTGTGATTGGCCCGATGTCACCCAGTTGGCTTCATGGCTCAGCAGGGACTAGAACCAAGATCGCTAGAGTCCTAGACCTGCCCTCTTTATTACACCACACTGGCTTTCTATGCAATTACAGGAATGTATGGGCATGTAGCAACTGATAACAAATGACCTCGTCTCTTAAAACCTGGGATGTGGAATCTGTGGCTGTTTGGCCTTTATTAAACTACAACTCCCCTCACCCTGGTCTTTGGCTCTGCTGACTGGCTGATGGGTGTCATAACTAAAATTAGTTTGAATTCTCTGGGTAAGTTTAAGGTGCAGTTCTGTACAGTGTGATAGAAAAGAGTCATGGATTGGGACATGCTAGGATTTGTAGAACTTTTTTCTGTCTAAACATCCATGTGATTGTATGCTTAACCACATAATCATGCGGCTTGAGTCTACAGTAGTTACCACAGTGACAATATAATGCATAACTTGGACATCAGTCACATTCTTTTTTTCTGGAAAGACATTTCATTTCTTAAAATGTTCTCAGGTCAACAATACAAATTACAGAAACTAATTCAATTTCAGAGGTGATTCTGTAATATGCAAATTATTATTATTATTATTATTATTATTATTATTACTACTACTACTACTACTACTACTACTACTACTACTACAACATTTCTATGCCGCCCTTTGCCAAAGTCTCGGGGCGGCAAATTGTCCTTTATTCTTAGAATATCACTATTTTAAAAATCTAAATTTCCGAAGTGTTGAATCATCTGTGTCCGCCAACTGAACTAAAAATTATTGTAATATCTGCTCTTAGTATCCACATGGCCCTGTCCACTCTCTCACATAGTGCTATGAGTATTCTGCAAATGCAGAAAAAGAGCATCTGTAAGTCCAGCACTGGGAACAAGTCCAGTCAGCTTATTCTCTTCTCCTTCCCTGCCCTTTCTTTTTAAAGAACAAGCTTCTAGTCCTTATGTCTATGAAGACAGACTTGAAAGTATTAGGCAATGCCCAATAATCTTTGAAGTAAAAAGGGAGGAAAAATGAGATTTCCAGTGGCTGGGATATGGTTGGGGGCCAGGCATGATCTGTCTTTCTCAAAATGTAGCAGATTAATTAAGGAATATGAACAGTACATGTAATTTATACAGGCTGAAGGATTCAGATTGCCTTCACATATAAGCTTTCTTTAGGTATAGCTCTGATAGTAGCCTATATAAGGTATCTCAGCAAGCTGGTGGTTCATTAACAACATCTGTGTATCATGAATTCTTAGTATAGACCAGAGGTCTTCAAACTTTTCCACCCAGGGGGCCAGTTGAAAGCTGCGGGTGCTGGGTGCAGGCCAGAAAGGTGGTACTGGCAGTATGCATGGGCTGGCGCACGCTGAGGTGGAGGTGGAGTGTGCGACAAGGCAAGGGGAGGCAACTTCATATTTTAAATTGTTCAAAAATACCTAAAATATATAGATTTTCTGACATTTCTTTTCTAATCCTTAGGCTTTCGGTTTACTGACCAATCCTATGAGCTGTCTGACTTAGCTCGGCTACCACACGTGTTCCATGAAATTGTACGATCTCATATGACTAAGGTACAAGCAAAGAACTAATGCCAGTAAGCATCTCAATTCAGATTGGAGTGGAAAAGCACACATTTGACAACTTTTGGAAGAATCAACTATAATAGTATCAAAGTAACACAGAAGGAGGCAAGCCTAACAAAACAGTATAAATGTATGGTTGTGTACTTGTCTACCTTAGCACATTTATGTAAAAATTAAATGCATTTTAATCAGATCTAGTCATGATGCTATTGTGAACCACTCTGAGTAAAAAAAAACCTTGTTTTGGAAAAGGCAAATCACCCACTGTTATACATAACTATGTCTATAATTAATACACATATTCAAATAGCATTCCTTAGGTTTACATTTCTAAAATATAAACAATGTGATTATCAGTTAATTATCCTGTCTCGGGTAGCTTTAGATGTTACATAATAGTGACAGCAGAGGAACCACAACCAATTAATTACAACTAAATAAAATTTCAGACTTTACTTGTAATGGCAGTGAATAATGTTAAAGTCAACATCAGCCCAAATAGGAACCTCAGCTGCAGCCTTCTTGGTGTGACTTTAAGAAAAATATTTACATTAGTCGTGGGTGGTAGAGTGTTAGATGAAAGAGCCAAACCATCCTATAGAGGTGAGACATTTCTGATTCATGTACATTGTTTTCTTCCCACATTCTGCAGCTTAAATAAAAAGGTTTCAGGTTGGTCTAAACTGAGATATGAATAAACTAATTACTGTGTACAATGTTATGGCGCAGAATAGAAGAATCCTGATCTAGAAATAACTGAGTCTTTTCTGATTGTGTCCTGGTAACACTGACGATATCAAGTATCTGAGAAACCAAGAAAGATTGCTCTGACTGATAGAAAAAAATGTTTGTGCATGTGTATGTATACGTATCACACATTGTTCTGCATCTTTGAGACTTGTATGGAAGAAAATTGTGCCTTGAATAAAGAAAATATTTGCTTCAAGGGAGAAAAAGGGTGATAAGCTTATTATTACATTAGAATTTATAGCCGAGCAACACTCAACACAGAATTCAGTACAAGTTCATAAACTCATTTATCTTTTTCATGTGAACAATATATACGTACATACATATTCCAGAAAGTATTGCAATATAAAAGCAAAGCTGTATTTTTAACATATTTTAGCTTAATTAGTAAGTTCATTTTAATTTCTAATTTTCCCTTCATTATGCTGCAGACTTCAAAATGCATAATCAGCATGGGGCAGGAGAGAGAGACTAATATAAATCTTTAAAATAAGCCACTAGAAATTAAATTGAACTTTAAAAAAATGAAATGTAGGATAAAGCCACCTTTTTGCTAATACATGATTGGTAAAATCTTGCTAGCTTATACTAAAACTTTAATTTGGATTCTTAGTAGGTAAAGAGGAGTATCAACATTAATATATAAGGGACAGAATATACCAAAGTTAAGTAATTACAGACATAAATGATGCTGGTGAAAGTAAACTAGTCAGCAGAATAAGGAAGCTTCTAGTGTCCATATAATTCTATATTCTCACATTTTCCTTTCCCGGTATTGAAATGCAGCCTTCTTTTGAGCCATATTCTTACTGTATGTCAGTTTCATACTTTTATGAAAGTAATATTTATGTTTCTTGTCCCTGAGTTTAAAACAAAGTGTTAAATACAGCTTCTCAGTACCATAAATAGAGTTCAAAGGTACTTCTAAAGCTAGGTTCATGCATTCATTGATGTTTCAACTCAACACTACTACACATTTGTGGTCTCAATATTCCACCCTGACACTAGCATCTTGGTGAAGTACAGTGTACAGCAAAAGGACAAGATGTCCACTGTGCAAAATCTAATAACAGTTTTCAACTCAAATCTGATAATTTTTCATACAGCAAAAATAAGGCAGCAGTGCCTTACTGCAGCAACATTCCGGCTAAAAATAATGAGTTTTATTGAAAGGCACGGCCTTTTCCTTTTGTTAAAATGCCTTACAACATTAGCTTTCTGAAATTAGTACTTCTCTTCCTTTTTTGAGTTCAAGACCAATCTAAGCATATGTCCACAACCCCGCAGTTTTACCTCTGACTAACTACGAGGAAGGAGGAAAGAGTTACAGCATGTTTCAAAATATTCAAACACAGTTTCCTATGTTCATCTATTTTCAAGCCAAAGCTTGTATTTTCACCAGAAACTATGACAGTTTATTTCCAAAATTAAACCTTCTCACTTCATACTCATTAAGACCAACAACACATTGTCACACCCATGCTTTCCAGCCTGGAAAGAGGCGGCTGAGATTCTTTGGGTCCATGGCCTGTTGTATGAGCAGGTTCACCTGACCTCCCACGCTGAGCACTGTTCCCTCTTCCACACCTTTAAGTTTCTCCTGAAGTCTCATCAGGACACGCTCTGCCACTTTGTTAAATGTCTGGTTATCACCACTGGTAATAAGAAAATACGAGTTTAGGAAAGCCTGTAGGGGTTCATTTTAATCATAGTAATACAAAATAGTCAAAGATTGCTTACTGTGGGTTTTTTTTACATTCCTGATCAGCAGCATTGAGGTTGGAGCTGACATCAGTCTCATCTTCTGGCCTTTGCTGCAGATACAAAGCTTTTAAAGGGTTCATGGTCCAGTCAAAAAGAGGGTCATATAAAAGTACCTGGATATAAGACAAGCCACAAAACGTATTTCTAAATGAAGCAAGTTCAATGCCTATGAAACAGGCAACTGAGGGATCTCTTTTTGAGGATAATCTTTAAAATGGTGATCTGGATAGAGACAAAACTCAAGAGTTGGTCAACATCTAAATTTTAAATGTTTTTAAAAATTTTTCTCTGTCATAGCAATTTTTCTCTGTCTTAGCAATTAAGCACTTACTAGCATTCCAGACAAAAGCTAATAACAGATATATCAGCTTTTTAAATATCAGGTTTCTTGTGTAGTTGTCTTTAAGCCATTCTTGGACACCTGATACATGGGTAACCTCTAGATTAGATTCCTACAATCTGGTTTTTGAATACCTTTGAACACTGTCTGGAGACCAGGTGCTTCAGAGTGGTGGCTAGAATGCTAATGGGAACTGGTTAAAAAGAGGATGTCACAACTGTGCGAGGATTGGTCTTCTAAAATGTTTCTAAGCTTGCTTTTTATCTTTTAAATTCTATTTTTAACTCCACTTTTTAAGATTATGGTTTCCAAAGATGCTAAGCCACGAGAATACCAATTAAAATCAGTTCAAAAATAGAATGTAACCTAGCATATAAATCCCAAGAATCCAATGTAAAATCAGCTGAGAACCATAGAAAACCCTAGTTTTCAAAGCCTGTCTAAAATTGGGAAAAAACGGTTTGGGGAGACCTTCCATGGAATGAAATACATGATTACAGCAAAGGATGTATCATTTTGTACCCATCAATTGAATGGCTGTGAGGGGCCAGACAACGGAGCTTTGATGTTGACACAGTGCTCTGATGTGTTCACATATGGGTGTAGGAAGGCCTTGATAGGATAAGGTCCTAGCCTGTTTAGAGTTTTAAACTTCTATGAGCCTACCCTATTTCATGCAATATTTTGAAATAGAAGGTATTTAATGCAACATTTTGAGTTCATAGGAGGGGTTTTAATAGAAGGAATTTTTAAACTGGGGCCATGAAGAAACACTTACCTCTACAATAGTTAGCAAAGCTTCTTGGGAATTTCTCATAACTGCCATAGTTTTTTCACAACATCTAGAAGAAATATTCAAACAAATATCAATTGTTAAACTTTTTCCACTATTGATGTCAATTGTTCATTTTTATTTCTAGGAATAACAGTTTGAAATAAGTGCTTACTAAACCATATAGTAGTAAACATGATTCTCATTTTCTACATACTGAGCAATCTCTCAAAAACATGGACAGCTGAAATTCTTATACATTTAACACAGAAAAGGAGAGGCAGTTTAAATACTTGAAAATTTACCTTCGGAAGACTCCCTCTACACCGGTGATGCCCATCCCATCTGTTATGTCTCTTGTTAGCCTAAAAGGAACAGTCTCTGGAGTAGGAAGGATTTTGCCCTGCTCAAAAGCAACACCTAATGAAGAGCCAAAAGCACTTATTTTACAATTCAATATACATAAAGTAAGTAAAATCTGAACAATTGACCCCCTGGTTATATACATACCTAGGTCAATGTGCACAAGTTCTGCACTCTGTTCATCTAACAGAATATTCTGTACATGTCTGTCTCCAAGACCAAGTATGTACCCAACTGAAAGATAAAGGTTCAAAATACAGGCAGAAATATTTGCAACTTACATTCATTAAAACTGCACCTTATATTTGCTTCTTTATAAAAGTGCATAAGATCATTCATAAAACTCAACCACATTTGGGTTGCTGTCATCCTAATTTCTATTCTGCCCAATAGCCAAAACTCTCTGGACTGTTTACATGTTTTGTGTACATATTTCTTTCCCTCCACAAACCGTCATGTCACATCAAGTATCACTTCAGAGTTGTGATAGGAAGAGAGGGACTGAAATGCTCAGGGTAAATATACAGGCAGCTGTTTGAATCCTAGCTTGAGTGATGACACAGAATACACATTTGACGGCCTCTTTCACCTATACAGAATGCCAGATAGTAGTGTCATATCATATGGCAAAAAACAAACAATTTAAGCAGACCTGTGGTAAAGGTTTGGGCAGCAGTGGATCTTACTATTAAGCCTTACACATAACTCTGCTAAATGCCTTACTGGTCAACTGGTATTTGGGTATAAATGCACCTGGTATCCAGGTATAAAATACACCTTTAAAAAGTATTTGTTACATTTGTGTAATGCCAAAAAGCTGAATCTCTCCGGACAGAACGTAACAATTAACATCAAATTCTGTGAGCCTAATAAAAAAAATCTGTATTTGGTACAACTGTAAGAGCATTTGATAATTTGCCTCTGTTGATCATGACTTTTAGAACACCAGTGAGAAAAAGGATAGAGAATAAAATAAGCTGCACTACATTTGGATTCATTCTGCTTAAATTGATGAGAAAATATTCCATTTTTATTGAACAAAAATAGAATTGTCTACCACTTCCTTTTTGTTGGTCATTCATTTATCTTTAAAAACAAATAAATTAAACTTACAACCTATTTTGTAATACTCAAGATAACACATACTTAAACAAAGCAAAGTTAAGTTTCATTATTTTTTTCTCTTTTATTTCATAGAATCACAGAATAGGCAATGGAAGTGTCATCTGGTAATTTGAAAAGAGTGTCCTGTAATTCCTCATTCAAGTTATTATCTGATTTGCAGATGACACAAAATTGGGTGGGATAGTGTTTTGGAAGACTGAAACAAAATTCAACGTGACCTGATAGGTTGGAACACTGGGCTGAAAAACATGGATGTTAACTCCTGTGTCAAGGTGAAGCCATCTTGGAGCAGAATTATATACTTGAAAAATTCACTCCAGCAGACCACTTTTAGGGGGTGGGGTATACACACAGGAATATATGGCTTTGTTTTTTGTTTTACCAAAACAGAAAAAAATGTTCTTCAATTTTCTTGAATAAAAAATAGATTTTCTGACATACAAAATACCTTTAAGAGGTATACCTGTTCTAAGAATTTGCTGGAGATAGACTGGAACCCAGTGAGCTCAGGCCTCTAGTGCTTTCAAGTTTGAATTTATTTCAAGAAGAATGCATTAATCTTAATAACTTAAGTTAAATGCCATTATTTCTAAAAATTAAAAGGGAGATGAAAAAAAGATGAATAACCAACCCCATAATTGCTGAGGAATAGATTTACTATGAAGTAGGTAACATTTCCTAAAACAAATATTTCAAACAGCTGCTGGAATCTACAACAATCCAAACTGGCATAGTAGGTACAATTTTACCACAGCTCTGGATCTGCAATTGTATAAGAGATAAAAAATAATGGTTGGCATAAGTTAGCCATATTTATACTACCTATTGATGAAGTGGCAACACTGCGAGTATATGCCAAACGTTTCTCAAACCACACTGCCGGATCAAGAAATTTTTCCATAAAGAAGTAACGAAATACAGGTTGGAAATTCTGGCAGATGTCCATGAAGACAGCATATTTTTCTTCAAAATCTTTTTTTTGTGCTTCCTTTAAGTGATATAGAAAAAACATTTAGAGAAACTGGTTTCCCCACATTTTGTGTGACTATGAGCTCTAGTCTGTTCTGGTAATGAAAATGAAGACCTGGGCTCAGAATTCTTTAATTCTAAGATTATGACCAGGTTCACGCAATATGGCAAGCCAGTAGGCTTAAATTATTTAATACATTGCCTGAACCTGGCACTCCTCCCACAGGATGGTATAAGATATGGCTTCTTTCAGGGCTTATAAACCACTCCGAGCTTTATAACCCACCCCAAACCACATCTTTGGGAGCAACAAATATGGAGTGATTCCCACCGGGGTGGGGGGTGGGGTGTTATGAGGCTTGAAATGTCAAACCTTCCTTCTGTCAGTGGGAATCCCATTCAGTTTTTAAGGTTTTCTCACTTCCAGCATCAGTGGCAGGTTTTCAAAAGCTGAGAACCAGTAGAGACAGTAGGGGCAGGCATAGTACAAGGTGGATACCTACTGGATTTTACCAGGAGGCACCCACCCTGTACAGTACCTACCTCAGCATCCTCCTTGGATTAACCAGACAGGCCCTGTTTGGCCAAACGGGGCTGCTCTACACTAAATACCTAAAACGGATTCCTCTGCAGATTTCTGACATTTGCTCCTGGTGGCAATCCTGCAGATGTGGCCACTGCTCTTATGGAGTGGGAGGTAACCTGCACTACGAGGAGCCTCAAATTCTGCAGCAACGTGGGCTTGCAGCTATCTGGCTAAGATGGAGCTGAATCCCTGTTCCCTAGGAAAATGGGGCTAAAGGAAGCAAAATGTTTATTGCCTCAGAGATGCATCTCTTGCATCAGGATATATACTAAGAAGAGATGTACCAATCCAGTACTTTAGCTATACTGGCCATCTGTCGACATTAGTGTCTACAATGCATATTGCAGGGAAAAAGCAGAGTCATTTCTATTATCCACTACAAAGGAATATACCTTGATTAACTTAAGGAAAGTCATATACATGATAGAGCAATCCAGACAATTAGTCTGAAGAAAGTTTTCTACATAAAGGAGAGAAGTTCTAGCAAAAACACAGCAAGGAAGATAAGACTAGGATGGTTAATTCCTCAGGTACTTTCCAGAGGGTCAAATTGAGCATCTCTCACCTGAACATTTAAAGGGGGATGTCCTCAATTTTCAGTATGATAGTCCCTGACAGAAGGGCTGCCAAAGGATTGTACATTAGTGGCTTTTTTAATGCCTCTATAGTGCGCTGAAGAAAAGAATTTTTGGGTAATATCAGACACCTTTCTATTTTGAAGAAACCCATTCTGCTTTCATCACCACATCAAAGACTGAAGGGAAGGGCACTAATTTATTAACATCTTGGGCTGCTCTGGGAATGCAGCAGCCACACAAGGGGTCTCTGGAAAAACAGGCCTGGCGAGAGATTAGTTGTGGAGCCAACTGGAAGCCTAGATCATTGTCTTCATGTACTTAATGAAATCCTCCGTGCTGAAATTGGTGAAAGAGTGGGTGGTATGTGTGGGTGTGGATGTGCTCTTTGGACACAGAACCAGAACCAGGAAGGATTGAACTGAATTGGTATCCACCTCATTCGAACCTGAAGAGGTTTTCTTAGAGGGACCCCTGCCAGGACTACAGGCGAGGATCAGGGATATCTTGAGCTGCTGACAAAGAAGTTAGGAATAGATGCCATGAGTTGTGCTGTACAGCCTTGGATTTTTACCACAGTTTTGTTTTAGACTCCTTCTAGACACTTGCTTTGGCTTTGTCACTGGATATAGGAGAAGGAATGGAGAGTCTGAGAAAAATAATTCCTAACTTCCCCTTTTTTGGTAATGTCACTACTTATTCTGTTGTAGCAGTTATATCTTTCAAGTTGCTAATTACAGCCTGATAGATATTTTGGATAAACTGATTCTCCATAATCCAATTAGGAAGCATTGTGTTGGCAGCCTCAGTAGAGGAAAAATGGCTGTGCATGTTCTTAGTAGGTTAAAAGCTTGAGATTAGGGAAGGCAGATCTGTGCCTCTCTCCAGAAAGAGGAGCTGAGCTGGCACTCCCTGTGACACCACTTGGCTGCCAGCATGAGCACCCCGAAGGTCGCTACTAAGATGACATTCTGGCATGAAAAGGAGCAGAACCAGACAAAGGTTCCCTAATAGTTCATTTGCCCTGCACACACACACCTCTTGTTCCTGATTCCAGAGGATGGATACCTACTCTCTCTCATGCCCTGCAATGGATGGCAGCTGACCTGGATCAGTCCAGGAGAGGAACCTTTCTGCCCTGATGCCAAGCGCTATCTCAGGTGAAACCCCTGTGGCAACAGGCAGCACAATGAGTACACCAATTGCAGAGAACATAATGAGGAACTTTCAGGAGTTCCTAGGACCACTTTCTCTGCTCTTTGTTCCTCACAACAAGAACGTGCTGTTTAGCTAAATGTGTCACTTTTAAAAATTTATCTTCCTCTTGCTCTCAATCTTATCCCACAACAACAACAACAACAACTCTGTGGTAGATTAAGATGGAGACTATGACTGGTCCAAATTCGCCCAGTTAGCACCATGGCCATCTGAAAATTTCTCCATTAGGGCCATGGAACAAAGCAAAGGAAGGAAAAAGACAAAAAGAAAAGCATTATGAGCAAAGAGTCCAGAAGAAAGACCTGACTTCTTATCTTTGTAATAAACAAAGGAGAAAAATGTAAGCATTCCTTTTTATCAGAGAGGCTTTGATAAAAACAATGGAAGCAGATTACAGGAAAATGCGCTGCTTCTAAGAGGCGATAGCAAGGGCAAGGAGTTGTGCAAGGACAGTCTGTCTGCACAAAGCATGGCTCTCATGGGCCCTGCTTTTCCTGGATGGCAGGACAAGTTGACCCACTGGTGGATGCCTCTCCTGTACAAAGTAATCACTTCCATACCTTGTTTTGCATTACTGGTAGCACAATAATGAAAGTCATATGCACTCAATTCATTCAGGAACTATTAATTGGTTCTTATCCATAATTTAACACTGCTCATGTCAGCAACCCAATTTCTATGAATCAAGAACTGCACGATCCTACACACATGGATGATAAAGAAACAAAGAAGAATTTATTTTTCCCCCCTGGACTTACCATCATTTTCCTTTGGCAGAATATGTTGCTATAGTCCTTTGGCCTATATCGTTTGTGAGCACTGCTGTCAGGACTGACAAGAAATTCACCAAGCGGAATTGTTCCTGTACACCACTCTAAGACACCACTTCTCTGAGAGAGAGGAACCACCTAAGGAAAAAAAAACAGACACATGTTAATTGGAATAACTAACCATGGTTAATTCAAACCCTGCTTTTTTTTGTAATTATGCATTGCATACTTTGGCCAGATATTTACTTGAGACCAGGTTACCACCAGAAAGGAACAGAGAAGAAAAATCTCTCATGAGAAGTGAGGAAGGGGAGAGAGAACATGTTTATGACATTGGCTCCCAGTTCTCAAGCAGCGGTTTGCAGACAGATTATCGACTTAGTAACTGAGCACTTTCTTTGTGTGTAGAAGTTCCCTACCTAACTCCTCAGTGGGATCTCGGATAGCAAATGCTGGGAAAGACTTAGACCTTGGAGAGCCAATGCCTATCAGAGTAGACAACACTAAGCTTAATGGACCCATGTCCTGACTTGATATAATGAACTCCATATGCAGGACAGGAATTGGGGCTCCATGGCAGAGCACATGCTTTGAATGCAGAAGGTGCTGGATTCAATTCCTGCTATCTCCAGCTAAAAAGATCTCTAATAACAGATGCTGAAAAAGAATCAGTAGTACTTTTCAGCAGACACTAGCTGGGCTAATGTTTTCTCTTATTATATATTCAGAAAATCCACATTTAGTTTGCAGCAGGCTATTCAGATGAAAACTTGCCTTATATCTGCGGATAATCAATTTTCTTTTTCTGGTTTCAGTATTTTCCTGGAGCAGCATATTGCACATCTGGAAGACCTGCTGCATAACAGCATCCTGCCTCAGGTCATCACGGCCCTTTAAGATATACAAAAACAGCAATGGCATAGCAACTTTTCAGGTATACCAGTTGAACACTAATAAGCAAGTAATTCATACAGTTATGCACATACACTCAGATGCAGATGGCACTTAACCATCATATAAACATGCCAAAGATGGGAACCTGAAGCGGCAAGAAAAGTCTCCTTATAACAATGTGTTCAAAGCAAAGCAACCACATTATACGTGGTGTGAATGAATTACACTACTGTCATTTTACTCTTCATTTTAGAAATTGTTCAGAAGCTTGGAAACTGTTTTCTGAATAGATCTATTCACAATATACAAAAGCAAAAATAAAAACCTTTCTTTCACCACGGTATCAGCCACCTACTAATTTTTCACTATTTTACCCCACACTAAAACTCTTTGCATGAGTGTCTCTGCATTTGAAGAACACCTAGGACAGTGTTCAGACATCATGCTATCCTGTTCTCTATATCTGACAATGATACTGAAATGGAGTCTGACAAACCGTGTAAGAGATAAAAATGCAGTATTGTCCATTCAGGCAACAACTTTATCTGTGAAAATAAAAAAGGACTTCTCTCTAGCACTTGCTACACAGAATACTCACCTTGACAAGTTGCCTTCTTTCTCTCCCATCTGATCCAATACAATCTATTATTTTTGGTAGATTAACACCTCCTGCTAAGCGAAATTCAGGCTTGAATGACCTTACTGTAACCAAATTTTCATACTTCCCACTAGGATCCACCTAAAATTATAAATAAATTTAGATATTGCTCTATTACATTACTTGTGATGACAGCAATTATTCTGTTACCAACCTGGATTGTGCAGCCTACTGAGCAATTCCTTTGGTGCTCTGTTCCACCCACATTAATGCCCAGTAACATGACCACATGAAGATTTTTACCACTATCAGAAGCCAGGTTTATTTACCTTAATTTCCATGGTTGGTACAACAACATCTTCTAGGTCCTTCAGCTTAGTAATAGGCTGAGTAGAAGGGATGTTTATACCTCCTGTATAAGTAATACATGCATTACCTCAAATTCCTCAATGTCTGTTGCTATTATTATTACTTTGCATTTATACCCTGCCTATCTTTGTCTTGCAAGGAACTCAAAGTGGCTTACAAGGTTCACCTCCTCTCCATTTTATCCTCACAGCAACAACTCTGTGAGGTAGGTTAGGCTGAGAAGCAGTGACCTACCCAAAGACACCCAAGTAGACTTCATGGCCAGGTAGGGACTAGAATTCAGATCTCCAGGGACCAAGTTCAGCACTACTGACAACTACACCACACTGGCTCTCATCATTAACACTAAACCATTATATGGGTGTCCTCTGAGGATTTCGTGGATTCTGGGATTACACGGGAAACAAAGTCCTAGTATTGTACTTTTATTGTTATTTTATACTTTGCACTGTATTTTATTGTATGCTATCAGCTAGCGTGAACCTCAAAAAGAGCTCTGGAAATAATGACATCATCATCATATATCTTTTAATATATTTCAAGACTACTAGCCCCAATCTTATTAGAAGAGCAAAACTCTGGGCAATGCTCTATGAAGAAGATTTTTATGTCTCTGATATTACTAGAATAATTCTAAAGAACTACAGCTATTGACCAGACTGCTCTAACAAAGCTTTATGGTGTTGTTCACATGTAACAACCTAAAGCATGGGTAGAGTACAGGTTGTCAATGAATCAGGAATTACTGTTGAATTGTGGGTTGTCATTACCTGTGAACTCTATACTATGGTTACCTGTGAACTATACCTGTGAACTATTGGTTTTTAACCACAAACAAGCTAGGAAGAGAACCTACAGTTTGTTTTTGAGCTGTAGTTAACAACTCATAGTTAAATATTATAGTCCTGGTTCAAAGGTAATGACACAATTCGGCAGCAACTCATACTCAACCTATGCTCTAGAGGTTGTTGCAACATGCAGACTAGGTCTATGTTTATGCTGTTTCAATGTACTAGATACATCTGACACAGTTAACTGAATAACAAGCAGCTTCATAACACATAACACTCGCAGATAATATATTCTATGTAAAACACTGTTGAGATGCAAAATAATTTCACAAAATTAATTACAGAGCCTGAAGTAGAGACAAGGACTATCAACTTCAGTCTCCCATCTCAATGATCCCCATTCCTAAGTTCTTACCTCTCTGAAATTTCTCGGAACTTGCATCCATGTTTGCTAAAGTGATATAAGCATCACAAAGTGTTTCAAGATTTGACACCATATCAGCTCTTTTGCATTTTATAATGTTTATTATATTGCTAGCAGCCTCCATTCGATCCTGTAGGAATAAAAAATATAAATATTGCTTAAAGCACAACAATGGTCCTTCCACATATTATTGCAGATTGAAATCAATCAGATCTTTGAAAACTAAGGGGATATTAGGAAACCAGACAAAATATTAGAGGTCAATTTCAGTGCAACCCTGACAACATGGAACACTGACTATGCAAGCAAACAACATTTTAATGGGTTAACACACTTCAAATGTAGTCGAATTAAAGTACCATGTCAAGTGCAGAAGTTTCTTTTGGCATGTTTTTAGTAAGCCTGCTTCTTTCTGGCTTTGTCAGGAGTTCATCCTTGTTGGCATTTGCCAATGCCAGGATTATAAACAAAGTGTGATGTGGATGATCGAGAGAAATTCTAGCTATCAGCTATAAAAGAAAAATATTAAAAGTTATTAAATATACAATTAACATTAAAGCATTAAAACAAATCAACAGTTCAATAGTTGTATTTAATATGGCTTAGTTGAATATTGGTACTAATGTCTCAAACATCACACTAAGTACTTCTCTGTAGAAAATACTTCAGTGTGTTTTAAGTGCAATTCATGCTTTAAAGCTGTCAACAAAAATGGAACTGAAAAACTCTACTTCCAGTAGTACTTTATAGAAAAACCTAAATAGCCCAAACTTATGTCTATTATCTCAGAAACAGATTTTACTAAGTTCAATGAATGTTTGCATGGGATTACTAGTTTTCTACCATATTTACTTAAGAGATAATGCAATTTAATTAAGCTGTACCTACCTCCGAATAAATGCACATGGATCAGGCAAAACAGGCCACCACAGCTATCATTTTCTCCAGTAGCTAACTGGGGCTGAGCATGCTGATTGCTATAGATATTAAATAGACCCACTCACAAACTAAAGGTCTCAGCAACTATGAGGGAACTCAGTAGGCAGACAGAGATGCCATTTCAGATTCACACCCCTCAAAGTGGCAATCCCAACCCCAGAATGCTTGTTGAAGACCGTGGATGCCGTTCTCGGGATCCTTGATCATTTGTACTTCCTCACCAGTAGGCTTCAGGCCTATGTACACATGTATGTCATGTTGGCTTTTAGTCGCTCAAAGGCAGGCAAAGAACACTGAGATAAAAGGAAGCCAAGAACAAAGGGAGAAGAAAAGGGGCTGGACAAGGGACAGAAGAGATGGGGAGAGAGTAGAAGGGAACATGCATGACCCAAAGCTCAAAATGGAAAGAAAGAAGAAAGTTGTGAGGGAGATGAAAGCAGAAGTCAAGGGCAGATAAGAGGACAAAGACTGAACAAACAATTGAGAGAACTGGGAGAATGCTGGGGAAAGAACAGCAAGGTAATCTGTAGTTTTCCTGAGCAAGATGGGTCATCATTCTACCAAGAAGGTCTATGTCTCATTGGTGAAGGGGCCCTCAGATGCCAACTGCAACTCCTCAACCACAATTCTGTCTGTCTGTCTGTCTGACATACACACCCCAAGAATACACTGCAATATCCTAAAGAAGGCTCTACTTATTTATACCTAACTTGTTCATTATACAGATTCTGAGATGCTAAGTCAAAAACAGTAGGTTATATACACTGCAACACTAAAAGATTCTTGACAGCAAGTCAAACTGTATCCATGCAAATGAAGTTGCTGCTAAAAAATACATATTTGCATGTTATATAAAGAAGCTTCTGAAGATCAATTACATTATTCAAAATGTGATGGAATTCCATAGACTTAGTTCCCATTCGAGCAGCCAGTTGGTACATCAGAGGCAAAAACTTGTAGGATGGTATTTTCTTTGCTTCCTTCTGTCAAACCAGAGAAGCATGAAATAAAGATAAGAAAATAGGGAGCATTTAGTTGATAAACACAACTGCATATGTGAACAAAAGTCATTAAATTACAAGATCTTTTTCTAAGCATTATGGATGTCAGAAACAAATGGCTGTTTTCTTACAGTAGTGCTATATTACTCATTTCTCACCCAAGTATTAGGTGAATACTTGTATATGTAGAAGTCTTACTAGCCTTGTTGATGTAAAAACTGACTATACTAATTGGGTATTGGGCTTAATGAAGCAAAACAAAATGCCTGGCAGAAGTGATGAAACATGACATCATGCGCAAGCAAAACTAAAAAGGCAATTGGGTTCCATAATACCACATAATGTAATATCACATATCCCCCCTTTTTCTTATAACGAGCTCAAAGCAGCTGACATCATTCTCCTCCTCCTCCTTTCACTCTTATCCTCACAACAGCCTTGTGAGGTAGGTTGGGCTGAGAATCTGTGACTGACCCAAAGTCACCCAGTTGGCTGCAGGGCCAAGCAAGGGCTCGAGTCCAGATCTCCTGAGCCTCGGTCCCCCATACTTGAATCACTACATCACACTGGCTTTCAGTGTGCCATGCTTCCTAAGCATGGATGGACAGTCCCTGTGGAGCAGAGGTTATTCACACATGGCCTAGGCAAATATTGTACAAAACCTAACAGTTGAATTGTAACATTGATAACTCATGTACATGGGGGAACAGATGAGGTGACCTGTGACTACATGTTCTGGATATAGCTGAGCAGACTGGTGTCCCCAGCATGAAGCTTCTCTAAATTCTGAAAGCTCAGCCTAATTTCTATTTCACTACAGAGAAAGAATCCGAAATACAAAAATAACACTACAGTGAGACTAACCTGAATCATCACATTGATGTCAGAAATTCCAGAGTTCTCAAGCCAGAGGGAACAGAGCCGGAAGATCCACATGTCATACTCTTCACCACTCAGTAAACAGCTGATGTAGTTCTCAATGGCTTTACACAAGAAACGTTTGCGATCTTCTCTGAGAGCTCGAATTGCACATTCATCGAGTTCCAACTCTCGTTGAACTTTGACAGTATATCTTAGCAATAGAGATTTAGAAACATCAAGTATGTGATCCAGTGCTTTCAGTTTCTGGGACTATGGTATAAAATTAAACAACTCTAATGGCAAGAGAATGCAAAACCCTAACATTCTTATTAAGTCTTCTCTGTGGGGGACTGGGAACTAGGTCATGCTTTTCTTTATGAAAGCGAATAACAATTATAACTAAGTTTACATTTTGGATAACCAGCTGTGAGATCCACCATTAACTACTCCCTATCAGTGGGTAATATGTCTTACCTCTGTTATGATTTGCCCTTACCTATTTGTCTGGACTTTATGTTCTCGCAGAAGACCAACTTCCTCCTTAGCTTTCTTCAACAAAGCTTGTTTGTTTTCAAACTCAGATGATTTCATATAGTTTTCAATTCTTTGGTACTGAGTATCCGAAAAACGAGCCAGAGACAGAAAAGCCTTCATTTTTCCACTCTTTAGCTCATTAGTGCTGCCATCATTTTGGCATGCAGCAACCTCTACTGCCTGGAAACAAAGTAATAAAAATGATTTAAGCTTTGGTTTTTGTAATTATAGCCTGTCCATTAAATAAGTAAGGTTACTTAACTTTAACTGTCATTCTTTGAGTGGCTGTGCATTCACACATATGGGTGCTCACCTGATTCACCTAGCTAAGCCTAGAATTTTTAGAATTGTTCTGGAAGACCAAGAAACTGTTTGTATGATATATGGACAACTCCAAAGGTGAACAGCTCAGCTTGCAGCATCTGCCACACTGATTAGTGGAAACCATCAAACTCACATATCAGTTGGTGAACCCTGACTTGCCAGACCATCTGAGAGCCCACTCCACCAGAGCGGTATCGACATCAACAGTGCTACATGCAGGTCTACCACTACATGAACTATGCAAGGCAGCCACCTGATCCACACCATCCAAGTTTGCACGCAACTACCAACTGGATGTCAAGGCTAGACAAGACTACTCCTTTGGCTGAGCTGTTCTCTCTGTCATTCTAGAATGACAACACCTCCTACCTCCTATATCGGTAAGCTTGCTAGTCACCCATATATGTGATACACAGAAACCATGAAGAAGAAGTAAGGTTGCTTACCTGTAACTGTCGTTCTTCAAGTGGTCATCTGTGCATTCCCACAACCCACCCGCCAGCCCTGTGTTGCTGCTTCAGCACCAGTTCTTATACCAGTAAAACCATAGGCAGGCTGGCCAGAATGTTGGTCTCCAGCTGGACTGAAGAAGGGCGGGAGCCCCACCTAGGAGAATCTTCCCAAACATAGCCACTGTGCACAGAGACCACGAAGAAGAACCATCCAGTGCAAAGTGGGAGGAGCAGTGGAGTCTCTCTGCACTCCCGCTCTGCATTTTATCTATATGGCCATTTTCAGCAAACTGAGGTGCTCCAGAAGGAAAGGGAAGGAGACTGCAGCACTGTTAGGATACCTTGTAGCCTCTCAGCCCTTCCCTTCTCCTCTTTGCTCTTCAAGATTGATTTATTGACCCTGGAGAGGAAGCCAACATGGTTCTCTGCTAAATGTTGTGGGAGGGATCAGAATGCACTATCTCAGCTCTGAGATACAAACTCTGTTTATGACCTCTGAAGTGGGAATCAAAATCATCTTATGTCCCCCTAAATAATGTTTAAGAACTACAGAACAACTCTCCAAATGACTACAACTATATGATTGAAATACCACTTTCAAATCTTTGCAAAACTTGCATGATTCATTCAGAATCCTTTACCTTTTCCAAGTAATTCTTCATAACGATTGTAGGATTTTCTAAACACGTCTCTGCTAACCAGCTTCCACATAATCTCAGACATTCTGTGTAAATTAATCTCAGCCCTGGGTCATTTTCAACCTTTGAACAACAATATTACATACAGGTCAGACATACTCCACAATATGTAAAGTGACCCCGATTCCCAACATGTATGTTATCCCTTTATGTTTAATTCCACTTTTATTTAATGTTTTCAGCATATGCTTTGACCCTTTAACATGTACGTCATGGCATGATATACTGCACTTGTGTTTTGCTGCTACTAATTCAAAACAGCACAAACTGTACCACACTACCTTGAAAGAATCTTCATCCAATTTCTTGATAATCTCCTTTAGAATACTCAGTGCTAAAGTTTCTTCCTTCTTAGCCCAGAACACCTGAGCTTCCTCTAGCTGCCATTCAGATACCCCATGCCTCATTGGGCTGAACTGTTTAATTTGAAACATTGCCCTTTCTGGAAGCTGAAAAACAAACACACAAATGAAAAGTGTTCATGTTTCCCTCCTCTCCTTGCAATGTGATTCTTCTCTTCACGCTTATGAGAACCAATGTCAGTTGTATCCCATCTCAGGAAGAATTCCATGCTCACGTATGCAAATTTTGCAAGATTGCCTCCTCTCAGCGTCTCTGAAGATTCAGCATGGAAAACCAATTGATGGAAAGAAGTGAAAAGCCACTAGTAGCACTAGTAGGGCATATAAGATGCAGGACCATACCTGTAGCACAAGGTGTTATCTATTTCTGAGGTAGCAATTTAAGCTGTGCAACAGGTATATAGGAAAGATCTAGATGCAGCATTATTATCCTTATATTGAAGTTAGAAGCTGGGACCAAGAGAAGGATAAGCTGTCACAGAAGTCTTAATGCTCATTCTCTTACACATGACACTGCACCAACAACTGGTTACACACTCCAAATCATGCATCACTTTTCATTACTCACATCTGGAGGGGCTACAAAGAAATAAATGGAATGACTGCCCCCTACATCTACACCCACACATATTTTCAAGCTGTACTTATGACAGGATTCTAGTGTGCATTCATAAATAAAAAGTCATGGCTACTAGCTATTGTAGGTAAATTAATCCAGAGTAAAAATCCAATCAATCAATCGTATTTCCTGGCTCACTTTCAAGGCAGAAACCCTCTCAAGACAATCTACTATGATCAAACACATAAAAAACTATGCAATATTAAACACTGTAAAAACCCAATAAAAATTGACTTATATATATATAGTACCATGCTAAGGTAAAAGGGATAGTCAGGCCTATAATTCTATGGTGCTTTGGTGAACAAAAAGAATAACTGACAGATCCACTAAAGTGTTTTGTGCAACTTTTAGAACATATTACTTGTGTATTTTTTGCCACTCGAGCCAGTCTGGAAAGTTCCACAAGATGTTTGATGAGGATGTTTTTAATGCATTCCCTTTTGGCGTTCTCGTTTTCCTTCTCCAAGAGGATCTTCAAAATCACTGTGCGCAGAGCCATGATAGGCTCCACGAAACCAAAGTCACTGTCCTGGAGAAGCTGAGACTGTCTCTGCCACTTTAGATACATACAGTTCAGTTCACTGATAGTAACTGATCTGAAAGCAGACAGAATATAAAGGAAGTAAGAAAGTCTGACTACAAGGTGGTAAGATATTAGCTAGAGAAAAGTCTTCTCTTGGACCATAGGACTCTTACACTATTTCAGATCCAAATAAAAAGCAAAATTCATTTTAAAAACCTTTACTTGCCATGTTCAGAAAAACTATACTGTGCACCAGGCAAGGAGAATCATGATTTTAAGAGAGTATCTGAAATAGTGTGTTCATTCAATTCAATAAAATGCATCCAATTTATATACATACACTGTATATAACCCTATGTTAACATATGAACACACTTTTTAAATCTATTTTCTGCACATCATGCCCTTCAAAAGGCATGGTGGATACACGCATGTGTGTACATGCACACACACAAACACATGGAAGACCTTCCAGACACTTGAATCAGTGTAGAGCTACAGTGAAAAACTGATTCTAACTTTGGTATACACACCCTATTTTTCCAAGAAACCTTAAATTTGCATAACAAATCTAGCTATGCTTCTTTAAACAAATCCAGAAAAACATGCTTCATTAGTTCTCAGTCTTGAAGCATAGAATGTAAATGCTTGGATTACTTGCATAACTTCACTAAGCACAGCAGATGGGTCTGTGTAACCTGATAACCTGCCCTGGTGATATGCCACAGTGGGCTGGCTCTTCACCAAACATACTGTGGCAAACTGCTTGGGCACTTGTGGGGCAGCTGAAACTGGCCCAGGCAAGCTTGTCAAGAGCAGCAAGAGGATTTTGCTGCTCTGGTCAATTATCTTTTTTGGTCCTTCCCTTTACCCACAACAAGGAAGTTCTTCCAGGTTTGGACAATACACCGACCCACTGTGAGTGAAACAGCCCCTTGAAAAGCCATAGATTACCAGGTGGGTTGTCACCCATGAACAACCCATCCTGCATGAAACAGTCTGAGTTCAACCAACATGAGCCATGCCATGGCTTATTACCACACTGGGTTCTCATTTTGTGCAAACCAGGATACTGTCATTTCTGAATAGCAACAGAATTATGTTACTGTATATCAAGTATCAAGAGTGCCATCAGGCTACTAGGTGGAACAAAAAAATTAAATTAATTAAATTAAAATTTAATTAATAAATACTATAGGTACACAGAGTGACCAAAATATTTAGGAATACTATTCTAATCTGAACTACAGGAAAAATTAGTCAACAAATACCAAGAAAATTATTATTCAACTTATTCTGAATTCAACATTTCACCAAAATAAAAATGATTACTAAGTAACTATAATTTAATTAGGTTTATAATGAAGAAATAAAGATCCTCATTATCAGGCACAAAGAAACATATTAATTGCATAGGCAAAATGTGATAATATACTTAGAATAAAGCATTAGTGAAAACAGTAAAATACCCAGAGAGAAGTCCTATGCATTCCAACTCTCCAATGGTCTGTAGTCTGCAGAGTGTAGGTAGCAGTGAATATACAGACTCAAGGCTACCTTTAGACAGCTCTTTTACTTCCTTGATTCTATGAAGAAAGACAGACAGACAGAACATAAAATTCTGTCATGCTAATTTACAATCCCACCACAGTAAACAGAATTTATTTAACATACCAAGCCACACTTAAGAGGAACAGAGATTTTGTTTAAGGAAAAAGGAACCAAACACCAAGACTTCGCATCAAAAAATGAAATCTTATTGTAAGACATACTTGTCACTTAAAACATGTCCTGAATTTACTTTTTAAAAAGTATTTTGTGAACTGCATATTAAACTTCACATCATGCTAAATGTGAAAGAGCAAATAGGCTCTTTATAGTAGCAACCCTCTTTTTAAAACAGGGTTTAAAAAAATATTTGCAGGCCTCATGGGCTTGCAGATTGCCTTGTCAATTCTCTTTCAGCTATTAAGGTTTATGCCTTATCGTGATATTGTCTTATCGCTAATTTTTCAGATATTTATCCCTCAAGTTTCACACTGCTAAATCTGCTAAATCACTGCTAAATCACGCCTTAAAGAAACTATTTAAAGAACCCATCATAAGCTGCACAGTCACTTTACAAAGAGGAAATGCTGCTGAGCACATATTCATATCTTACCAATATAAACTCAAACATATTAGAAAACATACATTTACTGATTGTTTGCAATATAGGCAGGAAATTGTAAAAGATGAAACTTCTGGTTACCTTGCACATTTCAGCCTCTCATAAAATGTAGGTAATTCTCTGTCCCTTAAGCACTGCAGAGCATCATACAATGATTCATGGTAGCCTTGTCCTCCTATTTCATCTCTTAACAGACAACAAACATACATATTAGAATGGAAAAACTACATCAAACTAGTCTTCATAAGAGTAGCCACTGATCCTCTTATTTATTCCCATCACAACGCCTTCACATGTAAGTAAAGAGATGAAAATATTTAACATGCTCTAACTGAATTTAAGCTAAAAATGATATGACAGACAGATATTAGAAAAGGTTGCATTACTTGGCAGAAGAGATCTGATCCCATTGCATATTCCTCCAGGCTGCCTGATAACGAATCTCTTGTAATTCCACAGAGTATTCTTCATTCTCCTGCTCCAGTCCTTTTAAGTAGACTGAGAGTGTATCACATAGCCCATAGTTCTGCAAGGCCTAACAATCAGTAAGATGCAAGGTTAATATTTAAATGATCAGGCCTGATACCAGAAAAACTTACCAACATTAAAAATAAAACATATTTACTAGAAGTAAGTTCCACCAAGTTATTCAAATCCTAGTAGACAATGTATTTAAATTATGCTGATCTTAATTTTTACAATCTCTTTTTACACAGAGACCATAAAAGATTAACCAGATGTGCTACTTTCTCTATTACTCCCAATCATAGATACTAATATACTGTCTCCTGGACACTGGTCAGAAAGAAATTATGAAAAAAATCTTTACTGATTCACTATCAATACAGTCATTATCAGAACCGGATAGGTTGCGTCAGTAGAGCAGACAACCATTTCCGTAATACAGAAACAACTTCTTGAGGCAACTAGAAAATTAAATACAGCAGTGAAATTGCAGGAGAAATATAAGCAGCCAGTCTTTCAAAGAAAATACTTCTAAAAGCTAAGTTCAAAATTTTATCCAAATTCAGAAATTTGTTTATTTCCATGGGTGAGCTGCTTTTTCAATTAAGTCAATAACAATTAAAAGAAAAAAACCCTATCAGTTAAAATATGTCTGGTATAAAATACTAAACCCATTAATAATAATATGCAATATAACTGTTAGGAAACAACATAAAACAAACAACATAGAAGTGAAAAGAATAAAGCAGACGTCTTAATTGCCTTCTACAGAATGACAGTGACTGGGTTTTCATGACACAATAAACCATCACGGCCAATAATTTCCCACAGGGCAGCTTGCTTGAAAACACTTCACAAACACAAATATGCTTACTACACATATTCCCCCGTCAAAATTACCCTGCTTAGCCCTGCCTAAATTCCTAAGTGACTTTTGACAGCTGTTAGAAGTAAATGTTAATAGGAATGGACTGGAATGTACTCTTCCTCTTTCCCAAGCATTTGAAGAGAGTGGAAAGGGGAGTGCATTAGAAAATATGGGGGGAAGAACTGACTGCGCAGGTAGAAAAAGGTCTCTATGCTCTTTTTGCAAGGAAAGATGTTGCATGGCTTTGCTTTTCCTCAGCAGCTGACAAGAGAATGCAGAGTAGAAAATAAACCTATCTGCAGCCTCTCTGGGTCCATGTTCACTGTTGGCCCCTGCTGAGGGAAGGAGTAAAAAAGCTGCTGCAATCACAAAATGACTCATGATCACAGTGGAGAGAAGAGTCAAGACAATTTCAGTCACTAAATCCCCTTGGATACTGAGTGGAGGACCAAGGGGATGGCGCAAGGAGCAACCTACAGTAAACCCAATTATCTGACAGGCACACCATGGCTTTTTCATGAACAGCCCAAGATGTTTGCAAGGGGCATCATTGTGTTGTGCCAACTCACCCACTGGCATGACAGATTTCTTTCCGGGGATATTTTACAAGATGGAGGCTATCAATAGTACTGGCACTTCTAGTAGGGCCTCCAAAAGGTCTAGTTCTCAAGGGACTTGATGGCACAAATCCAATACGTGTTACACTTGCTTACTGCCCTTTCTAATAAAGGGGCAGAAATGTTGCCAGACAGTATTTATGAAAACTCACAGTAGCTTATAAAAGGCAACAAAACTATGGAAACAATTCAGTTGTGAATCAGTTTACTGTGAGGGTGTCTAATGTCAGCACAATAAACACTTAACAAATTTGCTATATTTGTGAAAAAATCACCTCTATTATTCCTGCCTGTCGAGTTGATGGTGGAAGGTCCATTTGAAGGTCATAGGTTACAAGGGCTTTCCCCCATACCGCTTCATGTTCGTATGTTCTTATCCTGTTACAGGAATAGATATTAAGATTAATAGCACTTTGCCTTTAGATAAGATTACTGATTTTCTAATAAAATTAATACCTTGCTAAGGGCTGAAGCATTCTTCCTCCACCACAGCCATAGATACTATCTGGTTCTCCTATACTTTTGTATATATCCATGAGAAGATCCTAAATAAAACAGAAAATTGTTATCTGACAGACTTCCTTTCTACATGGCATTAACATTTAATTACATGGATTAGTTATAATCAATATAGCATACATATTCAATACTTTTCCAACTTTATTTATTTATTTAGAAAATTTCTAGGCCGCCCCATTCGCCAAAGCCTTGGGGCGGCTTACAAATACTATTTTATAAATGTTTAGCACAGCAAGATAGATCTCTCACACCCACACACAAAGCATGCAGCCTATGTTCAGTGCAAAAGTACATTTTTTATTTAATACACGAATGCAAGGATGCAAAGAACCATGTACCCAACTGGGTTATATTTTTGAATAGCATGAATCAATACAGCATTGTAGGCAAATAGAGCCACAAGAAATCAGCATCATTCATAAAGCAAAATGTTACAAGCTAAAATCTTCTGTCAATTCCTAGAACTCAAAGTTCTCCAGCTTCATTTTTGCTGTGAAACACTGTTAAGTTTGAGACCATACTTTCTGATACATGGCTTCTTAGCTTAGTTTACAGAGGTCTTTGAGGTGATACCATTGTTAAATTATTTGCTAATGGAGGTTTACACATTATCAGTCTTAAAATATATCTCTTGTGAACAAGTCAAACTATTCCCAGGAGCAGTATAAATACTTTGCACCAAAGACATATTCTACCTGCAAACTGATTCCAATTTCTTCTTTACTCTTGTTGCTCAAACAAGTCAGTGTTGAATTTTGACTTCCTTCCTCAAATGTTAGCTGTTGAACTGCTTTGGCAGTCGACCTGTAGGAAAGCAAGTCTAAAAATGGGTGTCCAAGTTGAATAAATAGTGTATCAAAAAAGTCTATCTTTTAAAGAGGCTACTAGGTTTAAAAGGAAATCATAAGCAGGCTTTGTTAATTCTCATTTACTTACCAAACTGGGTCTATGCCCTTGGTCAGACCTGCTCAGTCATCTACTTAATGCATAACTGTATTTTTACACCCAGTGTTTGAAAATAGAAAAAAATGTCCTTAAATGAACTGTACTGTTTTATTTTAGAATTTTAACAAATGAGACAATTATTCTTTGCACTGTCTACTGGCATAGTCCCAGTGAAGTCAGGAGATTACTGCACTGAAACCAGTGGGCCAAAAATTTTGTTTGCTTGTTAAAAGAGAACTGCTTTTATCTGGTAAACTTAATATTGGTGAATTACAAAACTATACCACTACCAAAACATTCTTTCAAAGATAGGAAGACCCGGTCTGTCAAAACATGCATGAATAGGCTGTATTTAAGTGATACCTTTTCTGTTGTTTGCTTAGGTTTATCTTATCTGCATAGATTTCTACATAGAGCAAAGCTGTGAAGTGAGCAGCACAAGACTGAGCTGCCATGGCAACTTGAAGATAATTGAGCTCCAGCCAGAAGCTGTCTTCAAAGACTGTACTTGAAGGATTCCTGGATAAAATATTAAACACAAATGCATTTCTCTCACTTCACAAAATTGCTTCAAACCAAAAAGTAATATATGATCCCCACACAGCCTATTTCCCAGGGTGATTTTGTCAGATGCATAACAATCATTGCTTTAAGCTGATTTAGAATTATTCAGTATCTTTGAAAGATTTTAGCAGTAGCTTAGCTTAATGTTTTAGTTTAATCTATAAATACAATTCTGGGCTAAATAGAAAGCCACTTTCAAAAGATATTTTCAGTCATTATTGAGTATTTCCTCCAACATCTGAAATATAAGCCTTATATACATGATATTGACTAATCCAGTGTCTGAAATATTCATTGGTGCAAGGTAAAAGTTCAGTAACATTTTTAAAAGTTCCCAACAGATATATAGCTAACACAAAAATTAAACCCACTTTTTTTGCCTTCTTAAGTAGTCAACCACAGCAAGCATAGTCTTTCGAGATATTTTATCCAAATTTCCATGTGCAAAGTTTTCCAGATCTGTTAAAGAAAATATGCAATTAGTAGCTGAAGCTCTTGGCGGGGTTTATGATATTTTAAGTGCTTCAGGCTATATGGAAGAAGTAATGATGATGAGAATTTTACAGTTTGAAAATCTAAGTAGTTCTGAATCCTTATTTTATTAACCTTCATAAACATACCCTCAGCTACATCATTAATGCACTTATTTTTGATTGGAAATAGAATGTGAATGGAACATTGGCACTTATAGCAAAGATACCTTGGTTTTGTGTGAAGGAGGCTTTCAAGAATGGATGATGTCTCCTTACAGTGCAGGAAAGGCAAGGATATTAAAACCAAGATCTTTACCTTAGGGCTAATGAACCCTGGTTTCTCATCCAGTTCCTATCAGTGAAGAGTTGATACTGAGAAACCCAGCAAAAGCAATATAACAGAATGAAGTGAGAGGCATTAAACTAAGAAAACTCTTCCATTCTTTTAGTAGGATGCACAAAACCAGTTTGCGTTTAAGAAACCCAGGCCTGTTGATGACTCAGCCATCTATGAATAGGATGCTGCCTGAGTGCCTCAATCAAGCCAAAGAGGAAGGAACCTTTCTGAAAGTGTCAGTGGGCCACTGGCAGCTCTCCCCCTTTCTCTCATTCACATTCTTACTCATTCTGTAGTAGCTGCTCACTCTCAGCAGCGACTCTTAAACTTTGTCTTTCTGTTAGTGGTTGGTGACTGCTGTGATCTGGGCTAACAGAGGTGGCTTTGTAGAGGGTGAAAGAAGAGAATGCAAAAACAGTTAGCTGTAAAATGAGGTGACATGCTAACTGCAGTGGTGCTCTGCACTAATGAAGGAGAAATTAAATGCACAGGCAAGAGAAATGTGGACTTCAGTTGGAAGGTTCTACAGCACTGATTATGGTAAAGCCTTACCGGTAATTAAAAAAACCCCCAATCCTTCCCAATCCAAGGACTAATCAAGCATGTCAGAATTTGCCTGCTTGGCAGCTTGGTGACTAGACAGACTTGAAGGTGTCAGCACACGGAACAAATTGGCAGCTGGAGAGGACCAGCTGCGGGGATAAAGAAACCCTCCCAGCACAACTCCTGATCAGCCCTTAGGGTAGCTGTGACCTTTATGGATGAACCAAGAGACCCGATGACTGCTGTGGATGGGATATGCAAACTTGTCAAATGTCTGCTGTCAATGAAAAACCGACAGTTGCACTGAGAGAGCTTTGAAAAATGGCCTCTGTGTTGGCCTAATTAGGCTGCTGATTGCTTCTCTTCTCCTTATATGCTTAGCTGCCATTTGCTGATTCTGTCATAGGTTTACTGGCTGTTCGGTTCCCTGGCGGAACCCTATCTGAGAACCCTATCTCTACGCATAGGAAGAAACAGGAAGCAAAAAAGCAGAAGAGGTTACAGAAGCTAAGAGTTCGGGAATGGAAAGAGGGAATAGATGAAAGGATGAGAGACTGGGACAAAAAAAACAAATAGAAAGCAGGTAACAAAGGGTTTCTGTTTTATTTAAATCAATGGAGCAAGTTATGAAGCACAAGTCAATTGGACAGTACAAAACAAATGGCTTTATCCTGGTGAATGGGAGGATAAACTGAGGAAAGAGCAGGAAATCAACAACATTGAGGCAAAGATTTTAGTCAAGTGATCTCTGCCTTTTCTGGGTAGTGAGGAGACTTAATCCACTGAGAAAGACAGAACACATTTTTTGCCTATAGCTGTCAAGAAATAATTCATGCTAATACATAATTAGAACCTGGTAAAAACACCATCTAATAAACTGCTGTCTCTCAGTTAGTCAGCAAACAGTAATAAAAAGCATAAACAGATACAACTTTATTAATAGTTCCCAACAAAATCAAGGTTTGTATGAGGCCACAATGCCCCATTGCAGGAATAGGATGCACTGAGGCCTCCATGTTTAGAGGCCTACGTACAGTATATCACAGGAGTACACCCCTCACATTTTGTAAATATTTTATCTTTTCATGTGACAATCCTGAAGAAATGACACTTTGCTACAATGTAAAGTAGTGAGTATACAGCTTGTATAACAGTGTCCCCTCAAAATAACTCAACACACAGCCATTATGTCTAAACTGCTGGCAACAAAAGTGAGTACACCCCTAAGTGAAACTGTCCAAATTGGGCCCAAAGTGTCAATATTTTGTGTGGCCACCATTATTTTCCAGCACTGCCTTAACCCTCTTGGGCATGGAGTTCACCAGAGCTTCACAGGTTGCCACTGGTGTCCTCTTCCACTCCTCCATGACGACATCACGGAGCTGGTGGATGTTAGAGATCTTGCGCTCCTCCACCTTCTGTTTCAGGATGCCCCACAGATGCTCAATAGGGTTTAGGTCTGGAGACATGCTTGGCCAGTCCATCACCTTTACCCTCAGCTTCTTTAGCAAGGTAGTGGTCGTCTTGGAGGTGTGTTTGGGGTCGTTATCATGTTGGAATACTGCCCTGCGGCCCAGTCTCCGAAGGGAGGGGATCATGCTCTGCTTCAGTATGTCACAGTACATGTTGGCATTCACGGTTCCCTCAATGAACTGTAGCTCCCCAGTGCCGGCAGCACTCATGCAGCCCCAGACCATGACACTCCCACCACCGTGCTTGACTGTAGGCAAGACACACTTGTCTTTGTTCTCCTCACCTGGTTGTCGCCACACATGCTTGACACCGTCTGGACCAAGTAAGTTTATCTTGGTCTCATCAGACCACAAGACATGGTTCCAGTAATCCATGTCCTTAGTCTGTTTGTCTTCAACAAACTGTTTGCAGGCTTTTTTGTGCATCATCTTTAGAAGAGGCTTCCTTCTGGGATGACAGCCCTGCAGACCAATTTGATGCAGTGTATGGTCTGAGCACTGACAGGCTGACCCACCACCCCTTCAACCTCTGCAGCAATGCTGGCAGCACTCATATGTCTATTTCCCAAAGCCAACCTCTGGATATGACGCTGAGCATGTGCACTCAACTTCTTTGGTCGACCATGGCGAGGCCTATTCTCAGTGGAACCTGTCCTGTTAAACCGCTGTATGGTTTTGGCCACCATGCTGCAGCTCAGTTTCAGGGTCCTGGCAATCTTCTTATAGCCTAGGTCATCTTTATGTAGAGCAACAATTATTTTTTTCAGATCCTCAGAGAGTTCTTTGCCATGAGGTGCCATGTTGAACTTCCAGTGACCAGTATGAGTGAGAGCGGTAACACCAAATTTAACGCACCTGCTCCCCATTCACACCTGAGACCTTGTAACTCTAATGAGTCACGTGACACCAGGGAGGGAAAATGGCTAATAATGCCCAATTTTGAGGGGACAGCAAATTTACACTATTATACAAGCTGTATACTCACTACTTTACATTGTAGCAAAGTGTCATTTCTTCAGGGTTGCCACATAAAAAATATAATAAAATGTTTACAAAATGTGAGGGGTGTACTCACTTCTGTGGAATACTGTATATTTGCCATTGTGGCAAAAAGCTTGTATCTTTAAAGATATTTGATGGCATTCTGGGACATTTGTGTCATCTGTTTTTGACAGGTCTGTTCGTATTGGAATTATTTTATTGTTTTATTTTTTAAATCTTGTGTATTATGAAAATATGTTTTATATTGTATTTATTGCATTGTGTTTTGAGAATAATTGTAAACTATACAGGGAGGTCAAGCTATAGGGTTCTACAGAAACCATATTATTTTTCTTTGAAAGAAAAGCTCTTGAAGTGCTCTCAGACAGAGGCTACATGAACCCTTCTTTCTTCTGCAACAGTTTCAAAAAACACGTTTTCTGTGAAAGCCTAGTCTCAAAAAACACATTTTTAGTGAAGCCATAGTCTCAATCCCTATTTCTCATCAGGAATTGGCATACCTAACTGCACTTGCTCACATTTATTTCTTGTCAACTTTTCCTTTCTCATTCTTCCTCAAAGGGAAAAAAATTCTTCCCCAAGTTCTTCCTTGGGACAAGAATCAGCTCATTTTACTCTGTAAAGCACCATATTTATTCAGCATTATATAAATAAGCAATAGTTAGAAAATTGTTCAGAACCTCTTTTTAAAAGTTAATATCATAACCATCAAAGCAGTAAATTATTTCACAAAGTCTTAGATTTTGATGCAGGAGAACCTTCAAAGAGCTGAATTCACAGGTGTAGATGGATTACCTGAATTGCCTGGATCTGAATTTGCAGGTGTAGATGACCTGCTGGGAGTCAATGCATATTTGCAGCAGGTGGTAAAAAACATCTGAATATGCGTGGACAAAAGGGCTTGCCTAGATTCATTTGAGTCATGAAGCAGGATATCATGTATTAAGTATGGAAGAATAGTCTGACAAAAATCTGTTTGAACCTAGAATGCATACAAAATGAGATGCTGAATTAGTTTCAATTTGTGGGGGTTTTTGTTTATAGTATATCAGATAGAAACAGTCAATATATACTTTCACTCAAGTTTATATCTTGCAAAATTATCTGGACAATGAATACATGCTTTAAGATGATACTAAAATCTAAATAACACTAATTAAATAAAAGCTCAGATTTATAGCAGGTCATCTGCCACCAGAGTAGTTTTACCTTGCATAAGGGCTTCAGTAACAGAAGGACCTCACATTTTACTTCTCCACTATCCAATAATGCACATGTCAAGTTTTTAATCCAATCTTCATGGCTTTCACTCTGTGGAATCCATAGATTTGCATTATCCAGATCTTCTGATGGGGTTTCTCTTGCTTTTTCAGGCACCTTCAAGAACTAAATACCATTTTAATTAGTAAAAAAATCAAGTTGTTGCTACAGACCAACATTATACTACTTTACATAGCCATAAACTGTTTAACCCTCTGACAATCCTTTTCCCTCTACATACAGAAATGGTGGAACAATTAAAAAGGCATTTTAAAGGCTCTGAAAAACACTTAAGTGAAAACACTTAATTCAAGCTGTTTCTAGCACTGAAGAAAGAACCAGAATGAAAAGCTGAAGTGTGTGCAGAAAAAAATAACACTCTTCCAAGAAAAGAAAAGTTGGTGACAGCCACATCATCACAGAAATGAATGACAAGGACATACAAAGACATAATCAGTCTACTGACTGAACTAACTAATTTTGAAAGAAGCAGTAAGAGTGAGCTTCCAAAAGTTCAGAAACAGGAGAATGCTATTCTGATGCTTATACAAAAGAACTGTGAGAGAAAGGAACCTGTCCTTCCCTTGAAGCAAGCACATAGCCCAGAGTTTGTCCATTCAAGGGGATGGGAGACAAATGTCAGTTCCCACTTTGCGAAGCTCTAAGCTTTTGACATGTCGCTTTGCACAGGCACAGGACCCATGTTCCCACAACATGTTGTAGCACAGCATGGTGAGACCTCTATCAAAAGCATCTTGGGCCAATACATAATGGTAACTTTTGTGGCACCATATTGTCTTACAAATTTCTGAGCTCAGGAATTTTTCCTGGTGCAAAATTTTAGTTGGCTACAATTAGTGATCTGGATTCTGCAAGAAGACAAGGTTCGTTCTTAATAGGTGAAAAAATGACCATGTGCTTTAGAGTTAGAGCATGGAGCAGATGGTGGCATTATCAAGCCAGTCTGATTAAACAGACTTCTTTCCCTCCACTAAAATAACAAAAGAGGAAAGAGGAGAATTAAAGAAAGGAAGAGCTGTAGCTAAGAGAACTAAAGCTCATAATTACTGGAGCTACTCACAGACTCTTCCACCAGAAAGTCATCAGTTGAAAATGTTTGTACCTGCTTTTAATGGTTGGAAGGAGCTATGTGTCTCCCTCAATTGAGAGAGAAAAGTTAAGTTTCTGCATCTAGGTTTACATGTCAGAAAATACAGTACCTTTTTCTTAGGCAGTCGGAAAGGATGCAGGTATACCAGCATGGTATCTTCCTTGCTTTTGCAAATCTCCCAAAACGCATGGCCAGTCTCAGTGGCTAAAATATTTTTCAAACAAGCAGCAGCAGCTGATCTAATTTCAATGCTGAAAGAATTATAACTCTTTTTAAAATCACTAAAACATGATACACAATTAAAAATAAAATGCACACATTCTATCAAAGATTGAGCTGTGTACTTACCACTGATCTATTAAAGCATTGTTTATGAGAGTTACCATTATAAAAACCCACTGAAGTTCTCTGTCTTCAAACAGATTAACTGTGCTTGAGCAGGGCACAGTTTTACTATGCTGTAAAGCTGTGGTAGAAAAATTTATAGGGCCAATTTCTCCCAAACAACGACCAACTGCCTCTGCAAATAAAAACATTAGCATTAAATACACATTAGAAAGGTGTGTTTTCATATGCAATGTTACAAAGCTTCAAAATGAGATTCCTCTGACATACGACAACAGCAAAAAAAAAAGATTCATGGTAATTTATTACTGTATTCTATTCTGTGATTTTCACTAATCATTTGGCATCAAACTAGACATCATATGTCAAATGCATATAATATAGCTATCTTAGTTATAATTTCTTTAGTTATCTGCTCATATTGAATAGTTCGTGATTTTATAATGTAACTTGATTTTTACTAACATTGTTAAAAGAGTTACACTCGTTCACATGCCAAGAACGTACCCAAGACAGTGTCAGTAGAGTTTGCAGCGGTTTTTGAAAGTTGTAAAAAGCATGTCATCAGCTTCAGTATTACACAGTCCTTTGGGTTTTCTACCATTAGAAAGAAAAAGTATTAAAACAACATCAAGCATATTACTTAAAGACATTTGCAACATTGTATACTATCCAACAGTTCTTTAATCTGCATTGGAGTCATATTATCTTTGCTTTTTCTAATACTGTTTTCTGAAAGGTGAAGTAATAGAAAAGGAGAGTTCCTTGTCTATACCAGTCATGAAATATTTTCCAAATATATTTTTGATCTAGTGCCTTCTTGAACATCTTTTAGAAGTCACTTATGCACTAGGGCCAATGCAAATCTTAGCTTTTTTCTGTTTTGAGTTTATGCAAGCCTTCTTGGACATTAAGTCAGTGCAAAGGTAGAATATACATTTTCAAATAAACTATTACAGAATGTATCATTGTTTAGTTTCCATGAAAGTTCCTTCAGGTTTGGTGTGACAGAGGCTTCCAAGAACGCTTTAAATCCTGTCTTCAATGGGAGTTGGATTTAAGAACCTGCTTGAAGAAAAGTTATTTCACATGTGTGGCACTATGGTTGATTGACTTGCAGCTGTACCAAGCAGGCCAAGTCCCTCCACGTTGTCCTGTAAATTTGTACGGCAGAGAGTCTCCAGGAAGCTAGCAATGTGCACAGGCTTCTCTGAGTAGCCCAGATCTTTCTTTCAGAAACCAAATGACTCGGGGTCTGATCTAGTATTAGGAGTAGCCCATGAAGCACATTTTTTTTTTTTTTTTTGTTTCTTACCATGTGCAAATGAATGACTGCCAACATGCTTTGTTTTTTCACACTTGACAGACTTTGTCTTTTGCTTCTCTAACAATGTCATCCTGGACAATGAGGAGGAAATGCAAGATGATATTTAAATGGAAAGGCAGATGTGAAGAAACTGAGTGCATAAAAGGTATAACAAAGTACAAGAACCCCATTTTGGATGTGTACCTTAAGGTGAGGCAATTTGAGAGTGTCAGAGAAACTGAGAACAGCACCATCAGGAGCACAGACAGCCTCTCTAGGCTGGTCTCCTAGCAAGCTTATCCAAGGTGGAAGGGTCAAGGAATAGTCAAGGAGGAGACACCAGTCTAAGAGGCAACTACTCTCTTCAGGGGCAATCATCCTATCAGAAGAAAGTGGATACCTCTAACAGTGATGGGGGCAGTGAAACCTCTGAAGGGCATCAGCAGTAGTTGAAAGCAACACTGGTGGAGCATTTTTCTCAGACAACAACAGTACCAAGCAAGCAAAGTAGTCCCTTCCACTCAAGCTAACTCTAGTTGGTGCTACACAGAAGGCAACACTAATGGTGAACTGCTTCTAAATTTTCTTACCTTGAAAACCCTAGGATGAAACAACCCACATTGAAACAAGAAATAGTGCCAGAAGATGAAACTCCTGGGTTGGAAGGTACGCAACATGCTACTGAGGAAAAGCAAAGAACAAGAACAAATAACACTGCTGCTAATGATGTAGTTAGCTAGATTGATCAAAGTCAAAAGGAGCAGCTGTCAAGCAGAGAGGTGAAAGGAAAGTCCAATACTGCACAACACATACAACTGGAAAATTGAACGCAAGAAGTATGAATCAAGGCAAACTGGAAACAGTAAAGCAAGAAATGGAATGGTTAAACATTGCAATGCTTGATATGAGCAGTATTTGAATGGTACATTTTCAGTCAGGAAAAATCTACTTTGGAAATGACAAATTCAGAAGAAATGGAGTGGCCCTGTACTGTACAGAACTATACCGAAGAGTTAACGAGATGAAAGACTCCTTTGAAGAGAAATCCTATGGGAAATAGTAAAAAAATGAAGGGAAGGATACTCTTTCCCAAGAGAAAGCATATGGAAGAAATAAAGCACCCAGAGTAGATAGGGTAACCAACAGAACTATTCCAAGCTACAGACTCAATCAGTCCATAGTCTAACAAGAACATGCCAACAAGTATAGAAAACAAACCAATAGCCCACAAATTAGAAATGTTCAATATATATTCCAGGTCCCAAGAAAGGAGATGTTAAGCAGTGTAACAACTACAGGACCATTGTACCGATTTTCCATGCTAGCAAAGTGATGCTCCAGGTATTGCAACCATTAGTTTTATCCTACATAAAGACTAAGAAATGCCTGATGTTCAATCTGGAGTCAGAAAAAGAAAAGGCACTCAAGATCAGATCGCAAATAGTGGGCTTAAATGTATTGGTTATACTTGTTCAAAATTCCTTGGCAATTTTATTTCACTTTTTCAAATATGTATTTCCTTCTTATTTCCATATTCTATTTATGTTAATGAAACAATAAAAAATCAAAAGATCATACTGCAAATATACATTGGCTACTGGAGCACACCAAAGAATTTCAGGGAAAAGATAATTCTATGCTTTACAGACTACAGTATAGACTATAGACTATTGTGTGGATCACAAGAATCTATGGATGGTTTGGAAAAAAAACCTGACAGTATATTTTGGAGGGTATTCTATTCATAGGGTTGCCATAAGTTGGAAACAGATTGATGGCACATAACAACAATAAAGTGCAAAAGGTGGTAAGAGATACAAGTTTGTACAGTAGGAACAAAACATGATTTTGTACTGGGACAAAGGAAAAGGAAAAACTGGAAGTAGAGCCAGATAATACCAAGCAAGACAGAAAGATCACTTCCCATGTGATGCTTGTCTCTCTTGTGTGGTGTAGTGGGGGGTTTACACACACTTGAATAACCTCTTCACACCAATCTGGGAAGGAATGAGTACAGATAATAATGCTAACATTTTATTTAATAATGGCAGCAAAAGGTGTTAATATGCAAAGAAAAAACTATTTAGATAAATTATTCTGACACTGTAGTAGAAATAAACATTGATCGCTATAAATTAGATGAAGCTGATAAATTAAGAATTATATTTGTTGTCAGACTGAGAGACTAATATAATATGCAAATAAAACTTGATTTTTTGGTAATTCATTTGGTAATACAGATATTAAAATTGCTTACAATGTAACTTTTAAAATGTAATACATTTTAATGATATTAGTAATTGTTATGAATGTGTAACATGTCTAATAGTCTGGACATGTTTTAAGTTGACATTTTTGATTTAAAAAATTAAAACAAAAGAAGCAACAACAGCAGGCAAAAGAATTAAAACATTAATTCTAAAATCCATACTCTGAATTTCCTTCAAAAGGTACTTCATTTGTTCTTTATGGTTTTCAAGTTGTTTGCATAAATCATTCAAGCCTTCAAGTCTTGTCAATGGTAACAAATCAGATATATTTATGGATAGGAAATGGTTTATCTCCTGTAAAAATCAAATTGATTTTACAATAAGGATACAAAACATAGATATCACCTTCTCCAAAGCCCCACGATGATACAGCAAAGAGGTTTGTGTGTCCTTCCTTCTCATTACGTGGCCAATTTGAGCTTCAGCTTTAGTACCTGACCTTCTAAAGAGCAGTCAGGGTTGATCTCCTCTAGGAATGACTGATTTGATCTCTTTGCAGTCCAAGGGACTCTCAGAAGTCTTTTGCAACACCACAATTTAAAGGCCTCAGTTCTTTAGCACTCAGCCTTCCTTATGGTCCAACTCTCACAGTCATACATTGCAACTGGGAAAACCATAGCTTTGACTATACGAACTTTTGTTGGCAGTATGATGTCTCTGCTTTTTAGTATGCTGTCTAGATTTGCCATAGCTTTCTTCCCAAGGAGCAAGTATCTTTTAATTTATTCACTGCAGTCACCGTCTGCGGAGATCTTGCAGTCCAAGAAAATAAAATCTGTCACTATCTCCATTTCTTACCCACCTATTTTCCAGGAAGTGATAGGACCAGATCCTATGATCTTAGTTTTCTTAATGCTGAGTTTCAAGCCAACTTTTGCACTCTACATTTATAGATTTTTAAATACTGAATTAGACACAAATCTAACGCTTACCTATTAAAATAACCTAATTTGTGAATGACCCGGGGAGCCTCAGCTATTGGGTGGCAGAAGGAATGAATGAAAGGGAATAACCACAACATGAAGCCTTAGCAGATAAGCAATAAAAATACATACTTCCAAATACAGTACAGAAAATTCATATGTAGAATTTTAATTCCCTGAAACTCACTTGCTAATAAGTTAACTTATTGTATTACCTCCAAAAGAGAGAACTCCCCACCACTGTATTTTATACTTTGCTGAGTAGCATGCAGTTCCTTAAAAGCAGGATGATCAGGAAAAGGATCAAGATGTTTAATTGCTTGGTAGAGATCTTCATTGTCCTTATTATCTATCACCAGGTACTTCAGTAAGCCCAAGACCTAAAATAAAGAGGAAAAGAACAAAATAATGAAAATCATTTTAGGAACATTTTTACTACTTTACACAAAACAATTCATGGAGCAATGTGATTTATACAGTTTTCCCTATACTATTCTGTGCATCAGGAGACTAACAACAGTTCACAGGCTTCTGTACTTTCTTCACTCACCACACAAGAAGCCATATAAAAGCCAAGAGATCCTGCATTTATTTGAGACCTAGATCATCCTTGTTCCTGGATGCTGAGCTTGTTGGGCAGGACTAATATTCAGTGTCAAAGACAAGCCTACATTTAGGCTGCAATCCTAAATATGCTTACTCAAGAATATACCCCACTGAAGATAGTGGGATAGTAGTTCTTACTGAACACAAAGAGAACTGTGGAGTTATGCAAGTATAATCAGTTGAGCACAGTGTGAGAAAAGCAGGAGAAAGAAGAGGAAAATGTACACGAGCCCAAGGTCTGTTTCTGGTTTCCTTGCACATAAAGTTGAAAAGGAGGGGGGAATCAAACATCCCTGTTTGCATGCAACAGCACAAAATGAAAAAAATGTGTGGGGGAAAATCAAAATCCCTATAGGTTGCATGCTCTAGAGCAGAGGGCATGCAGAGCCCTCTCTGTTGGCACGCAAGCCAAGTCACCCCAGCATCGTCCCAGAAGCCATGCACATACAGTGGTACCTTGGCTCATGAACACCTCAGTTCACGACCAAATCGGGTCGCAAACAGGAATGTTGCCGTAGGTAGCAAACTCCGTATTGGGTAACGATCGCGAGTGCGCCTGCCTTCCCTGCATGGGCACAACTGCAGTCGTGCTGGGGGGGAAAAGATGGCCACAAGTGTGCCCGTGCCCACCTCCACCCAGCGCACCTGTGCCTGCGCCTGCCTCCCCCCACATGATTGCTGGGGGGGTGGGGGGGAGATGGTTGCGATCTTTCTTGTTGTCACTTTGCTTCAAATTTTTGTGAGTAAAAAATATACTTGCAGAACGGATTAACCTTACTTACACTGACCCTTATGGGGATTAACCTTACTTACATTGACCCTTATGGGGAAATTTGACTTGGCTCACGACCAAAGTCCTGGAACGGATTAAGTTCATGAGCCAAGGTACCACTGTATTTGGAAAGAGTAATAGCACCAGGCGACGATGTCACTCATTAGGCGCGACTTGTCGCAAGAGGCGGCGTAAAACAGCTGGCAAGAGGCAGGCGCAACAGCTGCGGCGGGTGTGCTAGGAAGGGAGTGGGCGAGCAGCAAGCACGTGTGCCGAGAGCTGACAGCAGCGCCCCCCTCCTGCCTCCTCCCAGCCCGCAGCATGTGAGCGGCCATCCAATGGTGGGACCCTGCCAACTCGGTAGCCACAGGGGCAGCCAAATTCTGGGCCTTTCTTTCTGAACAGCAAAACACAAAATCATAACTTTAAAATAATTAATGGTAACAAATTCAGTTTCAAATTATCATTCAAAATTCAAAAGATAAAAGTTATTTTTTAAATGTAATACTGATTCAGAAAGATTTTTCTGAAATTAACCTTTTAAATGTAGATGCTAATGACAAAACATTCTGGGACTGATTTCCAGCCAAATATGCCATTAATTCATTTACTCACTAATCCCTTCTATGGCCAACAGCCTTTACATTAAGACACATTCATTTGGCTGAAATAAACAGCAAGACTAATTAACATAGTGTAAAAAAATTATTGGTGCAATTACATTCAGTAGATTAATGTAATGAATTTTCAGTTCTTTCCTTCAGATAAATCTAAATGCAAAGACTACTGCCTGGAGTGACAAAGAAATAAAGTAGAACAGTTGTAATTATTAAGATGTGCAATCATAAAGCTATGATCATTTAATTCTTCACAGGATGGGTTTTGAAAATAATTATGCAGATTTGCCTAAGAAGGGTTTTAAAGAATGTAAATGCTAAGTTGATATTTTCTATACTAAATTCTACTAAAGGAATTGTCATATTAGATAGCTTGTTAAGCAGGAGAAATAGCAACCAAAAATCTTAAGTGTCTCAGGAAAATAGAACCACGTTACCGAGGAAAGCAGTTATAAAAGTGAATCTACACTGGTGTAAAGACTGGGGTTCTAATATAGCAAGATTAGATTTTATGGTGCTGGCAGCTAGGCTGTATTGTGCCATAACCAAATTTCATTAAAAGCAGTCAATACTGTTTCCATTTTATCCATGCACCCCACCCCAAAAATGTCTTCCATCAGCAACTAATGCACATGGCCTTAAAACAGACACCCAGACAATTGTTTTCAAAAATGTGAAAGTCACAGGACAGTTAATGCCCCAAAACAATGCTATCCCCACATATCTTAAACTAGAGGGCTGGATGCACTGAAACATTTGCTGAACAATTGAAATAGTGAGGCACATTACAAGTCACATGCACAAAAGGAGCATTCCTCTTCTGTTGACATGGGTAAATCTGGATCCCACATGCAATCTTAGCTGATCAAGAACAATGTCTTAACTGCAGTTCTGCTGGGTGACATCGGATCATCAATGGACCACTGGTTTGAGTCCAAAGATTTTATTGCTCTTCTAGACTTCCCACACAGTTTTTGCCTCAATGGCCTCACTTTAGATTTGAAAAGGGGATTGCAATTCTATTCACCACTAGCCATGTTCAGTGTCCCAGAGTATAACAAGTCCTAGCCTCCCACATAACCCTGTAGGCCATATGGTGTGGGGGATGTCATTTCCACAATTGTGTCATTTTTTAAAGTCATTCTTAGTTTGGAAGTGTGGCAAAGAACAGGCCAGCAAAGCTTGGGAAGAGAGCAACGGCTTGACCCTGGCCTTAAGCTGAAATGCAGACGCACAAGATTTGTCTCCTTGATGGAAGGAAGACGTGATCACAGATTTTGGGGTAGTGTTTAAGGGGAGCCAAAGTTGTCCATCCCTCCCCCCACCCTTGAAGTCAAGGGTAAATTTATTCATGTAACAAAGAGGGCTTAAAGTGTCTATTTTTAATACAGCAACTTCCTAAGTCACATAGCAAACCCCTTCTGAACCTGAGGGAAAAGTCAAACAAGAAAAATCCCCCCTCCACACTCATTTGTGATACTAGAAAGGGTGGTGGTCCCACTCGTCAAAGAAAGAAGACCATCAGACACACCCAATTATTTGCCTTGTTCTGTTTATTATTACAGATTGTTTGGTATCCACACTGTTATCCAGCTCAGGCACCCTTGGATATATACATTTCCTAAAATAAAACAATGAGGCATTTTTTGTCCTGCGAAAACTAAGACCACTAATGAAAAAGGCATAGCAAGGGCCTCTTCTTAAAACATACCTCTTCTTGGGCCTCAAGTTGGTCTGCAACTATAGGTATCAGTGTACCCACAACAATGTGGAGATGACTCCCTAGGGCATCCTTACAGTATTTGACTGCTGTGTGACAAACACGACTGAGAAGGTCAAAACACAGCAGGAAGCTCCGGAGGGATACTCCCCTGAGTGGTACACACCTAAAACAAGCACAGAAAAATTAACTGAAAGCAGACTAAAGTGCAGTATGTGTGAGTGGGGGAGACTGAAGGACATTGTGGGAAATAACCTATATTAAGCCTGAAGGAGCTACAACATAATCTTGATGACAGGGTGCATCAGGGCAACAGGTTTACAACAGGGAAAAGCTCCCATGCCCTCAAACAAATTAAACCCATAAAACATAGTTTTTAGAGAGCTGAATACCTTAACTCCCTACTGAAGCTCACTAGGCAAAGGCTCCTGGATAGGAAGTCTGGGAAAACCCCAAGTTTGAGAGCCTAGCAGTGTTGTCCTGTAATTTTAGGCCACGATTTAACCTCTCACACACAAGCCTTTGGAAATCCAAGCAAAACTTCAGGGTGTGTATTTCCACCTCTTCCCCTTCATCAGCATGGCTGGGAAAAGTCTAGTTTCACTTTCCCCAACTGTTGGCTTGTTGTTACATACAAACCAAAACCATGCTTTAAAATAAGCTGTAGTGATTCCATTGATAGACAAGTTCTAGTGATTCCATTGCTAACAACAATCTTTGATTGTTTTCCTTTGCAAACCTTTCGTTTTCCTTTGTAGTTTTTTAAAACTACAATTTCTGGTTCCTGTCTAAGTATTGTATGAAAATCTGTCCCTTCTTTGCCAGTACAAGGCTCTAGACTAGATGGCATGGCCCAATATAAGGGGTTTCCATAAATACAACATCCCATCTAAATGAACTGAAACCGTGTATAGATAACAGCATATAGTATTCATACATACCTATTGTTGATATGATGAATCATAGTATAAATTGCATCCCGAAGCACAAAAGCCCATGCTCCCCCTAAACTGTCTTTTATTTCTTTCAATAATAAATTTACAAAAAAATGATATATCATAAGGATTCTATGTCTTTTGTAAACATTAGTTGTTCCAGATGCTTGCTTACATATGGAAAGTAAGATCTTCTGGAATGACTCCTAAAATTTAAAAGAATAAATAGTATTTTCATAGGTACATATAAAAACTGTTCTGATACAACTTTTAAAATAAATAGGTAAGTCTGCTCTTCTATATCCCACTAATTTTATTTATAATTGCATGCTGTATTTTTGACAGCGTGAACATTTTGTGATTTCATTTTGTATGCTACCCTCACATATTTTGATAAAGATAGTTTTAAAATATTTTAAGACAGAAATAAGAAAAGAAATACAATGTGATTCTGTTTCCATTAAGCTGGAATTAAATGTGATTTAGGTGGTATGGTAGCCAAGTAACTATCTTCTTTTCCTCTCTAATATTTCAAACACCATAACCTTAAGTTATGATGATGAGCATTTCCTTGCTACTCCACATTACTTGCTTCCAACTGGAGGGATACAAGCAAATGCACTATTGCCTTTAAGTTAAATTGTGGGTAAGCAGAAGTAAGACATTACACAGGAAGAAGGGAAAAATATACTGGTCTTTTCAACAACACCTGCATGCATATTATCTCAACTAATTCCAACCTTGTTATTGCTATAAATGGGTTCCTTAAATTAGTCAGACATAACAGCAAATTTCAGACAAGAATCTTGCAGAAGCATTATAAATTGCATCTCTCCAAATGGTATAAACCTATTTTTTGTTTTTGTTTCGTTCCTAAAAATGTAACATTACCAGGCTGTTTTCATCAATGGAAAGATAAACCACTATTAAATTAAAATGGCTAAATAGATTAGGTAGCAGTCTTCAACTTGCAAGCATGTGCGACATTATTCTGTTCTCCAAAGGGTCATTCTAAAAGCAGTAAAAGAAGTCTAACATCGTTCCAAATTTACACCATTAAATAAATACATCTGCAATAGAATATGCTGTACAGCATGACAAAGACACCTGCTACCGTCCAACCACTCTCTCTCCTGCTGCAGCAGTAGTGCAGGCAATTTCATCCATCAGTGCCTGGCTATGAGGGGCCTTCAAAAAGACAGTGTCTGTGTCAGCTGGCACAGAGACTGCCTGTGCCACTGGAACTCACAGTGAAGCACTAAACCTAGTGGATAATCTGGAGATCTATGTCAGGTGCGTTCCTGATGGAAAGGAGTCAATAGAGCTCTCTTGAGCAGCTGCTCAATGCTTTGCTCTGAGGGATGCTCAGGGCAAGCCACTGCTTCTAGTATGCACTCCAGAAAGCCACCCCAGCCACTTTCTTGCTACGGTATTTGGTGTAATGATGGCAGGGCTCTCCACACAGCAGCTGACCAACACCCTGCTCTGAGGCACTGGGCCTTGCAGGCACTCCAGAAAGCAACCGTATCCATCTGCAGCTGGTGGTAGTAGCAGTAGGTGGCCTGCTGTGGATGAAGAGAGCAGTTATCTGCTGAGGTTAGGGTCTCACGCTGCTTCCTGAGAGAACCATCCCATGTCTCAGTCACAAAACTAATAATAACTTACAGGGTTCTTTGAAAGAATTCCTACAAGACCTTTTGACTTGGTTTTATGGCAGCTGCTAATGTAATCCAATGTTGCTTTGATCACATATGATGGAAAATGAGGTGGATTCGGAGCAGGATCTGAATCTCTGAAATAAATGAAAAGATTGCAAGACTTTCAAATCCCTGATGACCCCGCAAATGAAAATCCTATAAGAACAGATAAATCAAAGTGACAATAGATGATATTAGGTTGTAACCAAGATTGGTTCTCTTAACAGTTGAGGGAAACAAATCAACACATATTAGAATAAGTAACTTAGTGAATTGATATTTTTAATCCATTGATAAGAGTTTTCAACAGTACTGTTCTAATCTGGGTATTATTGGGTTCAAAGGTACAGACTTACTCTAAGGTCTACATCACATGTGCGCGTATTTGCATGTATGTGTGCACACTGGGAAATATGACAGTTGCCTATTTGTGTCCACCTACTGTAAGGAACATATATTTTTGCCCTGTTTTTATAGAATGACCACTTGTACCAGGAAATAAAAGTCTGACTTCTAGTTTACATTATATATGAGTAGACCACAAACCATCGTACAATCCCTCTTCATCTATTATAGTATGTAGATTCATAACATTAATAGATTTCGCCTGTTTCCTAAGCTATTACTACTGTGTCACTTTTCCAAGTGGTTGTAGACTTGATAGACATACTTTAACTGTTACTACCACCTGAAAAAGTGGTGCAACAGAGATGGTCATTCCATATGCCACTTTGGAACTTTGGAGGGACTGTCACTCCAAAGATCATGAAAAACCATCTCCAAAAAAGGAGGGGGATGGCAGCCACATTGAACACAAATGGGGTTGCAATTGGAGCAATGAAAGGAGACAAGAGAGGTTCTGTCAAGAGGGGTTCCATGAACAACCCATGTTGCGTAGCATATTTACCAGGTGGGTTTCAAAGTCATGCAAACTCAAAACAAGAAATAAACACAACTTAAAATGGCGACCTGTACCCTGCAAATCTTGTTAGGTCAGCATCTTCTCCTGCTTCTCTATGTACTGGCTCAAATAAGGTCATCAACATCTCCACCACAATCTCTGGCAAATTAGCATGAAATAAATTGTCTATCAGCTGTAAAAACAATACAGAGCTTAAGTTTTTTCATAAGTATAAAACACAATAAAGGCTAGTTATATACAACTGATCAGTCTCCACAATGATATTACATCAAAAAGCACTCAGCTCAGAAAGTCAAGACTTCCATTACCTGAGAATTCTTCAAAGGGTGGACTCTATGACATTCGGGAAGAGAAGGCTCTTTGTAAAAAGTCTAAAGGTACTTCCCACTTCTTCCCTAGAGCAATAACCAATCTGAGCAAAATAAGTATCCCTAAATCAAAATGGGAGCAGTGTCACTTAACTAGTAGGGACAAAAGGAAACTCCCCCTTCAGATTAGGTAATAGACAGTTGTCTGCCAAAACTAGAAGAACTAGCAGAGAAAGCAATTCTCAGTTCTCTCTACTTGTAAAACTTCAATAATCAAGCACATTGGCATGACAGAATAGGGTCTTGCACAATCTGAAATACACTTCTACCAAAGGCAGCATCAGCTGAATTGGTTGAAAAAGAAATGAGGGAATGGATGGGAACTGGAGCAGGAAAGGGAGGGGCTCCTCCCCAATTTAAACTTTTCGCTAGAGAGTCTTCCAGACAAAAGGCTCCATGCAGGCATAGAGTCCTTATGTGTGTTGCACAGAGACCACAAAGAAGACTAGATATACACCCTGAAAGCATCTTTAGAATAGCTCTTGACAGTAACCTAGAAAACGGCATATTTTCTAAGACAATTAATGAGAATCCTTCCAGAAAGTGGTCTGTTGGAAGCTGTGCACTCTTCTGCAATATACAGCTTGAGCCCTCTAGCTAAGATGAATTAAATGCCTTCCTTTAACTGTGTATGTGACAAGCAAGGAAGATGATTGCCACACAAGTTTTCTTCTAGTATTTAAATTCAATTTAAGGGTTCCCCCAGCATTAAGGTAGCACCATATTTTGACCATCTGATATTTAGGGATAGAAGATAACATGATCAACTTTTGCTTTCTGCTGAAATGATTCATTTATGGAATAAAAGAATGGCAGATAGAACAGACCTATCCTAATGGACATTTAAAAGCCTGGCTGTGTAGACAAAGCAGTCAGCTTTGGTATTCTGCAGGCTACCTTGATAAATAAACTAAATACAAATCTCTGTCAAAGATTAAAGGAATCTTGGTTAAAGTTTGTAGGACTATGTTGGAACCCATGTACAACAGGGGAAGCAAACAGGGTGGCCACTGATAAAACACTTGACATAAGGATAGACATCTAGAAGAATCCTTTTGGTTAATGACGGAATAGTATCTAGACTTAGCATCTCACTCCAGATCAACCTGGATAAACTTTAAGATAGTGAAGACCAAAGAGATAGAGGGATTCCCTTCCTGGAAAAACAGAGAAATATAGCCCTGAGTACTCTGGTATATGGAAGTAAAAATGACAACACTGAAGCTGCCATATTTTGTGTTTCTTAAGAAGGCAAGAGTCACTGGAAAAGACTTGGGAAAACCAAACACAAAAGAGGAGGGTGAAAACAAATGAAATGAATTAACTCCATAAAGGAAGCCACAGCGTCAAATTTAGAGGAGCTGAGCAGGCTGTGAAGGAGAGGACATTCTGGAGGACATCCATGCTTAGGATTGCCATAAGTCAGAAACAACTTGACAGCATGTAACAACAATTAACGCTGATTTATTCTGTCAGCAAACTCTCTTCTATCCCAGATTAGCAGCATTTTAGAGAAGTAATACAGGACTGCCTCCTCAACCTCTAGACAAAAAAGCAGCAGCTCTAGTTTGGACAATGTGAAATAACTCTAAAAAAGAATACAATGGTACCTTGGCTCACGAACGCCTCAGCTCACAACCAAATTGGGTCATGAACAGAAATTTCATAAAAATTTTGCTGTAGGTCGTGAACTCTGCATCGGGTGATGATTGCAAGCGTGCCCGCCTTTTCTGCACGGGCGCAACTGCGGTTGTGCTGGGGGGGGATGGCCCCGATTACGCCCATGTTCCCTTCCCGAGTGCGCCCGCCTCCCCCCCGTGCACCTGCAATCTCCCAACCCCCCGCATGATCTCGGGGGGGGGGGTGGCCATGATCTTTGTTGTTCTTTGTCACTTTGCTTCAAATTTTTGTGAGCAAAAAAATAGCTGCAGAACGGATTAACCTTATTTATATTGACCCTTATGGGGAAATTTGACTTGGCTCACTACCAATTTGGATCACGACCAGGGTCCTGGAACAGATTAAGTTCATGAGCCAAGGTACCACTGTATATGGAAACATTTGGAGGAGGTCTCTGGACTTGCAGGTTATATTTATAAACTGGGACACTAACCATCTTAAGATGACAAGAATGTCAATGCATTCCCTGCCAGATCCTGGTGAGTTCATTCACAAGAAAACTGATACTGAACTGGTTTTTGAAGAATCCATTTCACCTTTATATCAGGTGCTCCAACAACTGAGGTTCACACATGTAACAATCATAATCAGTGCAGAATTGCTCAATAATATATTCAAGACTAAATCCATTGTCTTCTATCAGGAAAGGGAAGACACTGTCCCAGTGCCAAAACAATCTCATCCAGCTATAGTTAAGTATTGGCCATGCTGGCTGGGAATAAGAATTGTAGTTCAATACATTTGCAAGGCACTGGTTAGAAGACCAGCTAATGGGGAAAGAAATGCCTTCTTCCACAATATGACAGCTTTTCCAAGAAGCAAAAGGGCAGAATAAACAAGGTCATTATTAATCTGCCAGAGCTTATGAGATGCCCTTGGCAGGCACAGAGATTATAGCTTTGTACAGCAGCGTCAAAGTCTACCTTAAGATGATACATCCAGTCTGTGAGAATTCACTAACACTTGAACCAGCTTGTCACAGAGCCATGGACCTGGAGTGGAACTATAATTAACTCCAAGTACCATTCTGCCAAACCTCAAGGTCTGATGAGGACTTCAAAATATGGACAAGCATGGGTCCTCTGTAGCCTAAGATCTGCAATTAAGGGGGCAGCTGAAAGTCACAATGAAGTAACACCCAGAGCAGAGGGTAGTATAGCACTGGCCTTGATAAGTAATACAGACAATGGTCCAATTTGACAGGATGTGGAAGAATATATTCACACAGAATTCACTCATATACTGAAAGCATTTCTGTTGTGCATTAGTTTACACAAAGAAAATGGTCTATATTGCATTATATTACAAAATGATTTTCAAATTAGTTAGTGTAGTTACTACTACACATAGTACTTTCTATTACTTTTGGAAAGGAAGAATTACCTACTCCTGCCTAATGAGGAAAGGAATTACCTACTCCTGCCTAAAAGAATCAACATAAAATTGAGTCACCAATCGATTCCAACATAGCTTTGATTTTTAAATCCTCTCATTCAAAAGCTTCCCATTTAATTTGAAGATCTAATACATAAGCTACATGACAAGGAAATAAAGTGGAAAAAATACCGGTTTTCCTAAGTAGTTTTCATTTTTCAGTGTATCATAGATTTTAGAAGATAGATCTCTCTTTTGTGCTACTTCATCATCTTCATGGTTTTGGTAGGCAAAGTAAGGCAGAATATGAACAAGGATTTTAGGAAAGCAATGTGTGAGAAGCTGCCGTTCCTCTATTTCAATCTTGTTAGCAACAGACTTCACCTCTTCAAACTGATCTTGAACTATCAGTTGTGGAATCAAAACTTTGTAACAGGATCTACAATAAAAAATTTACTTGAGTTATGACAGAATGGTTGGGAAATTTCAGTTATAGCAGCAACATCACTGATAGTAACTGCATTCTTATAGCAATTCTTTTCGGAAAAAAACCTGTAATAACCTGTTAATATGATACTAGCCAGTTACTTATGGCAAAATCTTACATTAGAAACCTAAAATAGATTTCAAAACATTATCCAAGTTCATATGATACAAGCACGCATCATGGGTGACATGGTGGGTTGTCATGTCATGCAAATTCAGACCACTTCCCTCAGCAGGGCTTGTTCCTGGGCAGGAAGGCACCCTGACAATTCATAGCTTGTTCCAGAGGTTCTTTCACCCACAATGGGTTGGCATGACATCCAAGCACAGGCAATTGTCCTCATTATGGTTGATGAGAAACAGCAAGTCAGCATCTTGGCAACAGCTACAAACCACTCCATTGCTGCTTGTGCCAACATTACCCAGGAAACCACCACTGGCTCCTGCCCTGTCGTAACCTTGAGTCATTGTGGCTTCCTTCCTGCTTTTACTCTTTTTTGTCTTTTTCTCAAAAACAGTTTTTCACATTCTCCAACTGATAGCTAGTGCCAGTCCCTTCAAAGTGACAAAATTCACCTTCTGACAATTGTCAAGAGAAATCAGAGTAAAGAATAAAGCTCTTGGCAGCTTCTCCAACTCAGTGCCCTTGGCAGTTGCCTGCTGCACCCCAGGACAATGTCTGGAGGAGGCATCCCATTTCAGACCCACAAAAACCTGACTAGGAAAACAAACAAGCATCACCTCCAAATCTGTACAGCTGTGCAATTAATAAAAGGGATTAATAACAGATTTTCAGAACTACTGTTTGGGTGCTTCTGAAGGGGTTGGTACTTGCTGTCAAACTGGAGAATGCACAAAGAGATCTCAAAATGAGAAGTAAAATGGGGAAAATAGGAGAAAAGCCACAGAAAGATCAAAAATGTTTGCCATCACTGTGGACTAGATGGGTTCTGCCATGGTTTTCCTTGGTTTACCCACATGAGGACCACCCACAATGAATCCAATTGTTTGTTGGATTCACTGTGGGTTGTTTTATAAACAACTCACCCTGTGTAGCTTTGCAAAAAGGGTTGCTGTGACACCCACCACTAATTCCCCCATTGGCTCTTTACTTCTCTGAAAAGATTTCAGAGTAATTTAGATGTAGTAAAACACTAGATTTAGTAAAACTCTACTTTCAAAATATGCCGCATGATAAAACATAAAATTGGCTACTTGGTACATAAGATAATAATCCTTTACAGTTTAGATGGGAAAAAACTACACAAACATAATTAAGACCATACCTGTAGAACTCTTCCAAAGTAGAATAATTTAGTAACATATATGGAAATACAGAAAGACTGTAGCTGCAGTTCAGCCACTCTAAAATAAGATAGTCCAAGTGGGTATTCATGAAATCTTCCACACTTGTATATCCACACGTGTCAGAAATTCTTTCTAATACCTGCATTTCAAAATGAAGAGCAGTTAACAAAACAGGTATTACCAGTACTGTCCTATTTATAGCACAACACTACACTGTTTATAAACTAAATGTCAGCCCAGTAAGGTGCTCATAGAAGTCCCGCTAGTCTGACTTGAACTCATACCCTAACATCACATAACGGGATGTGACATCACATAAACAGAGATAATGAGCAAATTAAATGGCCTGATGTAAACTTTATGACTGGGATGGCCAAACTAAAGCTTGAGAGCCGCATAGGAGTCTTTGATCTTATGCTCTGGCTTGCTGCTAACTGCCACAGGCACCCACTTGCCACTCACCACCTGTTGCCACTGCCGCCTGAGGCTCTCAAACATCTGACATCTACCATATGTGGCTCTTCCACTGAGCATGTCTGGCCACCCCTGCTATATGTTATGCATGACATTATTAAAAATATGTAAGAGTTTTTAAAGCACAGAGCTTTCTTCAGCTATATGAATTCCCATCGTACATACCTTTCTTACTAGTTGAGGTTCTAATCCATTCCTTTTTACACACTGAAAGACAGCAAATAATGCCTGCTTTTCACACACAGGACTGCAGCGTAAAACCATCGTTATTAACATGAGGAGAACTGACTTTCTATTATATTCTTCATCAGGAAGATTCTCTTCACCTTCAGTGCCATGTGCCTTTATTAACAAAGAACACAGAATAAAAGTGATCTCCCTTATCTACATACATGGTAGAACCCATCCAAACAATTTATATTTTGTTAAAATAGTATGTTGACACAAAGATATAAAAACTACTGAAGAGGTTTACATTGCCAGGTTTCTTCCCGGAAATTGTCTGTGCAATCTTATAACGTGTCTAGCCAGGTATATATTCCACTAAGATCTGTGGGACTTATAGAATCAGGCTTCAAAATTAGACACAGGATTATAGAATTAGACTTCAAGATTAGGCACAGGATTATAGAATTAGACTTCAAAAATGCATTTCTACAGAATCTTTGTAAAACAAACCAAGAAAATTTAGGGAAAAAAATCAGAACATAAAACGTATCATGAAAACATAGTAAAACATTAAGAGCAACATTATGGCAGGGCGAGTTCCCTGGGATACTAGTTGGCAGAGTGAGGCGGAAGAAGGGAGCAACAACCTACAGTGAGCCTGATTATCTGTTGGAAACACCTTGCAACAACCAACTTATTGCCAGGGAAGGTTGGGGTGATGTGAAAATGCACCCATACTCTTGAGAGAAATTCCTTTTATAGCCTACTGCAAGTTCCTGCATGGAGATCAAATTTCCTAAAATAGGATCATAATCAACAATCTAAAAAGCTGCTTAAATCTTTTAAAAGCCTTAAGTGAAAGAGATTCTACACTTCCATTGCTGTGTGCAAGGGAGAAGAGACATGACACAGACACTGTTTCGGCAGAAAAGCAAACTAGAGTGTTAACATTTCATAATACACATACATATGCAGAGGCCGGTAGTTACCTCACACTTCAGAAATGATACACAATTGTTGGATAAGAATTATTACTGTCTGGCATGACTGAACTGCTGTGACCTCAGAAACGCAGCGCAACTCAGGAAACAAGCCAAACTACAATTTCCAGAATAGGACAAGTCAGCAGAGCTCCCTTCCATGAGCTTCACTGACTTATTTCATTTCCATTTTGGAAGCAATAATTTCAGGTAGCTTTCCACAATAAAATTGGTTATTCCTGCTAGCCAACCAACTACACTGGATACTGCCTTCAGTTCCTCTTGCCCCTCTGCACCCATTCTCCCAAAAAGTCACTAGACTTATGGAACACTCCAACAGAGTGCAATAATGTTTTTCCCTGCGAAACCTTCCCATTGTTTTTTTTTTCCCAAAAACACAGATTGAAGACAAGCACGCTTTAAAAGTCACACTAGGACCTATTTGGACTGCTTTGCTATACCAAGCCAACACAAACCAACTGAATGAGATATGTGGGCCATTTTCTTAGGCAAATGTTTAAGATCCTTATTTCATAAAAGTTCATTGAATTGAACTGTGTCAAGACAAAGAAAATCAAGTACCTTACCTATTGAAATTAATCACCCTTAGAAAAAGGGAGTTTTACATAAGAAAGTAAAATACAAGAGAACTTTCCTACAATAAATTCAAAATGAAAAATACAAATTAGACTTCAAATAAAAAGCCTAGCATTAGGATAGCTCTATCCTAGTAACAGCACCTCCAACCTGTTGCTCCTATACAATAATTTCATCCAAGTCATTAAACATCTTGTTTAGCTGAGAAGTGAATAAATCTTTGGAGAAATTATTATTTATAGCAACTACTTGGCAGACAAATTAAGAATGAAGACAAATCATTCATTCAAATCATTCATTCTTGGCAGACAAATTAAGAATGAAGTGCAAATCTAATTAAGTTTTGGGCATAGTGCAATTTGAACAATACCAAAGAAAGCAGACTTCATTGGCCTAATTCAAAACAACAGTGTCTGTCTGTCTGTCACATTTTTATACAGCCCAATAGCCCAAAGAGAAATTTGTTACAGGAAAATTTGTTGCACTGGAAGTCTTTATGTTACTTAGCGACAGTTTTACCTGTGTACTCATTCCTTCTTGAACTTTGAGGTATAAATTTTCAAAAGCCCTTTGCTGGAGTTTCAAAGGCAGAGCTTTCAGCAACCCAGTAGAATCTCTAATTTTCACATCTTGAAACAAACTTATGGTTAAACACAGAGAAAAAGAATTTAAAATAGTTTACACACTTTTTCATAAAACAAAGATACACGTGTTTTGTTCTTATTCTGAGCTGTCCCCACAACTCCAAGATATCTTTGAATAGCATTTGCCTATGTCCAGGAAGATTCAGCTGGCATTATGAATAACATATTGGATGAAAAAAGTATCTCTTTGAATTTTATTCCCAAAAGGGTCAGTTTGCAGACCCAGAGATAAAAACAAAGCACCTCACTTCCTCAGACACACACCCCTCCCTTAAGATTCTTGCAAAACAATCTAGCTTTTTCCATGCCTATCTTACTCATCCTTTTTCAAGGCACTTCATACACTTCTGAACTTAGCATTTTATTAGCAATACCTAATTCTCCTTCTCCCCTAGTAAGAGAGGAGATGTTACCATGCTGAAGAACTGCTAGAGATCCAGGCCTGTCCTAAGACTTATGCAACTTCCCCAATTACAAATTATTTACAAGAAGAAACATGTATTTTTTGAATGGGTGCCTTGTTTATTTACTTATACCGATGTATTCTTTTGTAAAGTGATTAAAAAGTGTGAAACAATTTTCAAAGGTTATTTTATGGTTATCTTTAGAAAGCAGTCAATTCACTTAAATCTACAGCAGCTATATACCTGGTTATTGACTTGGCTGCAACCATGCATACTTGAAAGTTGCTATCTGCAAGGAAGTGGGGAAAAGCATCACTCACAGGTACATTTTTCTGTTTAACATTAAGCACAGCCCATTTGGAATGAGGATCAACCTGGGAAAAACAAAAATGGCATTTTATTTTTATGTGAGTTGGAAAAGTCAAAGAAAAATATTTTTATTAAGTTCTTCTAACACTTAACTTACCTGAAGTAAGGCTTCCATACATTTTACTAAGGCTATTCTTACAGGAGCTGTGCATTTCCCTCCATTTGCTAACTGCCTGGAAAAGAAGAATTTAATACTAAGCTATAATGGGACAAAATCAAATTTTTGTGGCTTGCTCCTAGAATTTTAAAAATATGTAATTATTTCTTTCTATGCTACAAAAATAGTTAGCTTGTAATATATAGACATTAAAGAGGTATAAAGGTATGCTTGCAATTCATGTAGCTAAATGCAATATAGGAGGGAGGGAGGGAGGGAGGGAAGAAGTGAGAGCAATTTGTTTATTTATTTATTTAAAACTTTTGTATGCCATCCCTTATGCCTTGGCATCTCGGGATGGTTCACAATCCATAAAATTGAAATACAATAACACAATAACAAGAAAATCACATGCATAAAAACATAATTCAATAAAAAATTACATAAAAGTCAAAATCAAAGCGACTATTCGACACAATTAAAATATTAATTTTTAAAATAGTGATTAAATGAAAAGGTTTTGACCTGGCACTGAAAAGAATATAAACTCAGCACCAGGCGCACCTCCCCAGGGAGCACATTCCATAATCTGTTCATCGGTATGTTAAGTTTTTGTAATATTCATAGGAACTTACTCTCACATATCCGTGCCTATGGAACTGTAGCTCGAGTCGTATTAAATAAAATGCTTGTGACAGTTTCAATGGGACTTAAGATGCAATCCTAAATATACTCAATGCAAGCATCACAGAATGTAATGGGACTTATTTCTAAGTAAATATGCTTAGGCGCATTGCAGCTAAGCATATTTACCTACAGCCAGATACAATCACATTTTGAAGACAGCAGCCTAAATGCCTGGAACTAAACTTGGCTAAAATCAATAGGGTCTATGTCCATTATATTATTCATGTCACTGCATCCTCATCATATCACATATTTTTGCTGCAATTTCTACATTTGAATTATCAAGGCAACAAAAGATAAAAACCTACTAGAAAACAGTACTCAAGAAAAGCCAGTGCACACCATTTTTCCACTTTCATTACTATTACTTTACAACTTTGCTTCAAAATGCAGTAACAATTGCTAAAAGGGAGACCACTTCCAGGTACACTTGGGTGTAAGGAGACAGATCCTCTGACACATCTAAAGCTAGCTTTACCAGGCTTCTCGCTCATGCAGCCCTTTATTTCTGAGTATTTCCCCCTAATGAAACTAAGATTAGCTGTGCCATCTCCAGGTTAACAAACCTGAGAGGTCGATCCTGGGACCTTTAAAAGAATGGAGTATGTTCTCTTTCAAGGCCTACTCCAAATAGGACAGCTACTAATAGTAGTTTTACAAATGTGGAGCTTTTGCAGTCAAACTGAGAACAGCTAGAATGGATGTTCCCCTTCCAAGAGACAGCCCCGACAGATGTTCAAGGGTTAGGATTGCACTGTAGCTGACGAATTTATGATCCTGAAATTAATTATAGTAGAAAACATGCTGAACATACCAAAATGCTCCAACAACTGTTAAAAATTGACCCTGCGCTTCACTTAAATCTTCAGTGGTCGTTCTGATAGTGCCCAAGGCATTTACCATAGGAAGCAGATTGTGCAGAATTGCTGAACAAACTTCTTGATCACGACGATAAAAGGAGCATATATCCCTATAACAAAAAGCAGAAAGTTTGAGAAAATGTATCTGTAAAGTAATATAAAAGGCACTTCTTTCATTAAATAGGATTATTTTCTTACGAAAGAGGCTTGAGAAGTGAGACAACATCATCTTCAGGCAAGGAATTTTCCACAGCTGGGAGCTCCTTCAGCAAGACTAAATACTAGAACAAAGCACAAATTATTTTAATGCTTCTTTATTTATAATTATAAAAAGTACATACATTCCATATACAGTATATTCAGCAGCACACTTGTATATACGTGTTTTATTTATTATTTTCTGTGTTAACACATGGGAGCAAGGCTTATTGTTCAGCAGACTCTGACCACCTGTTTTGTGTACTGAAAGTAATTACCCAGTGACTAAAATAAAATACTGCGCAATGATTTCTAAAACGTCTACAGGCTTTTCAATCTTCAAAATTCCATGATCAGTCATGCTCTTTGCTACAGTAATGAACCCAAAATAAAGACCATTTAACATGGTGCACTGAAACATTTAGATACAAAAACATAATCAGAGCAGTTTTCCATTATCATACTCACCAGATGCAGATGTAATGGTTTAATATAATCAAATGCATTTCCAGTTATTAACATTAGGAGTTTCCTTCGAATTTCTGATATTCTAAAGCAAACAGATTGCCCTGGTGCTGCTGTTACAGCAATACACAAGAATTTTAAAATATCGAGGAGAAGAAAGCCCTGTTTAGTCAGATGTTCTTCTGCTAATGGGCTTGTAGCACCTGAAAATAAAAGTGTTGTGTTTCAAAAAAAAAAAAACCCACAACAGAAGAAATTTTAAACACACGATGGATATATACCATAAAGCCAAAATCAAGTGCAGCACCCTAGTAGACATATCCAAGTATTTGGAGTAGCACAAGTCACATAACAATAGAATAGTGTACTCAGGCTGCTCCACAGAGAGCAATTCTAAAGCAGGATTACGACAACCACTATAACAAGAATATTGGTGTAGGAGAAAGATCATATGAATGATCAACATATAGAGCTACAAGCTTGGAAAGGCCAAGAAACCTGGTGCTTAATGTCAGCAATACCATAAACTGTGTGCCTTTGACAAAGATGCAAGAATTTCTGCTCTAATTAAGTGCTGCCTCATGTGCTGGGTTCACCTAACATTACAATGGTATGTTATGAATACCCTAATATAGAAATGTGTTTTTATAATTTGAAAAGTTGGGTTTCTCTCTCTCTTTAAATAGCCACATTTAAAAACTTTTATAAGTTGCTTTCACTCAGAAATTGGGTTTAAACTATAATATCTTCATCATTTAAGCCTGAGGCATTTCTAATAGAAGTTGGTTTTAAGTACTCAAATGGTACCAACCACCACCCTTCCCCCTTTTTCTAAAACCATTCAACTGCCACAGAATTATTCCTAGAGGAGAATCAAACATACCTGTCAAGGTCTGCAGCTCTCCACTCTCACTGACATCAGCAGCTTCAGCAGAATGATCATCAAACAGATCTAAGACCTTTGGATTTTCTTCTTCCATTTTACTCTCTTCAGGATCATCTTCCATGAAACTAATCTCTCCCACTTCATTTGCCTTCCCAGTAAATAGCATCTAACAGAAGTTATTAAAATTCTTTCATCCAATGTTTCATACAGTAAATTGTCTTTTCATACAATAAAAAGACTTCTCAAAATTCAATTTGATGTTCCTATCAGTACCTAAAACCACCAGCAGCTTATGAACAAACTAGGAAGGCATCACTGCTGGCTTCAACAAAGGTGACCTCAAATGCTTGTGGAAGATCACTAATATTTCAAACTGGCAGCTTCTTTCAGATGTTGGTTTCTCTAAAACTGGGACCTTTCCTGAGAAGGTCCCTTCTTTTTCCTTGTAGCAGGAACAAAGCAAATTTAACATTATTTTGTATCCTTAACTGGCTGTGAGCAGAAATGTCTTATTGTCATGGAAAAGATTTTCAGGAAGATTAAAAGAAATAACCCACACTTAAATAAATCCTGGATTGTGTATATTTGATGACATTATTTGTAATTTAACAGTTTTATAGTACTAAGGGAAGAATTTTTCATCATTACAGCTGTTACTGAGGTTGTGATTTATTACTCTACTACTTTCCAAGGACAAGTAACAATTGTCCCAGGGAAACATCAGGGGCAAATTCCACTAATCATACATATTAGGACGGGGAGAAACCGTTGTGGAATCTGTCCCTCTAGCATCTGCAGAGTCCCTTTTGTGTTCAGTCTGGTCCTGCAAAGCAAGCTGCGTCAAAAGGAAGTCTGAGCATTCGTGGAGCCACAGCTGTGCAAATGGCAACCTTCTACATAAGGTGTAGCCACCCAAAGAACAACTGCAGGATGTGGAAGGAGGTGCTGCAAGCTGGCACACCAGGGCACCATTCCTGGATACCAACTTCTTCCCTACCCAGTGCAGCTGGTGGTGACAGTATCAAGCACAGAAGGAAGACATACACTGCTTTTGTAGTGTGTGGGGCTCAGGGACTCAGCCCTCCCCAGGAACTCAGCTCAGGGCTGCCACAAAGCAGACCAGAGTCCAGGCAGCCAAGCCCAGGGAAATCAATGGATTCCCATCACTAAATGGGATTCCTCACACATGCCTAGTACATATTACTTCTTTCACATGCAGTTTCAAAGAAAGAACTGAGCACAAAGGTGCTGCCATCTCACACAACACTCATCTCACACAACACTCACACAACACTGATGCAGTTACTGACTCTTTAAGGTGGAAGGAACCTGGAAGAGACAGGCAATCATGTGGTGTCTAATCAATGTAGGATAGGAGTGAAATAGTAGTGGCATGGTCCCCTCTGTATCTACAAAGTTTGCACAGATAATGTAGAGGAATTAGAAGGGAGACAACTAAGAAAACTAGAGGAACAGCAGGGAAAGGAAGGGTGAAGTATGATATATTAAAACTCATTTAAGAAAAAGCATATATGGAAGCAGGTGGAATTACAATGCACTAGTACTATTTAGTTTGATCATATACTTCACTCTTAATCAGTACAGAAAAAGCCAAACCTAACATGTCCTAATTGTCTTTTAAGGGCAATATCTGTTCTGGACAATAAAGGTGTAACATATACAGTCTATGAAACAAAGTAACATTCTGCCCTACTTACCAGATGTTTGCAAGTATCTGCAAGATTATTCATCAGCTGTGATGTTAACAAGTGCAAAAAAATTCCAGACTGGCTTTTTCTTGGGCTGTTCTGTCAAAACAATACAAAGCAATGTATTACTGGATTGATTTGTATCCTGCTCTTCTACCAAGAAAATGATAGTCAAGGCAACTTTCAATCATGAGAATTACATTAAAAGAAAAAAAATGATCAAAATAATACAACAATTAGATTTAAACACTGTAAAATAACAAAATAATCCTAATCAAAGCATATCTTACAGAATCTATTTATCTTACACTATGAAATAGGACAGAGAATCAAAACCACCAAGTGTAATCTTCAGCCATGCTACAACAGGCTTTCCCATTCATCTCAAAAAGCCACTACTAGATTAGCAAGGAAAATGTGTATTTTCTCTACTCTGTGACAATTGAACCCAAACACTTTGAACTGACTTGCATGACCTTTGTTGATCACAGTACCTTTTTAAATGTGGCTGGCAAAGTGTGACAGAAACAACTGACTTCAAAACTGCCCAGTTACTGCTTGTTGTATTCTATAAATTCATACAACATGGTTTGTTGGATGGCTAAACAACCCTCAGGTAGCCCACAATAACCCATAGGCTATTGAACGGTTTTTATACACTCCCCAGTAAGCTATGCCACATTTGTTCAGATTAGTTAATAAGTTGGCCTGGATGGTGACCCTGCAAATGTGGTACATGAATTAATCATGGATTAAACAACACATTGTTAACCTATTAATTAACCCATGATTTGATGCTACATGCAAACCAGGTCAATGTTGTTAACAGGCTGACCATGCTGATAGTGATTCTATTAGGTTTCAATAATTTCTAAATAGTTCATTTTCCTAAAGAAAAGTTTGCCATCTTCCAAATAAAGTGCAAAAGTACCAAGTAAGAATAAAAATGGATAAAGATGGCAAGGATTTCAAGAAACAAAACTTGAAATTCCACCATATATGCCATAATATCTTTGAATGATTACTTTAAAAACTGAAACTAATTTCAGTACCAAGCTTTTATTTTGAAAAACTACAATCTTGTACAGTTAAACTGGTCAACTTCCACTGAACTCAATGAGACTTTATTGGTTTAACTAAGCAACCAAACACTTTTGGGATGTACCTAAACACTTTTGACCCAAGTAAATTTAGTCACTGCAAAAACCATTAGCATAAGGCATACTGCAGAAACTGTGTACACCGAATTATGAAGAAAAAACAACTTGGAGAGGTATGCTGTTTTCAAATAGGTGCAGCTATTCAACTTCACTTGGTTGGAGAATAGAAAGAAAAAAGAATGAATTTCTTACCTGGGTACAGTTACATAAGCAACTAGCACACTGTACTATTAAAGTCCTCAATGAAATGATCCTAGACTCTTCATTTAGCTTGTTTTTGGACTGAGAAATAGTTTCTCCTACATAATGAATAAGAGACTATAGAAAGAAAAATTCAGAAGTATTAAAGAACAGTCTCAGCCACATAATATCGTTGTTGCATTCCATCCATACTCTTATGAATGTGAATTAAAGTTGTCCCACAACTGTTCAGGTCTACCTTTTGCTAGAATTTACTCAAAATTAGTATTTAACCCCCTATTTTGTGCTTCCTTTGAGAGGCTCAATACACTCTTTTGCTGGCTACTGTTTAATTTCAAACTCCTCCTCTAAAATTTTATGATGTAGGTAATACTTCACAAAATAATGGATGCAGCATCTTCTTGCAAAGGCTATAATGAGCCAATTTGTACAATACACTGGGATTATCATGAATTTTCTTCAACATCCAGTTAGATACTGTGCATGCTGAGTATTATTCTGAACATGTAGCACCCAACTGGGACAACTGCGTTTCCATGCATGCATGTATGTGTGTGTGATGTGGGGGGCTGGCTCACCAGATTGTGCAAACCCAGTCATGGTTCATAGGAGGCTTATGCAAGGGTTGTTTAACCCTCAAATTATCCATGCTGGTTGGGTTTGCACAATTTTAAAAATTGTATTTTATTAATCTCCCAGCCAAAAAATGGACTTCAAGATGGCTTACAAAAGTACATTCAAAACAGTACCCAGTACAACCTGCTGTGAGCCCACAAGTCATGAACTGACCATATGCTGATCCACTTTACAAATTCTTTACTCCATCCATATTCAGTGTCTGATATTTGTAGTCAAATTCCCAATCATTATAATCTCTCTCTTCCTTTCCTACTATCAACCATCCCATTGCTGGAGTGGAAAAAATCAGGAACTTTACATCCTGTAAGCTTTGTGTGGGAGGATCCTGCATTCCTGGAATGTTTGTGAATATGCCTAGAGAAGGGTAGCCACAACTTTTAGATTTTTCTCCTAGCTCTCATGAGCACTTGAGATATGTCCCCACTTCCAGGACAAGGCTTACTCGTTTCAGAATCACTAACTTTGCATATTTCTAAACAAAACAAAACAGAAAGCCCCACCTTAGCTTTATGAAAAAGTTGTGATTTACATGCTGCTTCTTCTGTCAACAGGCCAGCATAGCAATAGCAACCAAGAACACCAGTTATGAGACTGATGCATCGTATTGTGAATTCTGTAGCTGTAGTCTTAAAATAAAACAAATACACAAACACACCATAAGCTGTGTATTCAATTACACTTTCTTGGTTATTTATTCATTTCCTTCAGAACAATTCCAAGAATTATAGGTTATTTAAATCCAGCTGGCAAACATGGCACCTATTTTTGCAATGCATTATTCTAGACTTGTGCTAAGTGTAAAAAACTTGAAAGCCTCTCAAATCTTGATGAGCTTATGAGTCATAAAATGTTAAAATACACATTTATTGAAACACTGAATTTAACACAATCTTTACCAGCATTGCCAAAATATTGTGGTGTCTATTTCATTCTGATCACAAAAGTTCAAATGTTATTTCTTTAAACAAAAGAGGCAGAATTTATACCAATGTGTAATTCTATAAGTTTATACTGCTGCATGCATTCTGTACTCAGGAATTGTATCAGGATTCACCCACAGGCTATATGAAAATACTGAATATAAAGGCAGTGTTAATGCAAAACAACCACGATCCTGAAAAAGTTATGTAGTATGAGTTGCCTGTGACAGCACTTTTTGTGCACCAGAGATTTGTTCAAATTTTAAAAAAGAACTGCCAGATGTTTGCAATCCCAGTTATCTCAAATGTGCATTCTTAAACCACAGTCTTAATGACCTCGAATGTATCTCCTGTCAAAGTACAGGAGGCACCTAACATGGAAATTGACAAAGCAAAGCTACAAATAGCTGAATTTGTTGCTTTATTTGACATCAGTTAAATAGTGAGCTGTCAAGTGGGAACTAGAGCCACAAAGAGATCTTGGCTCATGAAATGGGGTAGATCACCCAATTCCCAGTAAGAGCCTCTAATTTTGTTTTTGTGTTCTCAAGTGTCCTCTATCTTTTCCACTCTCTCCCAAGTTTCTAGGTGCTCAGGAAGTGGAAAAGTGTCATCAAACCCTTTTTTAAAAGGGTTTCTGACTAATTAGGCATTCCTTTTTTTAATAGGGATATATGCAGTCCCCATCAAAGTATTACTGCATTATCACCTCTTCCCGAAGTATACATGAATTGGAATATCCTATAAAACATACTTCAGAAAGGAATGCACAGTAATCTAATATTATACCATGTTTTGTCTATTTTATTAAAAATGTGATAAAATGGCAAAGAGTGTTCACAAAAATCCATGTGGTGGATGTGCTTTGAGAAACTTTACAATCACAAGCAAGGAACATTTAACTTAATCTTCCATTCCAACTCACCTCAGCGGAAAAGCTACCAAGAAGTTGTTCAGCCATTACAAAGAGATCATGTTCTAAGCCTTCTTTTAGTTTCTGATTAACAACTAGTCTGGAACCAGGTGGCTTGTTTTGAGATATATCGTCAGTTGTGTTTGTAAAAATATCAGTTTCATCAAAAGTTGTCTGTGCATAAAATGCTTCAATTTCTGAAAGACTGGTTTCTTCTTTGTCTTGTGCATGTTGCTTACTTAATAAAATAAAGAAAAAGATTATTACTGATATCTGAAGCAATGCTGATATAATTTAATAGCAAAACATAGAAGAAACAAAGCTTGAATCCTGATTGTTTATTATAATTATATTTACATAGAGGAGCAGCTACCACATGTTCAATGTGCACAGAGAGGAACTGCAGTACTGCCTCCATAAAACTTAACATCTCTATCCCTCTACTGAACCTCTACTTAATTACAAACTCTTTCCCATTTTCCACTAGATTTAAGATCAGCACAGATCTGATTCAGTGCAGGAAGGCAAGACTCCATAGTCATGGCAGTTACTGCACAGCCTTATCCAATTTTTCATAAAGGGCTGGAAATATATACATTAGTCATATAGATATTAGTTCTGAAATAAGTGCCAGAAATCCTGCCCCCAGCTATCTGCAACAGTCTATTACTATGGTGTGACAGCAATGCCTGTTTTCATAAACAGATTGCTTCTGTTTTTTTGACACACTGGTCAAAAAAAGATTGTTAATCCAGCAAAAAAATGGCTACGACCAAGAAGTTGAAACAAAGGTCCTCAGTTTCCTAAGTTATTTGCTATGTAGCCTGAAAAGCTAATCAAGTATTAGAAATCCAAAATACCTTGCTGTGTGGAAGTGATTCATTTTTGGACCCTGATGCATGCGTGTGACTGCTTTTCCAAGCCTTTATGAACAGAGCTTGATATATGTAAGCCATAGTAAATGAAAAAGAACTCTACTCAGATTTGTGGGATTATACTTCAAAATGCAATCAACTCTAATAACATTACAGTTCTAACAATAGTTTTGTTGATTTTTTAAAAACATACCATTCTGAAACATTGTGGAAAAAATTCATTGCTGCACTACAATTTTTCATAGTCAGACTTACGAGGATTTTCTGCAACTCTAGTTTAGGAAAGTCACTGAAAAAATTAAAACAAAGTTTAGGCAAACAGTCATTTTCAATATTCCACACATGAAATGGCTTTTTGGGTCATCCAAAGCTAGCAAGGGTGGGCTATGCCAGAGTTAAACAAACTTTTGCATCTTGTGGCTTGTTTTAGGGTTATGTGAATGGTTGTTTAACTCTCATACAAACCACACACTCTGGGTGTGGACAACATGAAAAGCCGCAGTTGCATCCTGAAAATTCAAAGGTTGCACCCTAGCTTAAATAACCCACAGTCAGTTACGACAATACAAATTAGGTCATTATATACATGGAGAACACCTAGTGTTTTGACCATTAGAAGTTGCAAGTAGGAAGAAATTTTCCCAGGAATAAAATCTACAAAATTGTTCTCCATTTTCATAAAACATTATATATACATACAGCATGGACCACACAATCAGAATTACAAAAATTATATTTATTTAACACTTTGCTAAAATCTAGACACAAAACATTAAACAAGCAAGTTGAATTTTAATTACAGTCAGTTAAATAATTTTAAAAACTATCAACATATATGTATTTCATTGAAAGTTGAACCTGTAGCCTGTTTATCCAGAGGTTTTGGGCAAGAGACAAAACCAATCTGGTCAAAATGAACTCTAACAATATTGCAAGTTTTTTTTTTTCTTCTGGTGAAAAGCAAATTGCCTGGGTTGCTTTATTTCTCTATTTATTACCTGCACAAAATAGGAGGCAGCTCCACACCATCACCTATATCATCCTCCACATGGCAAGACAGAAGCCACTTCATAATGGTTTCTTTTAACGTACAAGCTGTACTTCCTTCCCAATTATTCTGTGCTGTCTCAATTTTCAAAGATTCTGGCACTTCCAAAGTTATCATTGTTAATGCTAAGCACTGTGCTGCAGATCTACAAAATAGGATATGTACAAGTTTATCATATGAACGCAACAGCTCCCACATAGACCCAATACCCTTAATCTCTTAATCATGGTTAAGAGATCAGGAGAATCTCAAGGAATCTACCACATATTCTCCTCTGTAGCACAAACTCCATCTAACCTTCATCCAATGGCCCCAACCTTGAAAAGGAATAACCTATAATCAATAACCTTGATCATGACTTTCTTAACCAGAATTGGTATCTTGGTCAGGGTTTGAAATGGGTTTAGAAAATAAGTTTATGAGAGAATATAATTGCAATCTAATCTAACAATAATTAAATCTAATGTGATGTGTGAAGGGAAAATGTGACTATAAAAATATAAGAAAAGCTTTGTATCAGACCAATGGTCCATTCAGTCCAGCACCCTGTTCATACAGTGGCAAACCAGCTGCCCACAGGATTCCTGAAACAGGATGGGTACAAAAGTTTCACCTGCCCAAGCTCCTCAGCACTGGGTGCACACAGGCAGATCACCTCTGATAACTGAAGTACCACATACCCAGCGAGGCTAGTTGCCAATGATAGCCTCCTTCCTCAATGAATCTGTCCAATCCCCTTTTAAAGACATCCAAATTAGTGGCCATCACTGTTTCCTGAGGCAGTGAATTCTATCATTTAACTAAGTGCTGAGTGAAGAAATACTTTATCTGTCCTGAATCTCCCATCAGTCAAACTTCATGGGATGAGCTCAAATTTTAGTATTATGGGAGAGAAATAAAAATAATGATACTTTAATATAATGTTTTAACTGTATAAAATATGAGAGATTTTAGGAAAAAGATAAAAGATAACATGTGATTAAGCTTTTTAAAATGTAAATAGTCTTGTTGTTAAGATACAAATTCCCTCATAAAAACCAGTATCAAAAATATTGATTTATTACATTTCTAGTCTAGCCAGTAACTAAATTTTTACACCATTTAACTTCTTGGATTTGTACACAGTGTAATATGCCATGTCTATTAATGTGGAATTAACCGTTGGTGATTTATTTATTTATTTAAAACATTTGTATGCCACCCATTTGTGCCACAGCACCTCAGGGTGACTCACAACACAAGATAAAAACACAATAAAACATAATAAAAAACATAATATATTATATATTAAAAACAACAATACAGTAAAAGATACAAAAAGGATTAAAAAGGGTTCCATGTTACCTTGAAGGCTTGCATGCAGATCCTGAAAATATCTTCCAAACATCCTTCTCTAATTTTATTAAGTTTCCTTGAATTAAGACTCCAAGTAATGCAAAGCTTTCTACTTCAGTTTGCTGAAGGCTTAGGCTACGACCAACAACAGACCAAATTTTTGACCAAGTTCTCTGAAGCTCTGATTTCTGTGTTGAATTCAGATCTTTTTTCTGGCTTTGACACAAAGCAACCTCTTTAAGACATCTTAACACATAAGGCATCCTTTCTCCCTGACGCTGCTGAGGGAGTAGCTGGTAAAGTATACTGAGTAACAGGGGTAGATCACTGTGAGAAAGACTCATGGGGTATTTCGATAATAACCTGGTTGTGATCTGAAGCCTTGGGAAAGGAAAATATAAAGGATCAGTAAAACTTTGTAAAAATTCCACTTTTCAATGACAACTAGAATAGGCACATATGAACTTTTATTTTGGTTTACCAAGGTATGACATCGAAGTTATTCTGTGATTTTTGCAGGTTGTCCCAAATCACTTCCCAACCCAATTCAATTCTCCTACGTTTAGAAGGTCCTTCTCCATTTCCAGAGTCTCTCTGTGTAACCGTATAGGACTGAGTTATCTCTAGGACTTTGGTTTCCTCAGCAAAGACCTTAACAAACATGAAATCAAAATGAGCTAAACAGGCATATAATACTATAAAATACTTACATTTAAAGATGCATTAAGAATGGACTAATAATGAATCACTGTAGTTCCAAGCTTCATCTGCAAATGTACATTAGCTTATCATACCCCCGAGTCTATTGGATTTTGTATTGCTTTTATTATACATATACCTGTATTTTAACAGTACTTCGTATTTTAGAAATTGTTGTGAACTGGCCAGAGAGCTTTGGCTACTGACAGGTACAGAAATAAAATAACTAATAACAGGGCATCTGTGTAGGCCCACAAGAGGAAGGAGGGGAGGGAAAAGGAAAAGCAGGATCCTGTAAGGCCCATGAGGATTTCTTTATATTGAAACCCCACAACCATATGGAAAAGGATTCATTTACATTCACCCAAACCAGCACGTGAAAACTTAAGAGCTTACCTGATGACAAATATCAGCCATCAACTCAACCAGATTGTCTTTTACAGCAGTACCACGTGAGCCTGAAGAATACTTTCCTCTGCTGCCAATGAGATTTATCTCATTAACTAATAGATCATACAGATTGTACAAAATACTTTGCCATTTTGCCGAGTCACATATTCCTGTTTGCACAAGAATAAAAAGATTTAGTTTTATGTAGTTTACACCTATGTAAAAAAAAAAAAAAAAAAAGCTTGCTCCAAAGATCAGCAGTAATTAGTGCTGTGGTCGTGGCGAAGGGGCTTGTGTAGCTCAATGAAGCTATGACCTAAGCCATGCAGGGTCACCTAAGACGGACAGGTCACAGCAGAGAGCGCTGACAAAATGTGATCCACTGGAGAAGGAAATGGCAACCCACTCCAGTATCTTTGCCATGAAAACCCCATGGACAGTACCAAAAGGCAAAAAGATATGACGCCGGAAGATGAGCCCCTCAGGTCGGAAGGTGTCCAATATGCTACTGGGGATGATCAGAGGGCTAGTACTAGTAGCGCCAGAAAGAATAAAGCGACTGGGTCAAAGCTGAAAGGACACTCAGTTGCTGATGTATCTGGTGGTGAAAGAAGAGTCTGATGCTGTAAAGATCTATACTCCACAGGAACCTGGAATGTAAGATCCATGAATCAAGGCAAGCTGGATGTGGTCAAACAAGAGATGTCAAGACTGAACATCGACATCTTAGGAATCAGTGAACTAAAATGGACAGGAATGGGTGAATTTAATTCAGATGACCATCAGGTATATACTGTGGGCAAGAATCCCTCAGAAGAAATGGAGTAGCCTTCATAGTCAATAAAAGAGTAGGAAAAGCAGTACTGGGATACAATCTCCGAAATGACAGAATGATCTCAGTTCGAATCCAAGGCAAACCATTCAACATCACAATAGTCCAAGTCTATGCCACAACCACTGGTTCTGAAGAAACTGAAGTTGACCAGCTCTATGAAGGCCTACAACACCTTCTAGAATTAACTCCAAAAAATGATGTCCTTATCATCATGGGGGATTGGAATGCAAAGTAGGAAGCCAAAAGATAACCGGAATAACAGGCAAGTTTGGCCTTGGAGTACAAAATGAAGCAGGGCACAGGCTGGTAGAATTTTGTCAAGAGAATACGATGGTCATAGCAAACACTCTTTTCCAACAACCCAAGAGATGACTCTACACATGGACATCACCAGACGGTCAACACAGAAATCAGATTGACTATGTGCTCTGCAGCCAAAGATGGAGAAGCTCTATACAGTCAGTAAAAACTAGAACAGGAGCTGACTGTGGCTCAGATCATGAGCTTCTAGTTGCAAAATTTAGGCTTAAGTTGAAGAAAGTAGGGAAAAGCACTAGGCCACTCAGGTATGACCTAAATCATATCCCTGATGAATATGCAGTAGAGGTGACAAGTAGATTTAAGGAATTAGATCTGATAGACAGAGTGCCTGAAAAACTATGGACGGAGGTTCGCCACATTGTACAAGAGGCAGCAACTAAAACCATCCCAAAGAAAAAGAAATGCAAGAAAGCAAAATGGCTGTCTGAGGAAGCTTTACAAATAGCTGAGGAAAGAAGGGAAGCAAAAGGCAAGGCAGAAAGAGAAAGATACAAACAACTGAATGCAGAATTCCGGAGAACAGCTAGAAGAGATAAGAATGCCTTCTTAAATGAACAGTGCAAAGAAATAGAAGAAAACAATAGAATAGGAAGGACCAGAAATCTCTTCAAGAAAATTGGAGATATGAAGGGAACATTTCATGCAAAGATGGGCATGATAAAGGACCAAAATGGCAGGGACCTAACAGAGGCAGAAGAGAGTAAGAAGAGGTGGCAAGATTACACAGAAGAACTATACAAGAAAGAGCTTAACGTCCCTGATAACCACGATGGGGTGGCACTGACCTCGAGCCAGACATCCTGGAATGTGAAGTCAAATGGGCCTTAGGAAGTCTGAGCAACAATAAAGCTAGTGGAGGCGACAGTATTCCAGCTGAGCTATTCAAAATCCTAAAAGACGATGCAGTAAAAGTGCTACACTCAATATGCCAGCAAATTTTGAAAACTCAGCAGTGGCCACAGGATTGGAAAAGGTCAGTTTACATTCTGATCCCAAAGAAGGGCAATGCCAAAGAATGTTCAAACTACTGCATCATTGCACTCATTTCACATGCTAGCAAAGTTATGCTCAAAATCCTACAAGCTAGGCTCCAGCAGTATGTGGATCAAGAACTACCAGATGTACAGGCAGGATTTCAAAGAGGGAGAGGAACTAGAGATCAAATTGCCAACATACGCTAGATCATGGAGAAAGCTAGGGAGTTCCAGAAAAACATCTACTTCTGCTTCATTT